AAAAGACCAATGTCTCGTGCATGTAAATGTGTGTAGAAAGGTCGGATGTGATATACCGTGATTAAGATTGTGAAACACGTCGACAAAATAAATGCAAAAATCTCAAATGAAACAATATGTATCGCCCTATTCAATATCATACAACATGCAATGTTTAAACTATCTTATCGTTGACGTATGACACATATTATTAAAATATTGTACAGATAACATTTAATTGAATACTCCCTTCTTTTTAATGAACAAATTCTAAGAAAAGCGCTTTAAGGTTATTATGCCAATTACGCCACACAGCTTGAATTGTCAGCCAAATTATTAATAAACAATCACCATAGGAGGTCGCGTCACTGGCGATTCTGCGCTGTTGGAGAATGACAGTAAAATAAATTAAATTTTCCTTCTGATTACTGTAGATTTATTTGAGATGCCCATTTTTAGACTTAATTCCCTGAAAGATGGCAGCATTGTGACAATGCGTGGCATAGAATAAATACAAAACATAATAATTCAATGACATACGCAGACCTCTTTCTCTTCGTGATATATAGAAGTTATATATCTGAATCAATTTCAATTTGCATGCTACTGGTCCGGTCTTATTTATTTCAAAATCTCGTCAATCGAATGAAATTTGGATGACACATAAATGTATTTCCAACAAACACGAATTTTTGGTTCGAGGGGAGTAAGGTTTTTAGACATAAACAAATGTTTTTTGATTCAAGTGTAATATTTTGTCTATGGATATGTCTGAAAATGCGTAAATTCGACCACAATGCTACCGCATGACACATACAATATACAAAAGTACTTAGAAATTCCTCAATTCATCAAATCTTAAAATGCTATTGAAGTTTTGACACATGCATAAAGAATCGCAGCATGCGTCTCGACTTGTATCCGCAACTTACGCCAAACAATTGAATTTCATTAAATTTGATGTATCGTTTCGAGCTAGGGTTGCGGATTTCCGGTTTATCCTAGTAGCGAAGTCGGCGAGCTAGTAATAATGTATCCTATTCCAACTTAATTATGCAAAATGAATAGGATGAATGGACGTAAGCAACTGACATTTCTAGAAAAATGTTTGCAAAATCTTCAGGCACAGGAAGCGGTTGTAATCGAGCTTTCTATACAAACATAAAAAATAGTACCTAAATTTTACAGTCTTACAGTTTATTCATTAAAGCACTACATGGAAATAAATCAATACTGATGAAATGGGCGCTTATAATAAAGATCCCCACGGGGACAATATCTGGTGGAATATAGTTTGTCAACAATGGATCTAAATTTCATATGGCCCGTTACAAAAACCAAAAACGATAGTTGAATAACCATAAAGTTTTCATATCGTATATGCTCCTTATGGGAATTTCCTATATGAATGGATTCCCGTATTTTATACAGAAAAGAATGGTTGTTTTATATTACAATATGACTCGCGTTTACTCTATTGTTTACTACAAGACGTATGTTCATACTCAGATATACAATACATTTTGAAATAATAGATCCTTACTCAACTTAGCATCGGGTGCATATGCAGTATGCAAATTAAGTGTATTATTATTATTAAATATATGATCAAAATCCTAGCATGCTATCCTACTGGCACTTACACATGGGTACTTGATTTACAAAATCGTTTAAGTTTGCGTCGCGTATCCTGGCTGACTATGGTGTTTGGTCAATGTAAATCGATATGACAAAACAAGAATATGATTCACACTATATCAAGAGGGTCGAATTCTTAATTTACATATAGTAATGGTCCATGCAATGAACTCCTGGCAAAGTTCATTTCTTAATCAAAACCTCCGCGAGGAAGAACCACAAAATAAAATAATTCAATCGATTAAAAATAGCGAAACTATATACTTAAAGCTTGCACTTATTATTTACACAAAAACAATATCACACACCTATATTTAGTACGGATTCAAGTAGTGAAGGGCTTCAGAAAATCAGACAATATATCAAAAATTATCGTATGTAAAACATCAATTTAATTGAATTTACTGAATTCCGTGGAGCACAAGTTAAAACAATCTTCTCCGAATACATTATTACTGATCATCAAGGTGAGAGAGATGACAGCAATGTAAACAAACGCTTCCGTTTTAGAATTGTTGATTGTTCTGATAACAACAACAATCTTCAAACAACAGATTATGAACGAGAAAACATGATACATCTAACCACTCACATTCGTACTTGAAATTAGTACAAACATAATTACTGAAATACAATAAAGGGGTCTTTTAAGATCACAGAGAAAAAAGGAAAAGGTGTTTGTTAACGCACTTTATCATCATACTTGATGTGGCTTGGGAATAGGATCAATATTTTTCATAAATAGATTCACCAGTAACCCACACTCGATTGATTATATTTGACTGTTTTAGACGATGTTCCAAATTCCCCTTCTAAATCGATTGGCGGTAAAAAAGATCACAGTAAGATTTGCTTAACCGTCCAAAATTAGGCCCCTGGGGGGTAACTCTACAGCAAGTTATATCGTGGGAGACAACGCTTATGAGCATCTGGTGATCGCATGAGAAAGCTATTCACGTTATGGTGCGAATTTTCAATACTCGGGTAATTTGTAACCATAATATTTTTATGACGTGATGAGTTTATTAGTGTGGGAATCTTTTACTCTCTTGGCCGCCCCTAATTTAATCCGGTTACCGTAAAATAACAATTCCATATTCAGGTTTATGGTCAATATAGAATAAAATACATTAGCTGGTTAAGAGTAGGCGGTATAAATATATCATGTCTATCCATGATAATTGTCAATGTTAATTTAACTTCATTTTCTATATGGTGCTTTAATAACTTTAATCGGAATTGAACACAGAATTAGTAATTTGCATGCAGAGCAGAGATTTTTTTTCTAGATTCCAGACGTGCTCTAAACAGCTTGAAAAATGCGGTTTTATATACTGTTTCGACCTGAGATATTACCCAATGATTTGCCCATCCTACAAATATATAGGTCGTTCAAATTATTCTATTTACATTTACCAAATTATTCAATTCATGATTATATGAAATGACGACTTTCGATCTATCCCATTTTATTTCGCGTTTACGGTTTTGCATTAAAAAAAAACAGTTCCAGTGACAAAATTTCAAAATAATGCGGTGTATAAATACCATGGTTATCCACATTCAATCAATGGGATTGTTATTTGTTGATAGTTACAATATTTTGCTAGGCATATCTTGCTGTTATATTTGACAGTATAAAAGATTGTAATATACATGCTTGATATGCAAAATATTATCGATTCCCCTTATTTTCGAATGAAACTGATACACAAAAATATTGGAAGCCTGATTGTGATGGGAGTATATAATTGAGACGAACGAATGTAAATCAAATTCAAAAATGAAATTGGGCAATGATTTTTAGGTTATGGCTATAATTGAAAAGAAAAAAACCATAACACATATGCAACAGACAGTTTTCAGTTCATATGAATCGCAATAACTTTACTTAATTGGTGTCAGTCGTTTTTCACACACATATCATATGACAGAAGCAAGGTATATCGCATGTCACAAACAACGCTAGAATATTTGTCATTCATAATTGTTTTTGATCGAGTATGAATGGGCCATATATGGAGAGATACATAGTAGTTATCTTAGTCTCTGATTGACTTGGTTTTTCTTTTTTAAATCCTAATTTTAACAACATCAACTCATCATGCATTTTATAATAATGATATTATGAAAATCAAATAACAATATTTCGTGTTCAAATTATCAAAACAGTTCGAAATGCATGATTTTTAATGAATTGTCAACTCAGGTTGTCTAAGGGGAGGTAATTAATATATAGTATTGCCGTATATATATATATTATATTGGAACTGTCGAACATAAATGCATAATCGAACATGATAATTTGCTTTCATTTGGGAATAAAAAGAAAAAAAAAAGAAGTGTCATCTCAGTTAGTGTTACCATGTTTGACAAATTTATACCATAGGATTATGATCAGATAAGCTTAACAAGTTATATCAGTACAAATTTCTTATTTTTCAATAGATTAGTCACCATCTGGGCTGCCAGGAAATCATTTTCAATTGAATAATCTCCGATTCAAACCGTACGAAGAAATTATTATGAAATGTTGCATTACATTTCAAACTATATCCGGCGATATAGTCTTGCTCTTGAACAGGTGGTTTAAACCGCAAATTTCATATCCTGCATTTATGGTATTTATTGCATGTCAGTTATGCATTCAATAATAAAATTTTCCGCGTTTTCAATGAAATAAAAAAATATGAATTACACTGGCCATCGCGAGCCTTACACAACGATATTCTGGAAATTCGGGCATTTTTTAATATTTGATAATTCGATGCTTTCTTACAAATTTTGATAGTCTTATCTTTCATCAATTGTGTATTGGACCAGAAGAATGTGGAAAGTAATCCCACAAGCAGGTATCTTACTTGTTCGTTTTTAGTCGTTGCGCATTACATGCATGACTGAGGGCACGGCTAAGGACAATTGCACTACACATACTACCCCGGAATAACATTAAAATACGTAAAATGTCAAAATTCAAACGCATATTGACAAAATGCATTGTAATTAGAGAATAATAGTGAATAATCAAAACAGATCTAAAATTCTAAACTGAAAAAATGTGAAAAAACGAAGTGAACCAAGCGCCTGTTCCTAAAACACATATTCTGTTCCACGTACACCTGAGTCCTGTGAAATTTATAACTCATCTCAAATTTTCTACTATACTTAAAAAGTTGCTTTTACGGCTTCAACTCTCGGCATGCAAATATATTCCCTCCAAGTATTGATTACACAGTATAATAATAGTCCAATAATACACAGCGGACAAATGTAGACAGTAGCCTACATTTAATAACCCGCCATGACATTGAAGACAATGATTGGAGATTCAGACAACTAGAATACTGCTTACCCATGTACACAAGTTTCGCAAAATTCACATATTTCTGTTTTGTCTATATTTTATTGCGTAGTTGTTTAACAAGGCGAGCCAAATTTCAAGGTAAAAATCATAAATAGAAATAGGATATAAGGAAGACACAAAGATCAATAAAGGAAGACAAAAGCACGTGAAGGTATAACTGCAAAAATATCACAGGATAGTGTTAAAAAAAGAAATTACAAATTAAATGACAAAACGCAAGCCCCGGCATGATGTTAACATCAAAGCACGGGGTAAGGCCACGGTTGGTTTGCCAATATAAAATCAAAATATAAAAAATAAAGAGTAAAATAAAACTGCAATTCGGAAATTACGGATGCATAATGTTTGGTCTGCTACAACATAGCATTGTTTATACATGTTCAATATTTGGTCCGGTTTTGTTACTTGGCAATTCTTCGTCGTCAAATAGCAGTTCGGCAGTTAATTGGAATGTTGCGGGATTTGAGGGTATCTCTCCTCGTGGTTGCTCGTTTGTTGTTTCGGTGTTCACCAATCCGTCTCTTTTCTGGAAAAGAATACATATTTTCATTTAATTATATGTGATTGAAAAAGTTACGGTGATGGATGGATTAGGCACTACAAAGAAATTGAAACTATATAGTTAAGCTAACTAACAGGTTATGGCTGATTAGACCTCTCAGAAGTTGGTTATGACTGTATTTTAGTTAGAAACATAATTATCATAACTTTATACCGCATATCTCCATTGGTTTCACGAATCCAATATCTCAATGTTGCGTTAAAATTGTTTTCGAAGTACCGTGTAGCGATGCTACATTTCGGAATACAAAACAATATCAACCTACCTTCTTGGCTAAACGCGTTTGCTCGATCATTTTTATGCAAGAATCTCAATTTGATGGGAGATCTTCTTCAGACAATTCTGAATCCTGGAATCGAATAAAAAATATTCAAAACTGGCACCGGAAAAAAAAATATTCTACATAGCACAAAATACGTGTTTGTGGTTAGTAATATCTTAAATAGACAAAACCAGCCCACCATTGCGCCGATCTACAGAGACTGGTAATTATAGAATTACGAAAACCTACTATTAGTGTTGAAAATGGGCGGTTGATGATGGCTTGAAAAGACGAAATTAGTTGCTTAGTCTGGGGTTTTAGACAAAAGGCGCCACACAGTTTTTTGTGTGTCTACTTTTGGCTAATGGACCTAAAAATACATGAAATTTGTCTAAAGCTTTCGGTTTTGAGACGAAATTGTGGAAATTACACCTTATTCATGGGATATAGTTGATAATGTTCTACGTCAAAACGAAAGGCAAACAAGCTGTTAACTTTCGACTTACGTTATGCTTACTGAATTCCGGCCTTTTGTTTTCTAGTTGAGTCAAAGGTGTTCTTCCGGACGTTTTCATAAAAAGTGGCGTTGACGTCACTGGAAAAAGACCGGGAGGTGGTGGGGACTTTTCACCAAGCATGGAATGTAGATCACGAATATAGTCGATGGCGCTTAATACAACGTCGAGACTTGTCACAGGTTTCGTCTGTTGTTCCGACAATGAGGGGATCACACCTCGAAGTTTTTGGTACAAAGTTCTAAACATAGAATATTCCAATTTGATAACCATCTCATATTGTTTAAATAGGCCAGCAGGACGGCAAAATTAATTCCATTTGAACCGTTATATTATTTGCTATTTATGACTACGTTTTATGTAAAGTGGAAATGTGCGAAAACATAGATAGTAGCAGTATAAACGTGAAGAAATATATTTATCATACATATCCAGAATACAGGTTTGGACTCAATGTAAGACCCTTAACATGTAAGCCAATCAAAATGAATTACAAAATAAAAGTTTACGTACCTTAGTTCCTTTGCCTCTGATGTAGGTTCTTCAACTTGTTGTTCTTTTCGGTTTTCCTCTAGTTTTGACTTATATTTCTTACAAAACTCTGCCCGTATCGTTCTCAATGCCGGTGGTGTGTCTGTGGTTTTAGCACCGTCGCTTTTGATGTAAACCGCTTCTGAAGATACTGGTCGTCTTATCTCTGATCTGCGTATGTTTGGTGAAGCTAAAGGGCTGTATCTTGAAGCGAGAGCCATTGTTTGCTTGCTTGCTTTCACCATAATTGCTCGATAATTAGATTTCAAATAATATAACTGATACAATTTTATCGTAACACAAAAATAGATCGAAAGCTCATTCAGTAATTGATGACGAAAACGCGTTGACAGTAGCTTTTATACAAAACGAGCGCGTTCCTTTTTTTCTTTCTCTCATTTTCTTCATCGCTCTCGTTTTTGTTTTGCTATTCACTCAATTGCTTGATGACGTCACACTATTGTTTCAAATTGTAATTGAAAAAAGAGAGAGTGTTGACGGCACATTGAGAGAGATATAGTTGTTTGAGTATCTTGGGAAAACGAAAGTACTAATTGTCTGCCGTTTGTTTCCTACCGTGTGCAATCGAAGTCACTTAATTTCCCGTTTACGAGGAGACCTCTTCCGCCCACCTCTCTGTACTTCAATATCCGGCATATTATGACCTCGTAACTGGACCAAATGTCGATAATTTGGTGATTCGCACATTCTGTTTTTAATTTATGTTTCCTATATGTAGTTCTTCGACCCTTTCAAATGAAAGAAGGTGTTAAATACTTCTGAATGTTTTTCTGGCCCAATTTTAGACTAATTTCCGCTTCCGAACTTATCACAATAACTCCAATTCTAAAATTGTTCAAAGCATTTTTCGAAAGTAAAAAAGACCAGTTCAAAGGTGCAACCGAGTTACATGGTAACATTCAAAAGGTAGGGACATTTTGCGTTTTCAATGGGACATTTTGCGTTATGTTATACGCATTTACTTTTAATTATAAATCCATAATCCAGCTTTCATTAATTTGCAGCTTATGAATTCTTCAATTAATTTACTTATGCATTGAAATATTCATAACGAAATCGCATTGCAATGCGGATTATTCTAGCTCCACCACATAAGTCCTTGTGAAGATAGTTATAAATTCTTTCGGCGAGATTTGGGCGTGGAAACCCTTTATTGCTAACAAGATAAGAAGTAATTATGATATGCATTGTCCACGAGTCTCAACTACATTATCAGGTAATTTACTGGTACGTGTTTCAATATTGATACGCGCATTTATGTTGGTATAAGGAACAATATGCGACTAATCTGATACATGTAGCCTACGTATTGTGAGTATGTATGTGTATGCATGTTTATTTACTTCGAACCAGTTTAGGACTTTTATATACAAATATGACAATACACATGAATGCAAGATTATCTAACAGCACACACACACTAGACAGCACAATGACAAGATATACAGTAGTTAGTTAATGAAGGGTCTATCTCCTAGAATGAGATGTATAACAAGTTATTTGATGGGAGGTTCGAAAGTGGGGTATACTTTCAATGTGCCCAGCCACCAGTAGAATATCCAGATGGCGGTGCATAAAATTAGTGGCCTTTTAAGAAAACCTTCTGTACTTAGAGAACCAAGTCATTTTCTCCCAAAAATATAAAGTAGAACAATTTAGAAAAACACGGGTCCACAATTAACTAGAGATGAAATTCTCGAATAATTCTATTTTGTTTCAAAATAATAACGTGATAAATTCTAGATGTAAATGATAAAAAAGTGTGAAGACCGTCCATTCACCTCTTAAAAACTTGGCCGAAGTTAGTTCTTGTATGTGCGAAAGGAATTCGAGGTTAAACCAACATTTGGTGACACCGGGTGAAGTATGTTCAATGCGGTAAATAAATAGTCGACGCCGGCAAGTCGGCTTGATTTGTTGGATTTTGTTGAGAGAGACAACAAACGCTCATTAGCTTTCAAGCAAGCAAATTGGGCATTGTTTCGAGTATGAGTTAATGTTAAATGATTCGTCTGGGTATGGATAATATTGTATGGATATGGGTATGGATATTATTGTATCCAACAAAATTATCATTGGATTAGTTAATTAATTATTAATATGATTGGAACGCGGTTATACTATATATTTGTATATCTTCGGTGTTTAAGTTTGTATTGAACCTGGATACGGGAATGGCGTTGCCAGCAATATGAAAAACAGTTTCGAATGCAAAAAAAAAAAATCATATGTGTCTCATTCATGTATCATCAGGAGCGAAGAATATCGCCACGTATACGGGAAATGGCACGGAGATCTGAAACGAACTCCCATTCATGAAATTACAAATTGTTGCAAATCTGTTACTTACATGTCAATTGTAATTTTTTATGCCAAACTTTGAAATAGGTTTTTCATAGATGATATTGAAAAGCCGATGGGCGATACAACATCGCATCTGATACGTACGAGGCATAAATCAAACAGATCGTAATAAAATACGACAGCAAGTCGGCTTAATCATGTTTGCATTTGAACTCATTGGTCTAATTCAAACTATGGACACCTGGAACTAATCCGCCAATAATTATGCCATAACTTATACAGACACCTGCAAATATCATATATATTTTTATAAAACGCAAAGATGACTTAATCCGACGGCAACAGAAGTGCCAGCCATGGTTGATGCAAAAGTATGCGATAATTTTGAAATTCATTTAACATGTCCTGAAATGATTAGGTTTAGCAGTGCGCAGGTCACTAAATAATAGTAAATTAATCGTGTCTTCAGGTTAAATCTGTCTCCCTCTGAACATCGGGACGAAATCGTTTATGCTGTAAGCAATATCAACATATTTATGAGCGTATTGTAACAACGGAGATTACAGCGATTATGGAGCTGATGTTTGCGCATGACTCCTGGGCAGCAGAAGTTTGATAATACTCCATGCAACAGACCTGCATCAACAGTTCGCACAAACAGACGATGCCAGGTAATTCAAAAGACTGCGATAAAGAGATAAATTAATACAGGGATACCAGATTGTAAGAAGCTGTTATTCAGGGACCAGCTTGTTTTGCATATCGTTAGTTTCGAAATAGCAGTTCAAAAGCCCATGCTCGATAAAAATTTAGTCACTGACAATTCTGATTTGAGGCGACAATGCGCCGTAGGAATTGATGAGTTTGTCATGTTATTTGGAATTCTTGCACCCAGTGGATCGGTGGGTGATTCAGATTGTAGTACGGAATTGAATTTTTACACATATCACTTACAAAATAGATAGAAAATAACACTCAGTTGCCAATTGTTTCTCAATATTTGGGCCTATTTTTGCAAAACCTATAAAACATGTTCCCAGTACAGTTGGATTCCTAACCAGCTGTGCTGTTCATTGTGTCGCATTCTCAATGAGATTCCATCAACTGTTATGATTAAATATAATAAAGGTATTTAATTACAATTCCAAATCGTAAACAATCATCGTTCATATGACGTAATAAAAGCCTTAAATCGGCTGAGTTTGGCGAGCACAGGTGCATAGGTTTCTATTACAACTTTTAATGTGACTTTATTACATTTTAAACAAAAAACAGCGCACGTGGCGCCATAAAACATACATTCATTCTTTAGTATTTCGTTATAACATCACAAAGGTATTATTTATTTCATAATAATAAAACTATGTGATGAAATGATTAACGATATAAAAATGTCTGTGGTTACGTCTCTCTCTACCAGGTAAAAATTAGGGCACGGCGAAATGGTTATATTTTGCTTCTTTCGGCATTGTTGCTCTCAACATCAAAATGTTGGTTTGCTCAGAGCATAAGTTGGAGCGTAGAAGATGTATATAAAAATAAATAACTATAGAGCGTGGGCCAGAAATTTACGATCTGTGAACAATTTTTCTTAAATTTTGTGAATCAACAGCTCCACCTGACGGCGGAATCAAACTAAAATAGTTTAATGTCTACAGACAGTCCTCGCCTACAGACAGTGAAATTGAGAATATTTTTAAAGCATAAATGTGTGTTATACTTTGGTTTGAATAATTGCATATATTTTAGCAAAAATCGCGTTGGTGTAAGATAAATGGACATGATTAACGATAAATGCAATCAATACAAGTTATCTGGCTTTTAAGATAATTGCGCACATAATTAGACATGTGATCCTACAAAAGCAAAATTTTAATTGAATGATTGTGTGAACAAACAAGAGAAGGGTGAGAAATTGACCACACCCAAACCAGTAATAACATGACAATATTATTTGGTTTGTTGACTTATCTGTACGCTGAGTATCAGTATGTTAAAGGTACTTAAGTTCATTTTCAAATGATTTATTTCAGATTGAAAGATGCATTCAAATACGATTTTTCAACGCCCGAAACAATATATATTTGAAAGAAGCTTTCAGTTAATGTCTTCAAATATTTAGTAATATATCATATTAATGTGAAATTCTTGTAAACAAATCACGCGGATTTGAGCGCTTTCATCTATTTAAGATCAAGGGCATTAGATAACAACCGGACTAATCACATTGTTACGATGCAGGCATCGATGGTGTAAAATCAATACGATTGAAATCGTATTTCTCTAATAAACCTAATTTATTTTTGAGTAATTTACAGACGCTTAATTTTTAAATAGTTTGAACAAGTAGCACACATTTACATTTGACATTGATGCATTTTCAAAAACGACTAATATTACATATTAAAATGTATATCCATATTAATCGCCAAATTCGAAATATCAGCAAAAATATTTCTTGTCGAATGTTACTTAGATGAGTTATATAAACTTGAAAAATAAGAAACTTCACGATTCGACTGGGAAACAAAATTTTTAAGCGTGTGAATCTCGTTCCGGGTAATACAGATATAAGGTTGGATTGTAATTTATCATATTTTGAGTTTCATGAATTTGACAGAAAAATCCTATCATATACCAATTTCATTTTTTTTAAAAAGCATTTCGACAGTAAACAGCCGTCCAGACGATTGTACCAATCTGTTGGGTAATACATTAGAAGCATGGTAATTTTGCTTGATTTTCTTGAATTGAACGACGTAATTGATTACGTATAATGTTTTCAATGAATAAAAAATTTATTATCAGAAGATAAAATAAGTGTTTCATTTTTTAGACTTCGAATCTATGGGCATATCAAAGATCGTAATAAAAATATTGTACTATATTAAGCCTATCATGTTGTGAATTTGATATATATGGAGTTCCTATATATAATTAGTATACCTCTTCGTTTTTACGCTGTTTCGTTTATGGTTGGATACAATTATGCAAAACGAAAGTAACACAAATATCAGTGGGTAAAAAATAATCCATTTCTATCTCGATGGGAAACCTTTTTTAGTATTGATTTAACAACCTCTTAAACAATGCGATTATTAATAATAATCGGCGTTGATGCATAATCCTATTGTAAATTATGATGGATGAGATTGTTTGAAGTATACGCACAAATGAGATTTTCTTTCTATATAAATATTTGATTAGGAGGGAGGAGAGGCTCAAAGCGCACATGTACCATGCTAATTTGCATAGATGTACATATCAAGCTCCCACTTGATAGTGGGAAGCTGCCTATACACGTAAAAGTCGAACTACACTGGGAGGAACGAAATTGTGCTTATCAATGCGGAATGTATATATACTGATACTTGTTACTTGGTATTATACTCACGAAGCTTATCAAAATTTACAATATTTTGTACTGATTGTCAGACTCAAACCTTTACCAATATATATTATAATCAATTTTAAACAATTATGTGTGAACATATAATCATATTAGAACAATATTTGCAGAAAAGAATGCTTTATACGGTTATCACGATATTAGTTATATTATTCATCACCCAATCATTATCAAACAAAAGAAATTATTTACGAAATAATCCATGAAATGGAGCATAACATCTAATTTTGCTTTCAGAGACAACAACACTGCAGTTTCACGAATCAATGTAATTAGTTCGACTGGTTTTCAAACGTACTGATTTGATTGAATGTATCTTAAAAGATAATAAATATTAGCCATATTGATTCAGAATATATATATATTCACATACGACACACTTTATCTATAATGTACAAAATAGAAAATATTGACGGAAGGAATATTTGCTGGAAATGAATGCTGAATATAGTCAGAATTTGGAAGAAAACTCGATATTGATACAGATACAATATCTTAATCGAATGTGCGAGCCTGCGAAAGCGCAATATAGAACGTACATTTGATCAAACTCAAAGATATACTTGTTTGTCAACGATCACATTAAGTTGTTTTGGTCAGAAACAAGGTTACTAAATTGCATCTGCATGTAACAGAAAGGTGGTCTGATCAATGGAAAAAATAGATGATTATAAGCGGTTTTATAATATTAGCACTAAGTGATATGTTTACGGCTCATGGCGTAATATCTCGTGTGTTTCTTCATGTCTGTGTTTCTTCATGTCTCTGTGGTATTATGAACTGGAAGTAAAATTAAATAATATTAACATATGAATATTCAACTCGCATTAGTGTCAGTCTTTGATAAAATAAAACCATATTTATTACATCTATATAACGAAAACTGATTATTCAACTATGGATTCTTTTGTCTTTGGGCCTAATTATCTAAAACATCAAGAGTTTAATCTACGAGAAATTATAATCTATGTTCTTTTAAACGAGTATTGCTTATTTTATTCATAAATTTAATAAACATTTCATGCAACTTCAAGTTACTGACTCCTTGTTATCTTTACGTATAGGTCTCACAGTCATTAATAAAACAACAATTCATAATAAAGAAATAAGCACATTCTCATAGTAGAGCAACTGTGTAGCAATTCGGTAAAAGTGGAATATTTCACTCAAACTCAGAATTGGTTGGCGATCATTCAGTCAAAGCTGTATAATATATATCAGTACGTTTACTCGAGATAAAAACTGATAGTAAAAATTAAAAAAAAAATCCGTATATGACATCCTTATGTGTGTAGTTAAAATATTGTTTGTTATTATGAATGAGTACAGAACATGAATAAGAACAATTACAACCGTTACAAGTGATAATGAGTAAACACATAATCTTATTTAAACAACATTCATATTTAATGGGCTATTATATGGATCATCAAAAGATTAAAGTGTTAGCTGACCACACCCAATCAGGTAAAACAAATGTAATAATCATCAGGTAATTATTGAGTATTGCGAGACACGCGTGGTGAATGTGAGATTCGTTGTCTTCAATTATAAAACATTATCTTTCTGCATTATTTTGCCGAGATGAATTACGAATGCGAGAAATAAGGCGGCATCATGTATTATCTGAAAAGATAACAAGTTTCCGACATATCTCAGAAAGTTGGCATCGTATTGAAAAACACTATCGTACACTCACTCACGCCCACTCATCATTCAGAATGTACCACCACTGAGCACAATGCGAATGAAATGCAATTCGAACAATAACATGAAAAGTAAACCTACTATAGAGTCTAACATATTATAATATATATCACAATACCATATTATGTGTTCATAATATGTATATGTGTGAAAATAAGGTTCCTTGGTAGTTTGTTGTCGTTTTCAAATACAGCCTTAACAGAATGTACTCATATACTTCTTAATTTCATAATATTAATTTCATCCTGGCACTCACGCCTATGGTTGGGAATATTGCCATGACACAGTGAGTTGTGACCAGGGGCGAGTTAAGCCTTTTTGGTGCCCTAGGCACTTAAGACTTTGGTGCCCCCTCATGTGTAATTTAATTATAAAAACAATAAACCACATAAACAATAATCACAACCAACAGTAAATAAAACAACTTTTACGAACATCTTTAGGTTTTTTAACTATTATATATAGCCGATATATATATCGGCCGTTTACTGCCTATATGATTCATGCCATCAGTCTCAATGTGAATCGAAATATCGAAGTATACAAGTCACAACTGTAGTTTGAAATTTTACCAGTACCTGTAGTCTACCTCAGGGTGGTTCAAGGTTGCTAGGTTGAAGGACCGCAAAAACTTTTGATGAGGTCTCGCGGGCCGCAAGTCGGAGAAAACCCAAAAGTGATCAAAATATCGCGAATTTACTTACATTAAATGTAATAAACAACAAGAGTTTACTGTTCTAATCAGACTTTTGTTACATGGGTGGTGTTCTTTTAAAGAATATATTATTCAGTTATTTTAAAGGAAATTCCCGAGAATTACAGTTGTATTTTGCGCATCTCGCGTTTATTGTCGCTTCAAATTATATTCTTTCGTGACAGATATTACTTGAAATCAAACCAGACACTGTGTGATGGGCAAGGAAATACGTTTCCGCCGTGTTTTTCCTTATGTCACCTTTCTTGCGACACTCATTTTACTACGAATTGTTATTTTGAGTAATTTAAAAACTTGCAGCGTGAGTAGGTTTAGTGCATCGACAAATACTAACCAAGTCCGTCTAAGTTGGTATTTCGGGACTACTGTCACATGGCCGACGCTCAAAAACAGAGGAGTGTTTTTTACTAAAATAAAGGCACAAAGCGTTAGAAAAAGGGTATGAATCTCGGAATACCAACTCAAGTTGGAATATCTAAAAAAAAACTCAAAAACGTTCTTCCATTAGATACAAATATACGCTAAAATCGGTCGGTAAGCCGCACGGAATGTATCAGCATGGCAAGGTTTGGACCCAGAGGCGTAGCCAGGATATTTTGCGCCCGGGGCAAAATATAAAATTGGCGCCCCGACCCCCACGTTTAATCATGTTTTCTATTGCATTTAATTGTATATGTAAAAACAAATTATATATCGTCACGTTAATAACCGAATTGCGTAAGTCATATTTAGCTGTTTTGAGGAAAACGTAAAAAAAACTTCCTAATGATACTGCTATGCCATTAATTTGCCATAGTTCAACTTTTTGATCGTAGCCGGATTTAAGTTAATTTGTATGACGCAGTCATGTGACGTCATAATGGCGCACTGTGACTTAGGAAAAAATGTGTCTAGGACTAGGGGACATACGCAATTTTGCAACTTGACTATATGTACCAGTCCTGAAAACCGAACAATCCAAAATAGCTAATCTGTTTCAATTACATTATTTTTTATGTTTAAAAATATATATTTCATCAATATAACACGCTCTGCACATCCACCGAAATAAGACTAAAGTTAAATATAAAGAATAAAACAGTAATGTACCATTATATAAAAGTCAACCAAGATGAATTGGACTCAGACAGTGAATATCACAAGTGCACGCCTTCCTATACAGTAGTATAAATTGAAAATTATTGGCGCTAAGCTAGAATCTGAGATGCAAAAACTCGAAAATCCTTCGCCGAGGTTATTTTGCCTTTGTGACGTCACAATAGTCCTGTGTTAAACAAAGATAATTCATTATGACGGAACAATTGAACAAATTTGCATATCATACAAAATCTCTATTTTTATGGGTTTTGGAAGTCTTAAAATAAAATCTGAGTAAACAGACAGGTGCGCAGCATTACATAAATACCTATTTTATGAAAAAACTCAAAACCGCCAAAAATGACTTACGCAATTCGGTTTTTAGCGTGACGATAAGTGAATTCAAATTTATATTTATTTATATATTTATTATTTATTCAAAAATATATGTATATGTAAATTCAAATGTAATGTTCATTTTTTCAATTTCACTGTCGTAAACTGGTTAACACGTCATCAAAATCTGTTTTTTTTCCCAATGTTTCTCTTTCAACAACGATCCTGTCCCGTTGATGCACGCGAATACGACAAAATAAGTTTCAATTTGCATAAAGACCGGTCACAGCTTGCAATTGAAACTGGTATTGTTAACAAAATTTGTGGAGAGATTCGCAGATTAGGTAAAACGTCGTCTCCAAAAGACACAATAAAACCAAGAAGAGCCAAAGGAGTTTCTGGTTGACCTACAGTTTTGTTACTGAGCAGCATTCTGCAATCTCCAATTTCGGTGAAAAGTTCGTGGCCATTGATGTCCGTGTCGTAGAAATTTACAAAATCTGTGCATTCTCGACGAATTGTCGAAAACGGCATTAGGGTCTTTTAGCACAGTATAATATATTTTATGTAACTCTGCCGCAAAAGTACGGTACTTTGACAACAACGAAATACAAAACCACGTATTACTCAAAACCTGTATTAACATCATTCACCCAAATTCCGTTTCCATTTGTCTTCAGCACAGTACTAATATCAACTTACATCGGAGTGCGCAGGCAAGAACTTAACGATACAGAACCACGTAATTAACGCGGTGCATTTTGTTACCTAACGTTACCAAATCAAATTTTGCTTTGTTTCCCGGCCAGATTTTTTGGCCATGTAATTACGATGGAAATCTGACCGTGAGCGAGCTATGTGCGTGATGACGTCGGCAGTCGTAAGTGGTCTGACCAAGTGTGCAGTTTGCCATGTACTAAGACTAGATGTCTGCCGCCGGTGCGATCTTGCTTGTGACCATTTTTTACCCTTGTGAAATTTTTGCAAGCCCCATTTTGGCGCCCCTGTACCTTGGCGCCCGGGGACATATGTACCCCACTGCCCCATCTAAGCTACGCCTCTGTTTGGACCACCCTGGTCTACCTCATTAAAAAAGTCCCGACTTCGCTGACCACTAGATCGTTGAAATGCGATCGTGGACCGCCACATAGCGTAAATAGTTCGTTGGTCCAATTGTTGAAGAGAAAAGAAATTTTTTCAAAACAAAAATTCAGCAACAAGGAGAATACTAGAAAGAGAAAAACAACAACAATTTAAGAAAACCACTCATAGGCCCATTTCGTGTCAAAAAAAAAAAGTTTCAGTGTTTAATTTTTATAAAGAAGGTTAATATGATACTTGAAGACGAAAAATAAGCGAATATTTTGAAGTTTGAGTCGTCTGGTGAACTAGTAATATTTTAATAAACAACGATAAACTGTATAAAATTCTGCTCTAAAATTTCTGTGGTGTCCCTCTTTGCTTGGTGCCCTGGGCGCGTGCTTATATTGTTTAATGGTTGATCCGGCGCTGTTTGGGACCCATGTAATGGCACTGCCTGGGCACCAGTTCATTATTCCAAATCACAGCAATCATTCCAAATAAACTTTGATGGACTTGCGGAATATGATGGGATAGTTTTGTTCTCGTTTTTTATTTCGTTTCGACATGGTTCTCTAACTGTTAGATTCTAACAAAGCAATCACCTGCTGTGCGCGATATCCGTCTAGGAAAAGCTGATTTTGTTTGACATAGTGTGATTCTGGTAGCCATGAAGGACAAATTTAAATGTGGCCGTTGTATATGCATCAAATACATGACCATTTTTCATCTAGTTTGGAGGATGCTATGAAGGCGAGTCAAGAGTTCTCATTTTCTCGTCAGTATTTAGAAGCAAAAACCCGCTTCTGAGACCACTGACATCGCCCCTCTATGACGTGTTAGTCTTTTATATATATATACCTAGCAAAGCTCGTTTTTGTAATGACGCTTTCTCGCAGTAACTATATTTTTGGCCATTTCTTGGCTACTGGTATTGGAAAAAGAATATTCGAAAATTTTATTTCTCATTCATCTTTGATTAGCGTTGTCCCTAATTTCTTATGATCGACGATAGTAGCTACATAATTAGTAGCCTAATTTATTTTATTGACAAATAGAAAAAGGAACAGCACAGATATGTATAAAATAAATTCATATATCATACAAAAACACTATTTCAATATATATCGTAAACCGACAAGCTTATGTGTTTCATTCTACCGGAAAAAATCAAGCTATTCGGTCAACATTCACACTCACGGACAAAATCTGTTTTACGGAAAAAGCCAATAACATCTTCGATGTATTGGCTATTGTCAGCGATCAATGGTGTAGGTCAGGGTGGTCCAAACCCAGGCCCGCGGGCCACATGTGGCCCGCCGCTTCAGTATCTGTTGCCCGCATCACATTCCGAGTGTAATCAAAAAATCGCATTTCGTGTTGTTTCGTCATAAAATTATTCAGAAAAATCTTTTGACGTATAGTCATCACTATTGTCACTGAATTAAATAGTGTTATGGATAGCTGGGGAAACTAGCGAAGTTGAATGATGTGCTTGACGGTCTAAATTGTTATTTGGCTTTTTAACTTTTTGGTCGGGAATATATGCAAACAATATAGGCATCATAGAAAACTAAAAATTGAATGCAGATTCTATTAGCCTAGAATGGCTATGCCTGATAACTATGTGTTTGCACAATAAAGGTGTTTGTTTTGTATTGCACCGTTTACCTATTCTTGGCACTATTATGGCCCGCGAACAATGCAAAAATAATTTTGTGGCCCGCGGAGCCGACAACTTTGGATGGACCACCCTGGTGTAAGTATTTGAACACAAGAAAAAAACCTAAACGCCCGATTGGAGAAGAACGCGAAAGACAATACGCACTGTTAGCATATTCGCAAAACAACATTTGTTTACAGTACATCGAAACTCGGCAACGGTATAGTTTAAATCCTTAACGGACTTGGTCCCTTCCGTGTCAGTTTATGTGACTATAGACAACAGTAAAGCAAATTAACTTGAAGTTGAACAGAGGCACCAGGTTCAAGCGGCGGTAATATCAGAATCCAAAATCTAGGTCCACGACCTAACAAACCGGGCAAATCAAGCATGGTTTTTCAAGTCTAATAAATGAAATCATCATTAGGATGCAAGTTGATAGAAGTTGTAAGCTAAAAACAAAGTTTTATAGTAGCAGTTTCCAACCAGGGGCACAGAGTAGTCGGAGGGCCAAAATACCAGGCGCCAAATTTATTTTAATGCGATTTCGTTTGCATACATTTTCCTTTATAAGAAAATAACCTGTTCTCCTCGGTTTCATTACCAGATAAGTTATTTCACAGGATAACTTTCTTATGCATGAATTGTTTGATCATAATGAGGTGCAGTGTTTGTTTCTCTACAAATTTTGCGAGGTGAATTAAATGAGCGAGTAGAAACCCATCCCATGTGAAAAAATAATTAGTGGAGGAGAGATAACAGAAAGGGCTAAGGCAAAGTTATTTGCAAATTTCTGAAGCCAGGCTATAGTCATAAAATCAACGTCAATGTCTAACGTTTATTGTTAATTCAGCACACGCAATATCTCGTTAACAGAGTAAGACTGTAATAAATTTACCATACAACTAACTTTATATAACTTTTGTTATTTGTGGGGTAGGGAGGTATAACACGCAGTAAAAGGTTGAAGAAAACTGATCTAACATTTGTGAAGTATAATTTGCCCCTATACTGTTTCAACGTGTATGACATACCAATGAATTAGTTTCTTGCAACGACGAGAAATCATATCTGTCATGATATAATAAGTGTTGCAATATCAGCATATAATATCTTATAACAATATCACCAAAGGATTATAGGACTTGCTGAAAAAACGACAAGTTTCTCAAACAGGGAGTCAATGAGTGCTGATAGCCCCCAAAAGGGGGCCACGAGCCATAAAAGTAGAGAGCCACATTACTAAGGTTTCACGCCCGCTAACGATAGACAATTTGCACAAATAGCCTTCCACGCATCCAAACCCCAAAACAGAAAATTAAACACAATTTGTTTTGCTAGATTACGGCATAGCCTATACACGAGAAACAAGTCGAGTTCTGTCTCTCTCTTAGTTTCTAAGCCATTCAAATACGGCCCTACATTTAAACGTGATACGGTCAACAATTCCGGTTTGCCCTATGAATGGGAAGAAACTTGATTTTATTGTACAGTATATAATAGGAGCTCACTCAGATGGAACGGCGTGCGCACAACAGCGACAGTTAAAGTCTAAACGTATAACAGTCAGCGTGATTCATGTTGTAGAGCGCAAAGCAGAAGTAGCCTACCAGAGAAGTGTATTTTTGCATTTCATGGATAGGCTACAGCTTTTCACGTCGAAGGTCTTTGTTTTAGTATAAGACCCGCTAATATTTCACTCGGAATTGCGTTTTCAGAAATAAATACATAAGGATAATGAATGTTTTAAATGAAATTTTGGAAGGTCTTGAATTTGCTTTCCAAAAACACGAAAAGGAGATTGTCACCGAGCTTGCTGCCGACAGGCTACTTCATTTTATCGGAGTTTATCTCATTCTTGTTTTAGCTGTGCTTTCAAAAGCGTTGGAAATCTCAGGTACAAATGTCTAAAAACTGTTTGCCAGCCAAAGTATATAATTTTATATTGCACGTATTATTTGTGGATTTTGTTACAGTAATGGGAAAGACCCGAAAAATCCAACTTTCTATGAGTTTCCCACATTTTGTGAGACCCACCAATAGGCCTATTCTCAAATAATATTGACTAGTATCCAAAATAACCCTGTTTGGGAGAGTTGTAATTGTAAGCAATAAAAAATGTTCGTGAAGGTACATGTGAGCCATATAAACTTTCAATATGCAGACGAGAACATATCATGCTTTCCCGTTGATAACACGACAAAATTAGGGACAAGTTTCATGAAGTATGCAAATAGTCACTGTTGGTACTCTTCGCGCGTGACCACCGAATATGGAGAAGAAAATACTGCTCAGTATCGAAAATGTTTGACTCGAGAAGATAGAGTCCGGGAGGAGTTATTGATAGATAATCCAAATCCGGTGAATTCCTTCGTTCAGTGCTTATCATACTTCCTTTTATTGCAAGTAAGTTAAGTTTGTTTTTGCACCTCTACACGTTATTTTCATTAAATTCAACTAAATGCGATACAATTCAAAATACTCTCTATACAAAAAATATTTCCGTGAGCGATTATAATAATCGAACTTCTTGTCATACGTGAGTGTCATTTGAATTTTCACTCTGTACCTCATGAAAATCCCAGAAATACAGTGAGTTTTGTTTTATAAACAAACTAATGTTATCAGTGAAGTGATGTCTTTTCAATTATATTCTAGGCATTACTCTTTGCAATACCCTCGGTATGGTGGCACCATCGAGTCGGAGCACGTTTGATTGGGCATCTACTTTTTGTAAAATCTTTCTTGAAAGAAGTCTATGAGAATTTGCGAAATATTCCAGCTGGAATATATCGGAAGTGAGTTGAATAAAGAGATAAATAACTTGGATCTGGTATCGCAAAAACTGTATTGCTGGTAGTATACAACTCACCACAGTGTTAAATTTTCAAACATAAAATTCTATTATAAAATGGCATGAAACAAGGTTGACTCAAATCCGGTCAACTAACTCATATATGTCGATGAAGCGTCTTTTAACAATAAAGCTGTCCTGTGACGATAACATGCCCTGTTCGATCGGAGTCAGGCTAGAAGTTTCGATGCTTGGTGTTAAATTAATACAGCATTTCAGGTCCAATCCCCCTCTAATAAAAACGATTACAAGGGATTTTTTTGTAAAGCTTCCAAAAGTTTTATGGTTATGATCATTTATCACCCCAATGCAGGTTGCCATATGATAAGGATGGAAACTATTTAGATGGGTGGGGAAAATTTAAACCACGATACAAACAAGAGCACCAAGGAATGTCAACTACACAAGAGAATGAAAACGATTCGACTAAAAATGCTGGAACGATGGACATATTTAACAGGGAACTTACTTTGAATGAAGTCATTGATGTCGCCGTCAATAGTGATATAAAAGAAGAAGAAAAGGAACAAAAGACGCTCGAGACTAACGTGAGTCATTACTCATAATAGTAATATAGATAATTCCAACTAAACTACAACCAGTTGAAAAGTGAGAATCGAATCAAAAACAGAATTACTATACTCCAGAATCACGTGACTGGTACTCTTTCACGTAATTTCGAATCTGAATTTTTTGTTTCTTATATATCCGTTTCAGAAAACATATAACCGCATTTGTGGTTCAATGAAAGACAGACAACTGTTTTCAATGCTTTGCTACGAAAATTTTGCATCTCTCGAATATTATTCCTACATAATGTCCGTCCAATCGTTGACTTCAACGCCAGCTGCCGACGGAGATCGAAGAGGTATTGTACCTCTTCAAAAGGGAATCTGGCGTCAATTCACGCATAAAGACAACTTTACGGGAGATTTCCTAATACGTTCCTACATGACCATGTGCATTATGAGACTGGTGCTATCATTCGTGATATTCATTGTGCTGTGGATTATTTTCAGTCAGTCGTTTGCGCCAACATTTTCGACAAAGTCATTCACGTAAGTTCAGTTTTTCGGGCTTGGCCGTCTGGAAGATAACAAGGATGTTAGATCTAACATACTTTTCGCATTTCAGATGCGACCTCCCACTTCACAACTTGTGCCTGGTTTGCGTTATAAAACGACACTGGGATGTTACAGCATTGTTCTTAATCGATGTATGCGTCATTTTTGTATATTTCGGTTTGTCAGCATTTCAGTTTTACTTCGTTAGATTCGGGTCAAACCGGGCAGTTTGCCACTACTTAGAAGATATGAAAGACTCTATGAGCGTTGCATTCTTGTCGGCACGGAAAGCCAGTCAAAGAAGACAAAAAAGCAATCGTAAATAATACAAGTCGCATGTCACAAATTTGTTCAATTTTTAAGTGCGCATCTAACATTTTAAATATCCAAATTGACAAGTAGCCCACTGATCAATATCAGCCAGTTCGGAATAGTTTAATACGATTTCGAAATGTCGTGCAATAGATGTAAGAGCAATAAACAACAGCCTATCTTGCTGGTATCGTTATGCCAGAGTATACGCTTTTACTTAGAGAGATGCGTGAATACGGATTTTCTGCAATATATTCGTAAAACACTCGGGCCAAGTCGCCAAGATCGTAAACTAGGATTCCGCATGTCCCTACTACGAGGTCGGACGGGAACAATCAATCACTGAATTTCCCCCCAAAGCAAGTGGTCACAGCCACATCTGATGAAGGCCCACTTTGTTAAAGTCAACTTATTGTCTATCGGCTACACCAGTTTCCCAAACTTTTTGGGCCGCGGACCTCTGTTTGGGAATCTTATTTTTGACGGCCCCACATCCCACGTCGTATCAAATTCTGTGTCTAAACGAGACAGGATAACGATTCCTTTGACGTAATAACTCGCCTGAATCAATACATTGATATACTGGCAGGCTAACCAACGGCAATTCGATAAGATTATGATCTATTTGTATATGTTCACTGTTCAGACTCTTTTTATATCTCTGCGCACCCCCTGTGCAGTCATAACGGTCGCGGACATTTGTTTGGGAAACCTGTAGCTAATTTACCACTACGAACCATTGAACCGCGCTCATAACCTCCAAACCAAAGGTCTGTGGGTATACATTAGATACTGTCATCCATATCGGGACCTCCAAGGCACTGTACATACCCAACAAAAAAGTAACACAATTTAAACACATCTTATTATAGGAAGCGATCTGCATTTATTCATTGTTGTAGAATACGAAGATGCATCTAAAAAGTGTGAGGATTTCTTTAGATTTACTATTGAGGCAGTGACGAGATATCTTGCTTCATCGAAAGGCAAAAAAAAAGTAATTTTTTTAAAAAACTTTCACATCACGACATTTCAATCTTATCAAAATTGAGTCGCGATATAATGCTACTTAACAAAATGAAGATGGAGCCACATTTAGACAAAATTGCCATCTCAGTAAATTTTGCGAAACGGGTTCAGTATATATCATTCACACCATATGTGATGGAATGTCTTACTGGCGGAATTATATATATCATCATTGATGGCTTTTAACTTTTCAGTTCATATTATGACAATTTACCTGCAATAAATATAACTATGATTCGTCAGACAGCTTTTACTTCAGAGCACTGCTGAAAAATAAAATACTCAAGTTTCAGCACTGGAGCGATGACTCCTAAAATCCTATTTTGGCAATTAAACTTGTGAATCAACAAACAATTATTTTTCAATATCAAAAAGTGGTATGTTCAAGCTAAAACACATCGAACAATACAAAAACCTTATCCCTAACAGAATCAGCTGGTGCTTCATGTTATCACATCTTCATTTTAGCTTCATCCTAAGGCTTCAAATAGAAATCAATAGCCTCAACAAACAAAATACCAAACAGCCATCTCAGTAATTTAGTGAAACGGGTTCAGTATATATCATACACACCATATGTGATGGGATGTCTTACTGGCGGAATTATATTATCATCATTGATGGCTTTGCGCTTTTTTTAATATTTTTATTCACAATTTAAAAAAATTTACCTTCTCTCAATAAGTGAAAACATCAAGGTCATTTATGACAAGTCAACGGACAATCATCACCGCAAGATCCTGAAACATGGCAAAAAAAATAATGTAGATATGTGTCAAGAAAAAGCGATAATGAAGCAAATCTAGAATCATTAAATGAGTCTGTAAACTATTTTGAACAACGGTGGTAGCAAAATCATCGCAGAGATTCAAACAGTAGATGAATTTCATTGGGTATTTTCGATTCAAAGTTTGACACGTCAAATTATATTCAACCAAACACGATCAAATCACACCAAGATAAAAAGAAATGTTCAAAGTTAACAAACAGATTTTAAATTAAAAAGGCTTTACAGCAGACTTGACAAAAGAAATGCAGGAATTGCCATCTCAGTAATTTTGCGAAACGGGTTCAGTGTATATCATTCACACCATATGTGATGGAATGTCTTACTGGCGGAATTATATTATCATCATTGATGGCTTTGTGGTTTTATTCTAATAATATTCATAATTTTAAAAAATTCCCTTTTTTTTATCATTATTCATAATTTAAAAAACTTTTACCTGCTCCTAATAAGTGGAAACATCACCAGCATCTATGACGAGTCAACTGACAATCCTCACTGAAAGTTGGAACAAAAAAAAATCCTGATCCTGAAACATGGTGAAGTAAGTAATGTAAATATGTGTCCAAAAAGACCGATAATATAAAGTACATCCAAAATCATTGAATGAGCCAGTAAATTATTTCGAGTATTCTTAGCTGAAAAATCATCGAAGAGATTCAACAGTGGATGAATTGCACTGGGTATTTTCGATTAAAGTTCGACATGTCACGTTATATTCAACCAAACATAAGCAAATCGCACCAATTTGGTGGGTGGTGTTCAAAGTTAACAGACTTTAAATTAAAAAGGCTTTACAGGAGACTCGACAAAGAAAATGCAGGGACTACCATCTCAGTAATTTTGCGAAACGGGTTCAGTATATATCAGTCACACCATCTGTGATGGAATGTCTTACTGGCGGAATTATATTATCATCATTGATGGCTTTGTGCTTTCTTATTATTACCCATAATTTAAAAAAAATTTACCTGCCTTAACAAGTGGAAACATCACCAGCATCTATGACGAGTCAACTGAACATCCTCACTAAAATTAAAAAAAAAATCCTGACGAGACTTAAAACAAGGCAAAGGAAATACTGGAAATATGCATCTAGATTCAGAAAGGCCGACAATTAAGTACACCTGAAATCATTAAATGAGCCAGTAAAACTATTTTGACTAATGGTACATGAAAAACCATATGAGAGAATCATCAGTTGATGAATTACAGTAATTTTGGTTCCAGTTTTTGTCATGTTATCACATTATATTTAAAATAACATTGGCAAATCGCACCAAACTAGTTAAAAAAGCCTATCAGGTATCTCGACAAAAAAATGCAGAAATTGCCATCTCAGTAATTTTGCGAAACGGGTTCAGTATATATCATTCACACCATATTTGATGGAATGTCTTACTGGCGGAATTATATTATCATCATCGACGGCTGATGGCTTTTTTGATGCTTAATGATATATTTCATACTATAAAAAAACATTACACACACCTGCCTAAAGTGACATCACAATCGAAGACGAGTAGACGAACATTCTTTCCTGAAGCTGAAAAAATATTTGATATAAATATAAAAAATTTGAAAACTGGGGGATATTTACATCCCCCCCCCCCCTTTGCAATTAAAATTGTGACCTCAAATGAATTATATTCTAGTCAAAAAAAGTTTTAAATAAGCAACTTCAAAGCACTACGATTTCAAATAAACAATGCAAAGCCTCCTAAAAACTTTACAGTAGGTATTTGAAATTTCAGTGCTAGCCCAATTCTCGGAATCTTGCCTCATTATCTAATATAACTTGTACTGTGATGTATCAAGATAGAAAGTGATGCAAAACAGGTATACAGAAGTAGGACAATCACGTTAACAATAAAGTTAAAAAGAGGTGTTCAAAGTTAACAGACTTTAAATTGAAAAGGCTTTACAGAAGACTTGACAAAAAAAAATCTAGGAATTGCCATCTCGGTGATTTTGCAAAACGAGTTCAGTATATATCATACACATCACATAAGATGGAATTCATTGCTTCTTCAATCAAATTTAACTAAATTTATCAACGACTCTAACAATTTTATACAGATTTGAGGCCCACCTGAAAATATTCCTGTGGCCCAGCAGTGGGCCATGGCCCACATGTTGAGAACCAGTGGTCTAGAAAGACCGATAATGAATAAAGTCTAAAATCCATGAACGAGCCAGTAAAGTTTTTGTGACAAATGATAGTTGAAACCATTGAACAAATTCATCAGTAGACAAATTACATTCAGGTATTTTTGATTCCATTTTTTGTCATGTATTCAGATTATATTTAACATAACCTTATCAAATCGTACCAAGCTAGTTGAAAGTTACCGACTTTAAATTAAAAAAAGCTTTACCGAAATATCGACAAAGAAAATTTAGGAATTGCCATCTCAGTGATTTTGCGAAACGGGTTCAGTATATATCATCCACACCATATGTGATGGAATGTCTTACTGGCGGAATTATATATCGTCATTGATGGCTTTTTAATTTTTTTTATTATTATTCAGAATTAAAAAAACTTTTACCTGCTCTTATTAACATGTGGAAACATCACCAGCATCTATGATGAGTCTCAATTGACGATCCCGACTGAAAGTTGGAACAAAAAAAATTCCCTTATAAGACTAAAACATGGCAAAGCAAGAAATATAAATAGGTGTCTAAAAAGACTGATAATAAAGTACATCTAAAATCATTAAATGAGCCAGAAGTTATTTTGAGGGTAGCTGAAAAACCATTTGAGATCCATGAGTTGATGAATAACATTCCAGTTTTTGTGATGTTGTCACAGTATGTATAAAATAATCTTTACAAAAAATGCAGGAATTGCCATCTCAGTAATTTTGCGAAACGGGTTCAGTATATATCATACACACCATATGTGATGGAATGTCTTACTGGCGGAATTATATTATCATCATTGATGGCTTTTTTGATGCTTAATGATATTTTAAATACTATAAATAAAACATTACACACACCTGCACAAAGTGACATCACAATAAGAAGCATCGAAAAAAGAGGAGTAGAATTCTTTCCTGAAGCTGAAAAAATATTTGATATGAATTATAAAAATTTAAAATCTGGGGAATATTTACACCCCCCTCTGCAATTAAAATTGTGATCTTGAATGACTTATAGTTAGGGCTGTCCAAAAATCGAATAATTTTTTGATTCGAATCGAATCGAATATTTTCGACGAATCGAATATTATTGCGCAATCCTAAATCTGTCTCTATTATACAAGAAACGCCTGCCCTTCGATGTTGTGGTGACGTATGTGCAGTTACATCTTACTTACTGCTGGTATTTTGCAATACAATGTTTTCAGATTTGTGAAAGGAGATCACACGCTTGTATGAACTGGTCAAAAAAATTTGAGGACTCCAAAATTTGGGTCTCGAAAACTGTTGCGTGTTAGGGGTAAAAATTGCAATCTCAATTCTAATAGATTCAGTTTTAATAGTACATGTAAAGCCTGTAGATGCTATTTTAATCCTATCCACTAGGTTATGTTTTTTTGTGTAATTTTCAGCAAAATAATAACAACCATTAATATAGATAAAACTGTTGCTCAAATTCAAAATTGCATTTAACAAATTCGAAGCTAGTTTGATGACTTTAATATTGTTAGTGTAAAACAGCCATCAAAAATCAAGAGTGCAATTATTTGTCTTGGTATATTGAAGAATAATACAGTATTGCCATCATAAGGATCCCAAAACACCTGTTTCAGCTTTGAGTTACCTTTACCAAGTTCCTATGATAACTAACTTAACAGCTTCATATCGATTCTATTTATTGAACTATCGTTTTCTAAATTGTCTTCTAAATTGCCTTTTTCTCCTTGTTCTCTCTCAAAAACGTCATTACCCGATAACTTTTAAGTTATGATGACCATGCATGAAATGGCTAAACACGTGCCACCGGGCGGACATTAGGAATGACATGTTTATCACAAAATGAAGGCAAGAGAAATATCGGGAAACCAATTAAGCCAGGAGCGAGAGCGGTCTAAACTCGAAGCGCCGCCGCTTGCCCGATAAAAAACGTCCTGCAAAGGTGGTTTCCGCTTTATGTACCTAATCTTAGCGATTCGAAAATTAGCCGAAAAACGATTCGAATAATTTGCGATTCGATTTCGAATATTTGGTTCACTTGGACAGCCCTACTTATAATCCAGTCAAAAAAAGCTTTTAATAAGAAAGTTCGAAGCAATGCGATTTCGAATACACAATGCAAAGCCTCTTTTAGAAACTTTACGGTAGGTATTTGAAATTCCAGTGAATCCTGAAACATTACGTAATGTATCAAGATTAAAAGTAATGCAGAACAGTCATGCGGAAGTAATTAGGTTTTAATACTGACAAAAAAAACAGAATAGCCATCTCAGTAAATTTTGCGAAACGGGTTCAGTATATATCATTCACACCATACTTTATGGAATGTCTTACTGGCGGAATTATATTTATCATCATTAATGGCATTGTGTTTTTTGCTATCGACTATCATCTATGCTACTTACCAGTTGGAACACTACAAACGACCATCTTTGGTTACTTCTTCCAGTTTTTCAGATCTATACCTAAACAGAAAAACATATAAAAATTAATCTAATATTTTCTCATAGACAGTTAACCAAACAACAGTGAGACGTAAAATGTACTAAATACATATAATACTTCAAAAAGCATTCCATTCTGGTAACTGAATTCCCAATAGAATAGAACTTTAGCAACTAAAGTTAAAACTTTAATTCTGCTTTAAGATCTTCACTGCTTATTAACGCGCAAGTTGTTCAATGAACAAGTTACCATTTTTCATGGAACATCTGTTACATAAAAGAGGACTAGATATGGGAGAGTGGTTGCAACTGCTTGGATAAAAGAAAATTAATTAGCACAAAAGTTTGCGACTTACAAGTGATGTTTTCATTCCAATTTCAACTAAGATTAAGTACTGCCATATCAGAAAATATGAAACGGGTTCAGTATATATCACTCACACCATATGATTGATGAAATGTCGTACTGGCGGAATTATATTATCATCATGTATGGCAGTATTACAGTAATATTATCCAAAACAACATTCTATTTACCATTCATCAAGTTGGTATCAATCCTTCATACAGCAGCATCTTGTAACATCTGATGGAAGACTGTAGTAGTGAAATAGTAATAAATGGCATGTACCGTTATGTACATATATACTGTTACTATTTAAAATATACATTAGCTTACTTTCAAAAATATCTTGAACACCAAAAAACATTAGCAGTTATTCTAATTGTCTATTTCTACAGTACATCCTCACTATTCCACGAACTGACTTTTCATTTGTGCAACCAGGAGCAATGTTACATTATCCAAAATTCTATCAAATCATTTGAAATTGAGATAATTCAAGCTTTTGAATCTGGTAAACGTAGAAATGAGACTATCTAAAATATTGAAACTAAGAATATGATCTGATTATTGAACAAAGTCAAAATAGTAGGAAACATGCAAATACTACATATTCAATTGTTAGCTTTATTGGAGACCGCCTTGAGTTGACATATTCTAGCAAGGCAGAACTATGAAAAGCTGATATTCTATAGCAGCCATGTATAAAGCCAAGAGCAAGCAATTGCGCAATACACACAAAAAGCAAGTCAATCTTGTACAGGAACAAGATAGCAAAATGGCTGCATGAAAAATGAATATAATTTTAGTATGGAAATACCTTGCACAGTGTAAAAACAAAAGTCCTTTAACGCTGATATATACAAATCTAAAAAGAATTGAATAAATTGGTAACGTACAGCGTGATCAAATTAACAGAAGGCAAGCATTTAATACAGAAATTGTGTCAACTATGAAATCAAATTTTACGCTAATTTGACTGATTACACAGAAACCAATTTTAAATGATTACAACAACTTAGGAATTCGTATGCGACAAATAGATATTCACACAAGATACCCATAGACCCATCTAAAAACTGTTAGCCTGCTATACACAGCACTGTGATTACTCGACAACACTGTACCTACGACAGGCTAAGTCTCATGCTTGTATTGAAAAACTGGAAGACATCAATATTGCCGACATCTATATGGTATCACTTACTACACAAAGAAATGACACCTAGACTATTTTGGTTAAAATCTGTATCATTGGGTCATACCAGGGCAAATATGACCCAGTGGCACAGATACTAACCAAGCGGTCATGTCGGCATGGAAGATATAGGACAGACATTAGCAAAAATGATTGGGCTGTATTGGACTTATTTTACCAATTATCAATTACGCAATGTAATGGGATACTGAATCGATGTACATTACATTTGTGTAGATTGTCAAAAAATTTCATACAAAGATATAAATACTTACGATAATGTGTCATCCACATGTCTTATGCAGATATTGAGCTGGAATACTGCATTCAGTTGTTACAAGGCAATCCCAAAGTTCACTCTAAAATGCCAAAAATGCAATTCAGACACACACCAACAGTACTGATGTTTAAATGCTAGCTGATATAACTTCAAATGGAACCAAATTCCCTCAGATTGTTTCCCTTTTTTTCCACAATATAAGTTACTTTCATGCAACTTTCAGTCCACTACTCACACATCATCGGGCAATGGTTCCATATTTATTAATTCCAGGTTTTAATACTTTTCGTCACTAGCAATTTCAAAAATGAAGGTTTAACAGTCTTCCAAAAATTTAGTTTTCACAAACATTAAAGCAGTTGAGAAAATATGTATAAACTAGTTGTGTACTCTGTAAACATATTAAGTTTCCTCACTTTTCACAAGGAACTATTTTTCTTCACAACATCTTGCCACTCCTGTCAAAAAAAAAACAGTTTAATTGGATTAGATTTGACATGAACAAATAATATATCACACATCATCCATTTACTGCTAGCTTGTAATTTATGGAAATAGTATATCGAAATACAACCAAACCAATAAACTCATTGCTCAGAGAGACTTAATCTATCATATTAAAATCAGATAGGGCAAGTCATTTACTATCATCAAAGCGTGGCCAAGAACGACACAATTCTATCTGCCTGAATCAGTTTTAAATACTTTTGATGCAGCCTAAAATAAAATGAAGACAACTACCTTACTCAATAATTCTGAATCATCCAAAAGTGGTAGTACTGATGCTCCCCTATGTAAAGAAAGTTTAATTGATGAGCTAACCAAGAATAAAATGCTTAAGGTACAACTTAGCTCAATATTTGATCTATATTTGTGAATTACTTTAGAAAAAGGTTCCAAAATAATACGTTGAATGCTCAGATAGACTTATTCTATCATAATAATATCAGATAGGGCAAGTCATTTATATCATCATGGCTTTGTAAGTAACACCATGATTTCCCAAAGTATTCTAAATAAACATCTGAAAAATAAACACTAGTTTTATTTTTATCTGTTCTTAGTTATCTAGACCAGTGGAAGATCTCGCATCAAATAGCATCACCTTGGATTTTAAATATATATTGTGAATGTAAATTTTCAAACGTGTATGCTTCATTACATAAGCTTAGTTCATTTGTATAAAGGTGGTCCGCCAAAATTTTGATCAAGATATACCAGTCCGGCAGTTAAAAAAGGTTGCCGACCACTGATCTGGACGAACCAGCCCATATATCTCATTGCCATATTTTTGAAATTGATAAATACCTCGCGGATAAATATTCCTTTGCTTTGACACACTCGAATGCTTCCCATAGATCTAAAATAAGTCAAAATTTGTTTGAACATAACGAACATTGCAATCAATCGAATAAACTATTGATAATTCCCTCAGATTGTTTCCCTTTTTTTTCCACAATATAAGTTACCTTCAAGCAACTTTCAGTCCACTACTCGCACATCATCGGGCAAATTGAAATATCGAAATTTAATTACAGTAAACAATTCAGTACACAAACTTACCATATACCTTTCATTAATAAGCATGAAGGATCAGCCTGTGAATGATAATGAAATTTTTTTTGAACAAAATACTATGACGTCGTAAGCTAACATGATACTGTTCTCAAGGTAAGCATTGGCCCAATACGTGATCTATACTTGTGAACTACATAGATAGAAAAAGGTCCCAAACTAATATAGTGAAGGCTCAGAAAGACTTATTCTATCATAATTAAATCAGATAGGGCAAGTCATTTATATCATCATAGCTTTGTAAGTAACAGCATGATTTCCCTGAAGAATTCTAAAACATTTAAATATTGAAAAACGAAACAAAAAGACAAATATTAATTTTATCCGTCCTAAAGTTATGTAGACAAACCAGCTCATATTTTTAAATTGATAAATACCTCGCAGATAGTTATTCCTTTGACACACTTGAATGCTTCCCATAGATCTGAAACAAGTCAAAATTTGTTTGAACAGAACGAAACATTGCAACCAATCAAAGAAACTATTGATAATTCCCTCAGATTGTTTCCCTTTTTTTCCACAATATAAGTTACCTTCAAGCAACTTTCAGTCCACTACTCACACATCATCGGGCAAATTGAAATATCAAAATTTAATTACAGTAAGAAATTCAGTACATAAACTCACCATATACCTTTCTTTATGCAAATAGGATCCGTCTGTAAATGATAATGTGATATAAAAACCATGATATTTTGAACAAAATACTAACAGGTCGTATGCTAACATGATATTGTAGTGTACATGAAGGAAACTTGCTTAAGGTAAGTCAGCATTGGCCCAATACGCGATCTATACTTGTGAGTTAGATTGGAATATGGTTCTGGTATATTACACTGGAAGCTCAGATAGACTTATTCTATCATAATTAAATCAGATAGGGCAAGTCATTTATATCATCATTGCTTTATAAGAAGCAGCAATACAGCATGATTTCCTAAAGGTATTATGAATATTCTGAAAAATTGAGTATTATTTACTATATGTCCCGAGTTTTGTAGATAATTTGGCCAGGGGCATACCCAGATTTTGGGTGGTCCGGAGCTGCAGGTCGGAACCCTCTATTTTGAAATGTTGAAACACTTTTTAGAACCTCCTCAAGACTCTTTTTGAGGACCCACACTTTCTGCCCGAACCCGTTAACTGTTACAGTTTAAATCTGAAATTTCCCCTTTTGAAAACTCTATCACACTCATCAACCATAAAGAATATATACCTCATGCTCATAGTAGAATCTTCAAAATCCATTGTTGCATTCATGGCCTGTAAATAAGATTGAAATTAAGAAAGGGCCAATTTTTATTAACCCAAGGAAAAAAAATTGATCTATCGCAAAGCCACATACATCAGAGCTTCTTCGACTTAATCTATCATTATTAATCAGATAGGGCAAGTCAAAAACATCATCATTATATGGAACATTAGCATTCAACTTACGAGATTAACACATTCAAAAAAATAACACAAATGATAATAAAAAACAGTATTGTTTCTGACACCGTACATGTTTTTGTTTCAAAGGAGATGAGAAAACTATATCCTTGAACATTTCATGAATGTGAACTTTTGCTTTATGCACGAAAAAATTCATCAAGAACTTTAATTAAGATACAATCATACAATTTATGTTAACAGGAGATTAATTTCATAAGCTATTCAGCTTATAACGTAATTGAAACTCACCAACAGTATTCACATCTGCAAGATTAGCACATCCATTCATTAGCAACAATCCATCCTAAAATCAAGAACAAGCATAAGCACAGAATATAAGTTTATTAAAACAACTCAATAGTAAGTATAATAACTTTTTTTTAAATAGTCATCCTTCATGTTAGATATATTATATCAAGTGTTGGTCACTTTAGAAATACAATGAAAAAAGATTCTCTGAAGTGATACAAAGTTCATATTTTGCTGATAATTTATAACTTAATTGAATGTGATACAAACCAAATTAAACCACACCTTTAGCTTCAAATAGAAAATAATTTAACAATTTTATCGCTACATATTACAACCAATAAAAGCTTGGCATTATATTAATGGTAGAATAGTGATCGACCACTGGAGATGTGCATATTAAAGGTCAGATTTACCCTAAAATTCATTTATATATGGAGTGTTATAAAACTTTTTTCTAATTGGTTTTCAACGAGTTATCATTTAGTTTCATCAGATTTTAATTAGCAAGATGTTTGAATTTTCTATTATCTGCTTTTAAAATTGATTGAACCTTTTAGAACTGAAACTAACCAACAATAAAGTTTACTCATTCTTGAAATAAATTTCATCAAAAATTTCTTTTCTATATTTTCTTTAGCTGACAACTACTCCGGAAGTTCACTGAACAAATGCTTGATTACAATATGCTATTAATAATAAAAATGCACATATTCACGGCAAGATATCGCACATGAAGATTCACTTTCGATACCAATTCTTTGATTTAAATACACTGCCAGAGCTCGGGTATAAAAATAAGATAACACACATTTTTTGTCTGGTCCTAGTAAAGTACTATTGAAACATAATTATGCCAACATCATTCAATTAATAAATAAGCTACATGGACATAATGAGGTTAATGTAGTAGATTGAACCAAATGCAAAATCAATCATGAAACGTTTTTATTATGGGCCTAAAATTAGGCAATACTTTACAGGGATATACTTTATTAAAACGGGGAAGTTGTTTAAAACGTTTTCAAGCGAAAGAATGAATCTAAATTTGTCTACTTATTACTCGTGCAGGAATAAAACGTGAATTTTAAATTGCTGTACATTACCTTTATATTAACACTAAAGTGTCACGATTTTTTCTTTAAATCCTGGAGGCTTTCATGTTCTTGTTTGAAGATTAGATTTTAACAAAGAATCACTCCCTATTTTCAGTTGTTTTGCATCTACTTTTATGTCGATTCTTCAGTTGGGCTTCTTATTTTTAGAAGCATTGATACATATTTTTTGACTTTGCTAACCAGATTCAGCATGTTGAACTCGTTTATTATATACTTAGTAGAGGAAGTACACGTTAATTTGTTGAGCCGAGCGTCAAAAATCATACACCGAACTTATATTTTAAACTCATTCGCATATTGGTCATGTTTTATAATTACTGAAAAAAGTAGCTGGAGGCTAGAAACTTGGTATTTAACAAAAGTCATTTAACGAGGTGAATCACCAACCAAGTCTTGTGTCCAGCTACTTTCTTTCATTTGTTAGCATTTATTTAACTTATCAGTAATTTTCCCCTCAACTAAATTTATAACATTTGCAGTTTATAACAAGACTATACAGATAATAAAATTAGGTTCGTACACCTGAAAGAACAAATTGTACAATTAATCCAGCATTGTATAAAAAATTTACCTGCATGATTTTATCAATTTTTCCGTTAGTAAAGTTTCTATTTATATAATATTAAATAGATTGTCGTTGATATTGGGGCAATTACTTGGCATTATCAAACGGGGATATTCAATCACAATAAGACCTTCGAATCGCGACCAATGGCTTTACTTAAAAACGGAGACAGTCATTTGGCATTTTTTGTTATGTTGTTTATTTTATTGTGAACGGATAAAAAAGTAGAACTTACACAATACAGATTGACAAAATAATAAAAGCATGGCAGTTCAATCTTAACATTATTACCCATATCCTTTTCACAAATTCATGGTATTAAAATGTTGCAGTTTGTACAATTAATTTGATAAGTTAGGTGCCAAGCCGGAAGCCTACAAAAATTTAATAGTGAGAAAAAAATATGAAACACTGAGATTGAAAACTTGATACCGGTGGGATATTAGAAGGCAAACTGCCATAAAGACTACTTGTTCTTTCAGATTAGTTTATATGCTATTTTTAAAGTTTGTTGTGTAGCTTTTAGGGATTTTAATTCTTCAATCATTATGTCATTTTTTAAACCTCACATCAGGTAATTTGAAGTTATTTTAGGATTGTTTTTCGTTTTGTAGGTTATGGTTTTTTCTTGCGTTTTCAGTACAATGAAAACTAACCAGGAAAGAGTTCATCATATGAAGATGGAGCAACTAATACGGCTTCTGTCGACCTCTCATACCACCACGCATCTTTCCTCTGAACCCTTGGCCTCCGCCGAACGAAGGTTTCACAGAAGGAACCATGGAACTACCATTTCCATAAGCATCTGAAGTATAATGAAAACAATGTATATGATCTGTTACCCAGCTATGAGGATGATGAGAAAAGTAATTTCAATGCCATTTGCAACATATTGTTACGAATGGGGATGGATGTGTTGTGGCTACCATTAATTAAATGGCGGCCAATACCGAATAGTTCACTAAATACATACAAAATTGATATTTTTGAATTTGAAATATTGAACACATTTTATGTCCGCAGATTGCTGTGATATTTTAGAGCAGTAATGCTTTTAATTTTGCGAAAGTAAACTCACTCATCATAAGACAAGCATTATAAATGATGTCATCAGTCGAGGATTTGGATATTTTGCACAACAGAAAATCATTCAACTATCACTATCAAAATTATTTGCCAAAAAGCGTGGGAAAGCATGAATTATTTTTCCTAATAAATCAACTTGTTTTTTCGATTTGTGACAATTCAATGGGTATCGATACAGCTTTACATCATTTTCAATTTTTCGACGTAATGAAAAAAATTTGTAAAGTAGAAGCGTTGGCAGTTATACAAGGCGTGCACCCCCAATTAAGTGCATTTTGTTTTATGTGAAAACTTCCCCACAGTATGTTAAATAGTTCAGCTTGTGATGAGGATGTAAAAATATAGAAAAAATGATAGGCCATAAAACACAAAATGAACATGTCTTATCTTACCAAATGATTCGGTTCCATAACCGTAATCCTCATAACCAGTCTCTGCTTCATACCTATGAAGGAAAAGCAGCATGATGACAAAACACATGAAATACAAGAATTGTAAACATAGACCTATTTTTATTTGGAATAAACTTGTCAGTTTTAACCTTTGAAGTCTCTTACATATTTTAAATTAAATTAAACACAATATTTTTAATCACTTCGCAAAGTCAAAAAAAATGCTATCTTACCCATCACCATACGCCACAGCTTCTGCCCCATAAGCGGCAGCATCATAGCTTGCATCATATGTGGCATCGTATTCTTCATAACCAGTCGTGTCATATGCACTTGCAGTCACAGCGGAAACAGCACCGTAGCTTGAATCATATCCCTGTAGATAGAAAAGGTTGATTTTAGTCTGTAGCATTTGTCATAAGCAATCAATAGGTCCAATAGGATGAATTTTAAATAGTTATTCAATTATACACCAACCTCTTGCTTTGTATGGCGGTGTTTGTTTCTCCTTTCTGATCTACTTTCATCTCGGCCCTGTAAAGAATTTTGCGAATCCCACAGAAGCCAAAATTCTAAGCTAAACTACACTTATCCTTATCCTCACCACTAACTCGTACTCATTGGCTTTCACAAACTTCACACGACTGACAAGAGACGACTTAAATATTTTAAGCTTATCACTTGCTACTAATTGTCTACGAGTTGAATGTAATGATTACTTTTTGCACAGTCAATGCTTCCGTCTAACTTGCCTGCTAAAGCTTATTCGACATTCATCAAAACTAATACCAGAAAATAGTAGCACTATCGATGCAAAAGTCTAATATTGAACATCGAACCAGAACGAATAACTTTTAAACTCACATAGTCATCGGTGTATGCATCCGCTACTTGACTCAGTTGAGCATATGCTTGACTCTGCCCTCGACCAGCACCACGTCCTCTTGATGCACCTTAATAACAACAGTTACGATTTTTGACATACGATTATAACTGAAATAACAATTACAGCACAAATCGAAACTTACCTCTGGCAGAGCCACGTTGACCACCTCCCATACCTCCACGAGAACCTGTAGCACCTCTCGAAGCACCGCCACCTCTCATGCCACTTCCTCTAGCACCGCCTCTTGGGCCACCCCCTCTCGTACCGCCTCGTCCACCACGGAAACCACCAGAGCTGTGAAGATTTGAAATATATTAATCATTGAAGAGTTCTATTTTGGACTCTTGTGCTCGAGCAACAAAAACACTGATTTTGAACATACTTTCCCATTCCTCCAGCACCTCTTCCTGAACGCATTCCAGTATTCATGCCTTGACCACCTTCATATTGTTGTCCTTCAGCCTGTTCATCGATTACAAGTAATTTCTGAATTTCAGCACATGCACGCCCAATGCTGATATATGCCTAAAGATAGGAAATTCATTTATCATTTAATGTGTATATGTTAGATTTTGAGCCTTGTTATTTTAATGAACCTACCTGTGGTAGAGGTGCATAAGCACTGATGTGTACATGAAGAGGATAGGCTAGATGAGCATATTTTGGATCGTTCTGTGCATGCAACTCCTCGGCCTTTATAGTACGAATGCAATTTTTAATAGAAAGTATACATGCAGTTAGGAATGCTTTAATACATTCAAGTTTTTTATAATCTATTATAAATATAAAATAATATATTAGTTTTGGAATAATTCGAGAAAATTTTCATTTACTATTTTGACATTGAGCATTCTTATGTCTACTCATAACAAAATATAGGTTTCACTCAACTATGCAAAACTTGAAAATTATCCAATACAATGTTTGTATTTTTTTCTGCATTCCTAATTTTTATTTGTACAGATATGGAAGAATAATGGGGTCTTAGTGTAGTTTCGTACCTAAAGCGCTCCTAGTGAGCGTAGCATAACAATTTTTGTATATGTTAATCCTAACCCGTGCCTGACTGAGTCATCCGAAAACTATGTCACCACAAGTCACAGTGACATATTAGAGCCCTTCAAACTATATGAACTGTCATCCAAGACGCACAGACGATAACCCGAAATCGAGATTGTCGTCACAACAATCCCGACATGAGAGAGATCGCTGCCGTTAGTGAGTTCTTTATCGTCGACGCAGATGCCATTCCGCGCGATCGTAGGTATACTTTGTCAAGCTCAATGATATGATTGTAACGTCGTAGTGACATAATTTTAGGATGGCATAGTCAGGTGGGGGTTAGGATTGACATGTGAATAAATTGCTTATTATTATGCCACACCCACTAGAAGTATATTATAAGTACGGAACTACACAAAACCCTAAAAATGTTATTACATAAGGCGTTCTTCTTATGAAAAAACATCACTCTTATCTACATCATAAACAACATTTGTTAAAATGTGGCAATATTACTTTTTTACGATCTCTTTCACGAACAGAACCCTTGCCAAGCACAGCAATCTTTGTTCCTGTGACTTCTTGAATTCCTTTCATTGTGGATCCACCTGGTCCAATCAATCGACCAACAAAATTTATCTAAATATATATTGTCATTGATTATCAAAGTATTTTGTTATAAAGAATAAATAACACAAAACTTACTCGTGGATGTTTCTCAGTAGGAACTTTTATGTCTATTTCAACTTTTTGCATATTCCCAGTATCGACATCTATCAACGTTTTGGCTGAATCTTTAGATTGTGATTTCAATGGATTCTTTATTCTCTCAATTTCTATAAACAATATCGTTAAACATTTTCAGAAGTTAGGAACTGTTTTCATTTTTTCTTCTGTAAATCGGATTATTTTTTTCTGAGGAATTCAATGGTGAGGTTTTTAAAATATATTTTTTTAAGTTTGTTGTGCTGTGTCGGTTTGCGTCGATATGGTCGTTAATCAAGGCCCACACAGTCTCGTAAAAAAGGAGTTTGCACCCACTGTTATAATTGATGTCTTTTAATGGAGGCCTTATTCTTAGAATGTAGGTATGTTACAAAAAAATTAAAGTTCATCAGATTTGAATAAAAACTGTGCCAGTGGATAGATCCAAGTGAAAATAAGAAAACAATACCAAGTTTGTAAAACATTGTCAAGAAATAACAAAGATATCGGCATTTTAGTATCGACCAATAGACCAATTTTTTCCTTAAGGATTGTATTAGGCCGACTCAAAAACTGTGACCGCAAGAATGTCAGACCGATAAACAACAGAATGTATCTCGGCTATTCTTGAAGGTAATCGAAAAAAATTTGGAACAAAAAGATATCGTGAATAGAACCTAATGCGACAAAGTTTACAAATTCCATTTGAAGAAGTTATCTGCTTTCCAATTAATTATGTACGAGAAAGTCTCTGAACTTCACATAATCTCTGGTCGGCAACGACCTTCCCAACTACGCAAGTCCACGCATACGTGGCAATTTAACTGATTAAGCGTTTTTCAAATCCAACCTTACTTGATGAACAATTAATTATCATTCAATATTCCTTAACTCGTAAGACATTTACCGCTCTCAGTGCAACGCAAAACGAGAGAAATCGCTGCGAGGGAAAATGTCGACTTTCCATCGATAATATATGCGCGTTGACAGACTCTTGCTAAAATCATACTACCAGTGTCTTGAATCAATGTGTAGCATTTCGTAAACGTACGCGAATTAACTTATTTTTTATAAAAACTTAAATGAATATGAAAAAAAGAACACATATCAATCACTAATCTTTCGATCTGCGTCACATCTATGCAATATTGGATCTATCTCAGGATTTTATTCTGGCAACAGTCATCGAGGCCGCCGGAAGATCGTCGTAAATCAACGCTGGAATTGTACATTTTAGTTTGGCATTGCCAGATGGTCTGATTGAACAAACTTCAGAAAACTGGTAAGTATTAAGTTAGGAGAGAAAAAAGCACATTTTGTATAATTCCTATTAGAACAGTAGAATGGGAGAACTGTGACATAAGGTGGCTTACCCACTTTGCGGCCACGACCTATTTGCGGCCATCAACTTCATCGATCTGATTAATGCCGTAAAAATTAACGAACCGCGACAATATTTCTCACGCGTTATCGTCCACTTTTCCCTCATAGCTCTGCGAAATTACACTAAAATGCGGCCACAAACAAAAAAGTTGCGACCGAAAACCCGACTTAGGAAAAAATAAGGACCATTATTAACATTAACTTGAAAATCCATACAAATATAAGAGATAAAAAGATGAAACTTGGCAAGGGGGTAGAGTTGTGTTTTTTTTACCCATCTTTTAATTTTCGCGTTTCTACATTTGAAGGATGGGGAATAGGGGGGTGCGCATTTCCAATACGGCGATAATATCTTTGTCGACCAATTTGCGACCACCGTGTTTTTGTCTGTTTGATTGCTGTGATGCGGCGCTTTGTATATAATTTGACGAGTTTTGTTTGAAATGACAGTACAGCACACTATCCAAATTCCAAGAATTTCCCTCCATTTGGCTCAATAAAACAAACACTCCATGTGTTTCACAAACGAGGAGCGTCTGGGACCACAACAGATGCTTCATATCACGCCATGCTTGTCTCAATAATAATCTAATTGTCTCAATAATAATCTAAATTAATCGCGGCCGTCACATGACCAAAATGGCCGTTTTTTGCTGAAAACTCTCGAATGCCACAGTAAAAATTTTTTTCCTCCAGTAAATCGGATTATTTTTTCCCAAAGAATTCAATGATGACGTTGCTAGACTGCGCTTTTCTGTAGTATTTTGCGCAACTTCATTATACTGTAGTATTATCGATATCGAGGGACAACAATGTCCAGACGTTCCCCGAAGGAGGGGTGTCTGATCATCTGTAAAATGGGTTTCTCTGAAACGGGAAAATGTAACCCGATTTGTAGTGTACCGTACTGAATGACCATGTTATTAAAATATATGATGGTCAGAAATGCAATTAGAAGCCCAATTTTTTAATGCATGGTTGCGTATGCTCTAGTCTCGACGCAGCAGAAACGATTTTCAAGGCTTGAAATCCGTGGTCGCACACTGGTCGTTCGGTCGCAAATACGTCTTCAGAGTGTCGTACTTTGGTGGTTTGTATAGCTTTAACCCCTGGTCGTAGAAAGTTAATTCGAAGTTCAGCGTGTAGAATAAATGCCAAAGCACTTTCGGTGAAAAAATTAACGGGTTAGAAATATTGTTTTTTGTTTTATAGCAGTTTGAATGAAATCGTCCGCAGACTGGCTACACCACCCTACAGCACAAGAGTGTCAGACTGCTGCTTAAGCCTCAAGATTGACTTCAAAAGTACTATGGCTTCTGTTTATGCATATGATGTATTGAAGACTGTAGAGGACGCGTTTTGATGGTTAGTTACTACTTTGCGCACAGTGAGTGGACTGTTGCATGTATCCAGAACCACATTACACTTTGTAACACACATTTTGTTACTGGCTTCTGATCATTATTTTCTGAGAACAGCACGCAACCACATAAGAAAATTTGAATTTTGATTTTTTGAATATTGAGACTTGAAATTGAACATGAAAACACAGATTATTTGTTAAAGTCAATTTCACGAATAAGCACTCATATGTAGTCACCATCGCTTGGGTGACATGGGCAGTCACGACCTTGTAATGGAACTAAGATAAGGAAAGTCGGAATAAAAATTGGGCTTAGATTTAACCTGGTACACATACTGCGGGAGTTTAAATTAATGTACCTTTTTCATGTCTTTTTTATTTAATTGTTGAAATTTTTATTGTTGGTCAATCGAATAGCACTTCTGGTCTGTATAGCTTTACAGCTTTAACCCCTGGCCGTAGAAAGTTAATTAGAGGTCTAGCGTGTAGAATAAATGCCAATGCACCTACGGCGAAAAAATTAACGGGTTAGAAATATTGGTTTGTTTTATAAAGGTTTGAATGAAATCGTCCGCAGACTGGCTACACCACCCTACTGATTTTTCAGTTTTTGGAATTGTAAAAAAGATCAGAACAGTAATTCCAGATTTAAACAAATACTGAAATAACAGAATACCGTAAAAGCGCCTAACTTCGGACAGTCCCTAACTTCGGACAAAATTTTTGAACGGCCATATCTTGGCTAAAACGCGCCGTATATTGCTAATTTTAATTATTATAGGTTGCGCTGTTATATCTACATCTATTCTCATCTTTTTTAATGTTGCATAATTATTTTTTTGGTAAAAAAACGGAAATTTTGCCGAAAATTGACTGCCCGGCATTCAACGGCGCAGAGCGTCGCTCCTACTGAAGCTATCGTCGTCAAAATACCATCATTCGGTAGAGGGCGACAACAATGTATATAATTTATTTGAGTGATCGCAAGATGTCGTACGAGATTTAAATAAAACCTAAAATTCTGAATTATAAATTCCGTAAGAATATAAGATTTCACGCAGCGTCAAAAATTACGTCAACCTCACGTAGATTATTTTTCGCTCACTTCCGAAACGACGTCACACTGCGTCGCGGAAATGAATTTTGACGCCAGACACAACGGAGCCAATATGACAATTTCCGTTAAGATAAAGACGACGTTCCAACGTAATATTTTTGTATTTTGTCCGGTCATGTATGAATATATGCCAAAATTACATTAATGAAAATACATGTCACACTTAATCGATGACGTTAAAAATCGAATATATAAAATTATGATAATTCCAACGTCCATATGGCACAGTGCACTGCACTTATTTTATGATTAGTAGTCGAAATGACAGTTATTGAATACGGCCTGGGTGAATTTTATTCACTCGAAATTAAAAATAAATTTAATCTCCAACAAATAAACGGGACCTACATGTTTACAAGATTAAGTTGAATTTTAAATTAAACTTTACAATCGGATTTACCGTGTGTTTGATATAAATTATCATTTATAAAGATAACCGCGCAGAATAAAAAAAGCTATCTGTCGAGAATATTAATACTTCAAAGACTTCGATAGAAGCCCGTTAAAATACTTCATTGTGGATTGAAACGGGCCGCATCAGATATATTTACGTATGCTTTTCCTGATTAAAATGACTAACGTGTTATTATACTCATCTGAAGTATCGAAAATAACGAACGAAAGATGTAAACATAGGACGACGGAAGTTTCAAATAATGCATTTTCGTCGTGACGTCAATGTTACGTTACGACGACGATCGAGCGTCTTATCTTCACGCAACGACGTGATTACGTCATCCGCATCGGAAGCCTCTTTCTCTCTGTGCGTCGCGGTTACGCAGTGAAGAAAATGACTGTCCGAAGTTAGGGCAGTGAAGGATAACGGTCAGATGGCAAGAAATATCGATTATTTCAATAGTAAAAATAGTCCAATTGAACCGAAATTTGCAGGGAATGTAAATTACCGCACGAATGTTTTACCGAGCAATTTTGGCACCGTTTGGACCGAGTTAAATGGCCGAGTTATTGACGAAAGTATAGTAATTTTGTCCGAAGTTAGGCGCTTTTACGGTAAGGTTAACTTTAATTGCACACATATTAAATAACCTAACAAAGTGATATATAGTTCATGTGTTTGCAAAGTGAATGAAGGATTTAGTCTACTGTCTGCAGGTCTGACTGTGATACAGTAATATCAATAACCACATATTTAATTACATATCAAATTATTACAGTATTAAACACTGATATTATCGGTACCATTAGGCCTATGCAGGTATAGAATATTAATCACATTTGCCTGTTTGTTACGCAATTTTTAAATTTGACAAATCACATATCATAAAACAGCAAAACTGGAAAAGGGTTTCTGTACCTTCCTTCATCAGTCTCAAAGCGTGGATGTATGATGAGTCGATGTTGTCTTTCTCCGCCATCAATTCTGGTAGATATTTGCTGTCGGCCTGCTCCATTTTGCGAACTTGTGGTGCTGCCGTATACTGAAGTCGAACAGAAAATGACGTCGAATAGGCAGGAAACGCCGGACGCCGAGGTTTTAAGAAAACGTGAGATAATTACGACACACACGCGGTTCTGAATGACAGAATGCGCATGCGCAAATCGATATCGAATTTAAATTAAAAAAAAGAAGCCGCCACCAAAGCTCCGTGGCATCAATGACATATAACAACATTGTTTAATGTCATTGGTGGCATCATCAATGATTGAAGCATTTGTATTTCACATACAAGTTGAAGTACTGTAGTTACCGTACTATGATGACAAATCGTGAGTTAAATTTGAATTAAATAATATTTATTCATCGCAATTGTATGCTGAAACGGTATGTTAGTCGTTGGCTGAAACAGAAACACTAAAACTAATCTGGACCAACAGCAACAACAGACACAATAAAACTACTGTATTACGAATATCTTGATTAGAAACAGGATGGACCTTTCCCCGAGCATCGACTTCCTTGTTTACTTCGTGACATTGGCCAATCAGCAAGATGCAAAAAATGACGTAACAATGCTCCCTTTTCGCATTCGCACAGACACTCAGTAAACAAGGAAGTCGATGCTCGGGGGAAGGTCCATTGCAGTAATGAAAGATTAGTGTAGAAATAGTCGTGATGGGCTAGGCTAAAAATCTCTACCGGTATGTTTAAAAAAAAGATTGTTGTATGCGATGAATCATAATGATGGTCTGAAACACATAACCCATTTTACAGGCGCCAACTCGCGAAAGCACTCTTAAAATAGCCCCGAAAATTTTGCAATGGTGAAGTATAGGAAGAATTTTCGGGGGTCAAAGGTCGGGGGAAGGTCCATTGAATGAAGATTACTAATATTTCATGCTTGAAAACTGCACACCGGTTATATATATATATATTCATATCGTTATTAAATGAAAGCTTGAAAGAATTAAAAATCACCTCGAACATGGAATTCATTTATTCACGAGAGAAAAGACAATATAAGTCTAAATATGCTAAAGAACGTGCTTAGATGCAAATCACAATGTGGGGTAGGCCTATTTTGGTACCAGAATTTTAGACGTTCTGAAATATATAGTAGGGTATTCGATAGCAAATCAGTCTTGTTATCTTCGTTTTTGTTAGTCTTGTTGTTGTTGGACCGACTCTTTGGTGTGGAAAAATCGCCATTTCTCACCATATACGCTTTTCATAATAGTTACATAGTCACAAGTTAATGATAAAAAAAACTACTACGGGTGTATAATGTGAAACATATTTTTAGGAGTTTCATTTTGTACGGGTATAACAGATGGTGTTAATGAATTATAGAAAACCCACAAATTATTAAGGTCGAGGTCCTGATGGAAGATGGACCTAAATTTAAGTATGTCTGCCTTTTTTACTAAGCAGCTTCCATCCTGTTTTCATATTAAGTTTAGAGGCAATACAAATAAAGCTCGCAAAAAGAGTGACAAATATTTCATACCTTCTACCAAAGAGCCATATATTTGGAATAATTGTTTATTGTGGGACAAGAGTATGGAATGCCCACCGAATGCTACAAAAACTGCAAGTCGCCATTTGAATTTTAGAGAAAGCATTTATCAATGTCATATTAATACTATGTCACTGCCGGTAGGAATATTTTGCAGATTCATTGTTAGGGGAGTTCAATTATTGGAGTTTTTTGTGTGAAGTATTGGATTAAAGGAAAATTATGATCAGAATAACAGCTTCTAAAGAACTTGACTGAGCACAGGAATAATCAAGAACAACCAATAAATCAAGCCGATGGACGTTCCCCGGCCGGCTACTGGAATACCTGTCTGAGCGGTTGATTAAATTTCAATTGTTGCGTCAAAGCTGACTTACTGCTGATTAGTCATTTTTATGGGAATAAACAAAGAAATCTATGCTCGGGAAAACATCCATAAGATTTCAACTCCCATCGTGATATTAATGGGTCACCTAAATTGAGACAATGGAGATGAATTAATATGTAAACTGTCTGAGTTTCACATAAATTGATTGGATTTTAACCCCCGTGACATGGTAAGAATTTGGCATCCTACAGAGAACATATTGTTCCATTTTTAACGAAAGAATAAAATACTTCTCATTTTTCTTCTCTAATCTCATTTTAATTGCCAATATCGAAAATCTTGGGATATCCTGTTATTAATGTTAGCTCCAGCTTAGGCGGGTGGTGTGAAAATATATTTTAAAAAATCACTTGGACTAACAAACAATCCTAGAATACGGTAGTTCCTAACTGCGAAGAGATGTGTATTGAGATTAAACAAAACTCAAACAACCAGAGCCCCATAATTGGCGTACTTGACAAACATCCCAAAAGTAATATCCTATCATTTACTTGAACAGTGACTCGTGTTTTTGAAAAGCTGGAAATGGCGAATAAGAAGTTTGTAACGTTGGATTATTGCAATACCAAACTACTTCCACACCCTTATAGATCGTATCGTAAATATATACGATCGTATTTATACAAAAAAAATAAGTATCCTGACTATTTTTCTGCAACGTGGCCAATTTCGGGTATAATTGTTGGTAATAAGACAAAAATCCGAATGAAGCGCGATATGACAATATTTTGTAGGGAGACTTTGAACTAAAAACAATTTATTCCACCAATAGAAAAATGGAAAGTGGATAAGGCATTTAAATGTACATTCTATTATTAAGTGGGAAAATGCTATATTACTGTATAATTTGCACTATCGAGACAAAACTCCGGCCTTTCCAAATCAAACTACTCCATAAGACAATTTTCTCAAATAATGTTTTATATGTCTTCAATTTAGTACATTCGAAATTTTGCGTTTTGCAATGTAGTATGTAGTCAGCGCCGGATTAACCATTAAACAATATAAGCACGTGCTTAGGGCACCAAGCAAAGAGGGGCACCACAGAAATTTTAGAGCAGAATTTTATATAGTTTATCGGTATTTATTAAAATATTACGAGTTCACCAGGCGAGTCAAACTTCAAAATGTTCGCTTATTTTTTGTCTTCACGTATCACATTAACCTTCTTTACTAAAAATGAACACTGAAACTTATTTATTGGACACGAAATGGGCCTATGAGTCGTTTCCTTAAATTGTTGTTGTTGTTTTTTTCTTTCTAGTATTCACCTTGTTGTCGCATTTTTATTTTCAAATTTTTTTTATTCTCTTCAACAATTGGACCAATGAACTATTTACACTATGTGGCGGTTCCACGATCGCATTTCAACGATATATTGGTCAGCAAAGTCGGGAGTTTCTTGATAAGGTAGACCAGGGTGGTCCAAACTCTGTCACGCTGATACATTCCGTGCGGCTCACAGAACAATTTTAGCGTATATTTGTATCTAATGGAGTAACGTTTTTGAGTTTTTCTTTTAGATATTCCAACTGGGGTTGGGATCCCGAAATTTGAACCCTTTTTCTAACGCTTTGTGCCTTTATTTTAGTAAAAACACTCCTCTGTTTACAAGCGTCGGCCATGTGACAGTAGTGACGAAACGCAGAGCCGACTTAACGCTGCGTAATCCAGTTTTTTTTTTCAGTTAGGCCCCGAAATACCAACTGAGACGGACTTGGTTGGTATTTGACGATGTCACTAAGCTTGCTTACGCTGCAAGTTTTTAAACTACTCAATATAACAATTCGTAATAAAATGAGTGTCGCAAGAAAGGTGACATAAGAGAACACGGCGGAAATGTATTTCCTTGCCCATCACATCGTGTGAGTAATATCTGTCACGAAAGAATATAATTTGAAGCGACATTAAACGCGAGATGCGCAAAATACAACGGTAATTAACTTTAAAATAACTGAAGGCTTTATATATCTTCTTTAAAAGAACGCCACCCATGCAACATGATAATAGTCTGATTAGAACGGTGAACTCGCGATATTTTGATCACTTTTGGGTTTTCTCCGACTTGCGGCCCGCGAGATCTCCTCAAAAGTTTTTGCGGTCCTTCAACATAGCAACCTTGAACCACTTTGAGGTAGACTACTAGGTACCGGTAAAATTCCAAACTACAGTTGTGACTTGTATCCTTCGGTATTTCGATTCACGATGAGACTGGAGGCATGAATCTTTATTGTCACACTCCCTCAGGACTAGCCCAACCGATATATCGGCCCGATATTGCGTGTTTGCATATATATAATATCGGCAGTAAACGGCCGATATATATATCGGCTATATATAACAGTTAAAAAACCTAAAAATGTTCGTAAAAGTTGTTCTATTTACTGTTGGTTGTGATTATCTTTAATGGATAATACACTTATGTGGTTTATTTTTTATAATTAAATTACACATGAGGGGGCACCAAAGTCTTCAGTGCTTAGGGCACCAAACCCTGTATGTAGTGTAGCTATGTGTTGAGAACATCAATCAGCGCGGCGGTGAGGCTCATCGTGCTAAGCGTCGGGAATACGCTCGCCGTCGCACCCCTGATTACTCGGCACCCCCCCCCCCCAAAAAAAAAAGTTACTCTGCGTGGGTTCGCAGGTTCGAATCAGCATCGTAGATGTCGCTGCTCGAAGATCTTTCGAGTTCCCTCGCGACTCTGTCACCTTTAGTACCGTATATATTTACGCCATACATAGACTATAAAGTTCGTATTTTATATTTACTTTATATCTGGCCATATTTCCGTAATATATTTATATTGATTGTGTTGACGAATAATTGATGATTGATTGAAAACTTCAAATCAATTGGTCCAGTATTCAATGAGAAAAGAGGTACCGTATAGAGAGAGATTTATTATCACAAAATTCCTATATGATTCGTTTTGTGGCATTATGTTGTTGTTTGTCCGTCAGGGGTCAAGTTTAGTTTATTCCCTTAAACCCTTCTAGTGGGCGCAGCATAATAATTTTTGCATCGGTCAATCCTAACCCCCACCCGACTGCGCCATCCAAAAATTACGTCACTACGGCGCCACAGTGACTCAACAAGGCTCTTTGAACTGGCTTCCAAGACGCGGAGACGATCACCCGGAATCGAGCAAGCTACTTCTCTCATTTCCTCGTCGCAACGATTCCGATATGAGAGAAATCGCTCTGCCATTTCGGGCGATCGTAGGTACCTATACTTTGGCAAGCTCTATGTGACTGTGACGTCGTAGTGACGTATTTTTTGACGTAGTCATAGTCAGGTGGGGATAAGGATTGACATGTGCAAAAATCGTTACGGTATGCTACGCGCACTAGAAGTAGCCTACTTGAGGTACGAAACTACACGAGACCCAAATGTTTCAACAGGTTCGATTTTAAATTCTTCAATAGCTCTCATTTATTCACTATTTACAATAATTTTTAATTTGGAAGTATTACCGTAGTCTACCTAATACTGTTTTGTCGTGAGATCATTATTTATTTAACGTTAGCTGATAATTTGACTTGTATTGCATATCAACTGCATTAGACTATGCAGGACATAAAAAATGGGTTAGCAAGGATACCAATTATTTGGAAAATTTGTCTAGTACCGGTACCGTACCGGTAACACTGTAATAATGAATCTAATAGGATAGGATTTACATATTTATCCCAGGGGAGAGGAAAGGCGATAAGACGACTTAACCATATGGCGAACCACGGGTCTAGTATAGTTTAGTACCACAAGTACTTCCAGTTGGCGTATCAAAACGAATTTTGCATATGTTATTCCTAACCCCCACCTGACTATGCCATCCAAAATTTACGTCAATACGACGTCGCAAACACGATAATAACACAAGTATAATTACGATCGCCCGAAATGGCATCTGCGCCGCCGATTACGAACTCGCTAACGCCGGCGATCTCTCTCCTATCGTGATCGTTATGACGTGAAACGAGAGAAATCGCTTGCACGATTTTGGGTGATCGTCTGTGCGTTTTGGACGACCATCCGCATACTTTGGTGGGCCTTATTACGCCACTGTGACGTCGAAATGATGTAATTTATCGGTGACGTAGTCAGGTGGGGGTTAGGATTGACATATGCAAAAATTGTTGAGCCAGGCAAACTAAAAGTGCACGTGGTACTAAACCATACCAGATCCAAACATTTTATTATTAAGAATATAATTGTATGGGGGCAACAGACTCTGATGACCCGAAAAGGTTGTATCGATGTCTCCCAGTCATACACCTACCTAAGCATCTGTTTTTACTTATCGATCTTAAGATCGGTAAGTATGTTGATAGGTATTTGTCTGTTAGATGAACACGATATCTCACGAAGGCGAGGTTGAATCTGCTCCAAATTTTGCATGTGCATTCATCATATCTCGGACCAGAAGCCTATTGATTTTGGATGTATCATGTCGTACAATTAGCGAGTTATTAATTAATTAGTGATGGGATACGCGGTGTCACTATAGAGTCATGAATCGAAACCGCAGTTTCGATCGATAAGTCTTCGGTCTCCGACCGATATTCTCGTTTTTATTATTTATATCTGTTTTGCATATATTGTATGTTTATGGTTTGACTAACGAAATAAACTCTCTCTCTCTTCTGGATTAGGTTCGCAATCCTGATTTGATATCCTCATATAGCTTGACACTGTGACTCAACGGACCTATCGTCATATAGCCTAGTCAATGCTTGTTTCAAACAAATTGCTTACAAAGTGGGACATACAGGTGCATATTTGAGATGAGGAATGCTGTACCTCTAAATATACAATTTTCCATTATCTAAATTAGCATGTGGCAAATTTGACATAAATCACAGAATCATGATTTCCTCACAAAAATTCCTATTCCCCCCTCCCCCCCCCAAAAACAAGCAGTATATTTAATTATAAACCATTTTAGACTAAATCCCCTAAATATTCCTAGTGTTTATTCAACCTCTGCAGTTATCAATTTTGTCTTGAAATGACAAATCAAATTTTTTTGTTGTTTAAAAATATTACCTGTAACAGCATCTCATAATCCAGTAATCATATTACAGTATTACTTAATTTATACAGAAATTGATGTTATAATGGATAGATCTTCTGATAAAAATTATAAGCGAGATGGAAATGATGGCCACAAAAGAAAACACACTGATGTGGAATCCTTTCATAAGAGAAGGCGTATGGTAGATGGGGATTCATCAAATGTGGTTGCTCGACACTACAATCAACTTCCCGAAAGTGGTTTGAGACAGAGAAAGCAAAGTAAAATTTATTTTATGAGGAATTTTAATAACTGGGTCAAATCGGTTTTGATGAAGACCTTTCAGATACGTTTGGAGACTGAGGGTCAAAGAAGCGGAATTGTTGCTCTTGACGTGGGCTGTGGTAAAGGAGGTGATTTACTAAAATGGGCAAAAGGAAATGTAAATAAAGTTATTTGCACGGACTTGGCAGCTACATCGATTGAACAATGTAAGGATCGATACGGATCTAACAAACAAAAAGCCAGAGGAAGAATATTTGATGCTGAATTCATAGTTGCGGACTCGTCAAGAGAAAAACTTTCAGATTTATTTGATGATCCCGGTCAAATGTTTGATTTGGTTAGCATTCAGTTCGTGGTCCACTATTCATTCGAAAGTGAATCACAAGCTAATAGAATGATTCAGAATTGTTGTGAAAGACTGCGTAAAGGAGGATATTTTATCGGTACTACTGTAAATTCGAAAGAACTTAGAAGACGCTTAGATGAATCTGAAAACAATTCATTTGGTAATAGTGTTTACAGCGTATCTTTCAGTTCTAAAGATAAATTTAACGACTTTGGCCACACCTACAACTTCCACTTAGATGGTGTTGTAGATTGTCCCGAATATGTGGCTAGTCGTGAAAATTTGGAGAACATTGCTAAGAAATTTGGAATGCGCCTTGTTTTATGGAAAACTTTTTCAGATTTCTTTGCCATGAACGCTCGTGATAGGGAATTTAAAGATTTGCTTAAGCGTATCAAAGCTCTTGAATACTTTCCTTCTCGGTCACCAAACAGCAACAAACCTGGGGACTATGATCATGCTAAAGCTGTTTGTGATGACATAATGGAAAAATATCCTGAAAGTAATCCTAGAGTCGGGACTTTGTCTTCAACAGAATGGGAAGCTGCTAGTTTGTATGTTGCTTTTGCTTTCAAGAAAATTGACGAGAATGATGACGAGACATTTGATGTTCCAGCGAGCGACATCAATGACATCCCTTTACTGGTTTTATCACGTTGATTTTTTTTACACATGTCTTAATTGACCACAAGTTCACCCTCTTTTTTACACTGCCACATTGCAAATCTTGGACATGACATAGAGTTTAATCATCAGAATATTTGAAAAAATACAATAAAATATTCATGTATTAATTACATGTTTTTGGTTGGGGACGTCTCACTGGTAGACCAGTTGATATGATCGTAAATGAGGCAGGAAAGGGGAGAAATGATAATTCGATTCAGAATTTTAATGAGAAGAACAGAAGTAACTTGTATTCTATATATGTTAAATCACTTTTTATTACGCTTTAAATACTGTAAATCTAATGTGTGTGCGAGCCACGAATTGAAGACCTCCGAATATTGAGAGCAAATCTTGATACCGGTATTTGGGAATTAGTTTGGTTAATTGGATGGATGGATACCAGGCAGAGATTGACAGAGCCTAGTCTCATCTTAAGGCTTGTTCTGAGCACTGAACAATTCGTGTGCATTCACTTTTTCACTTAATGGGGAGACTATTGTGTAGATTCAAATCCGGCCCAAAAGTGAATTTTGTTGTTATCCTGACAAGTGACAATATAAGATTGAAACTAGCCATCATGTAATCTAACTCCTTATTACACTCATCAAATGAAGCCATTGGTATTACTGGCTGCTTGCAGACTCAATGTCGATGAGATTTATACACAAAATATTTTTTTTATTAAATGTAATAAATATTTAAACAGATTACAATGATACAAAAATAGCTAGCAAACTTTGGAATCCTATAACATAAAAGATATTCCAGAAAAGAACATATCAATATTAGGAAGGTTGGTAGTTGGTAATATATTTTATATAGTCCTAGTGCAAGAGGTAATTTAAAGCTTCAAAAATTCATGATTTTGTTGCATCATCATCCTGAATATCAACTTGTACCCCAAATTGTTTTGACAAATTTCTAAGCTGTTCCTCATACAAAACGTTACGTTTTACAGCCTCTGCATAATTGTATTTTAAATCTTCAATTTCATCAAAAAAGTCGTCATTGAAATTTGAAAGTTCCTTCTCAAGACGTGAAATTTCCTCTTTCAATCTGTCTCTCTCTTGTTTAGTAAGCACCAAATCCGTGTTAAGTTTTGTATTTTTTTCAAGTGTAGAGTCGTACTGCTTCAATTTAGCTAACATCGCGTTGTCCTTAAAATACAGATTATATTGAATATTTCGAGCAAAAATGTACATGAAATCTTCCATAAGGTGCTAAGAGATGAATACTATTAACTTCTGAGTGAGTGCGCATTAACCTGCTTTGCGCAAGTCTTCAAATAGAAATATACTTCTTCACATTGTTTGTTTCCCTCTTAAAATCAGATCATTAAAATGTTATGTCAAGATAGGCCCCCCAACAACACTTAAGTAGGCAGACAGCAACCTTGGTGTATGCCTTACTTCCAAGTACTCACCATACTGGATCCTAGAATATCATCTTCATTAAATTCTTTTGATGAAGCAATATGACGTCTCAACACTTGCAACATTTCTTCTAAATCTTTGTTTGCTTTTTCCAATTCATTAATTTTTACCCTTGATAGAATATAGGTACAGTTAGAAGCTGAAAAAGGGAAGGATAAAAATACGAAACAAAAATATTACATTAATATATTTTACCTTGCTTGTTGTAACTCCCTCACAGTATTTGCATCTGAACCTCCAGCTTCAGGTGGAAACCGTTCTAATATTTCAATCTTGAAAAAAAGGAATAAAAAAAATGAAGAAATATACCATTGTTATACGATTATTGTTCAAACTGAGCCGTGTCAACTAGCATCTTGACAACTCAGTGACAAAAATGAAACTAGAGGTAGCGCTTTGCACATCAATTGGCGTTGTTACTTGTTAGTATTATTGTTGTCGAGTCGGGAGCCAGAGTCTATGTAGAAGTTCGAATTTGGTGGAGCAAAATTTAAACTTTTACTAGCGTTAATCAAAGGTGATATTCACACAAACTAAAGAGCAAAAAGTTGAATATTCATTCTCAGCAGATAATAAAAAAAAAGACTTTGGATTGGATATTAAGTTTTACCGGACCACACAACTTTGTTTCACACTAAACTACAGAAAACAGTAATTAACTTACGATCTGTAAATAGACAGAATATGAAGCAGGGTCAAGATAGATTAAGAAATACCTGTTCCTTCAGTTTTTCATTCTCATCATGAAGTTCATTTTCACGTTTCGCAGAATCTTGTAAAACAATTTTCAAATCATTGATTTGTGACTTCTTATCACCTAATTCTTGTTCAGCTTTCTTCAACTTGGTCTCTAACATCCTTAAAGTGGAAAGTTAAAAAAATATTACCCAGAAAAAAAAAAATTTCCGTATCTATCTGAAACAGATTATAAGTGTGAGTTTTGAATGTGCGCACACAGACACGTACAACTTCTGTACATACAACTTGTGGAGAGATTCCGGGGCTTCGTACATTGATGCGCAAACCCATTCTCCGAATGTTATGTATTAGATTTATGTAAAGCGTGTCATGTTAACATAGCTTACTTTAAAAGCATACATACATTTTCTGAAGCGAGGAAACTTATTTTTAGCGAGTTTTATAAAATAGAAAAACTGTTCTTAAAATTTTGAATGTCATCACTACATACAACATTGACAAAGGTATAAAAGTGTCAAACAAAATACAAATTCTCTAATAGCAGAAATAGAAAGCTCTGCCTAGGTTAATCATTCCGGGTGTACACACTGAATCCATCATGGGTGTAGGATGTTAGATGCCATTAGAGTTTCTTATTTAATAACCATATTGAAGCGGGAGAAATTCATATGCTACTGAGTTAATTTGTCAACTTACTTGTTTGTGACAACTGAATTATATCCTTTACTTCCAAGACCAGCAACCCGAGGAGTTTTACTTTCAGCCACTCTGAGTTTTTCATTCAACTTTTCTATCTCAGAACGTTGTTTTTCATATAAGGACTGGAAAGGTTGTAACATAACAAAAAGGTTATTTGGTTAAAATAGTAAACAATGGGCATATGATAATGATATCAAGCAATTGTGGAGTTTAGCATTTTTCTCGAACTGTTTATGCTTTGATGAGGATTTTATGTTGGTACATCTCATACGGACGTAAAAAAAATTATTTCTATGCGAGAAACATGATTTTTAACCAGTGCAGATGTTGGATTCAAGTCCCTATCCACAAGACATGGTCATCCAAGTCTCTTCAAAATACTATAGTCCCAAGTTGAGTTGATGCAACACAATATTAAAAGTCAAACTGAGATTTATTCATATATCGACAGCATTTACGACAGTCTATCCAACGTTGGTACCGCAATACTACTTTGCATCAGAAAATAGTCCAAATATCATGTTTGTCTGTCAAATGGCCATTTATGCCTAACACGGTTGGATTATGTTTATGAGTCAGATTGGCAAAATATTATTTGTCAGAACAAGATCAAATCACCAAAAAATAACCCAAATTGATAACTACCTGCAATGAGGCTTTTGATGCCTTTATCTTCTCATGAGCAGTACTCTCTTTATTCAAATCTTTACGTAATCGTTCATTTTCTTTCATCAGCCTTTCGACACCCTGGGTTTTGCTTTCATATCTTGAACTTAGTTGACCTCCAATTTGTCGAGACATCATATCAATTCGTTGCTAATATACATGTTACAAAAAAATTAATGTCAATTTGATTTAAAAAATGCAACAGGTTGTACTAGTAAGTAGTATAGTATAGGAGTATAGCAGTAAAGTTTAAAGATGGGTGAAAAAATCGCGAATTGTGAAAAACGAAAGGATTTTTTAAAACGCGCTTCGATGACCATTTTGTCACAATAATCCATGAAAATATTCAAGTCGCCCATAGATGCTGATTTCTGTCGTTTTCAGCTTTCATAAAGACCTTCGACGATGTATTTTTCCTCATTTCAAGCTTATCTTATAAGCTGTGTCAAAGCCCCATTGCTTGATCCCAGATTCAACAAGATACATTTCAGCACTCATTTGTTGTTAAAAATGGAACTGATGGCTGATTTGATACATAAAACAAACAAAAATGACATTTCTTATCTACTGGACCCCCCTCGCCATTATCAGATTTCAGGCTGTTTATTCATCTTGACGAAGCACTTATTAACCCTGATCCGCCCAAGTAATATACGATTATCAAGGTCAAATTATTGTACAATGAGTCACTAATCGCCTACTTCGTAATGTTGTATAAAAAGGTAATCTCACCTTCAATTGAGCATTTTCTTTCTTTGTGGCATCAAATATTTCATTTGATACCACACCAGGTGCTTTTTTCAGAGTATCATTCTCTCGTTGCACTCTTTCAACCACTTTTTTCATCATTCCCAGCATTCTTTCTAATTCAGCTGGAGATTTTCCAGTGGAACCGAGATCTTTTCCCTGCTATTAGAATTCATAATAAATGCGCTTCTAACTTTCAAGTTAACTTTTTGGAGAAACACTCCTCATTTATTATATGGTAATATCCAAGTGATGGGACATTTTAGGAACAGGTTCTCTTTCGCATCGAACTCGCTAACAACAAGTTCCCTCATTTCAGAAAATGTATGTGAGTCATCACATGTAATCTACATTAACATGGCACTCTTTACAAGAAAATACCGAATACAAAACATTCAAAACGCCAAATATAATGTTTGTCGTTAGCTGTGATGTACGATACCAATTCGCTGCAGTAGTCTAATGTATAAACAAGGGATTAGAACGAATTCACTGATTATCACAACATTCCGAAATGTCTCCACGCAGGTTTGTGCTAACCCCTGATTCCCACCACTGTTAATATATTGGATAAAAATCAGAATAGTTGGAATAAAGCCTCAACTACTGTGGGTGAAGAAAGAGTTTAAACCAACCTTTTTGTGTTGTCCAATCTTTGATTTGTCAGCTTTTATTTCTGCTTCTCGCTTCTCTGCTTTCAGTAATTCAATATATCGCTGTTGGTCTTCAACTCGATCCTTTACAAATATAGAGGAAGGATAAGTAAATTGATCTTATTATTGTAAAATTGCATTGAAGATGATGTGACTCCACAATGTTACTAAGATTGCACAATAAAGGAAGTGATTGCGCAATTTATGACCTGAAATATTTAACATATTGATTCACACTTATCAAGTCCATAATTAAAAATAATATGATTGTCAGAACAAAAATTGAACCATGTGTGTATGTTATTGCTTCTGACTTCCACAATTTATTACAACCAGTACAGAAGATAGTCCATATATCATCTTTTATTTGCATTCTAGTTAAGCCAATATGCACATTGCTTTTTTTGTCATATGAAATTACTATGATTTGTTCAGCAAATGAACACCACTAACATAATGGCTAAAAACATAATCACCGTCAGGCGTCAATCCAGTTTTAAAGCCGATCAAAAAAATTCTATATTTTCTTACCTTGAGTCGTGGAATGTCTAATTTACTCTGCTCAACTTCAAATTTGAGCTCTGCGTTTTCAGCATAAAGCTTGAGTAAATCACTTTGGAATTTATTTTCTCTATCACGTTGAAGTTGATCAATGGAGTTGCTGACTTGAGGACGTACTCCTAAGATATTGAGTAGTAATGCGATAAGACCTCTTGAGATTCGCCACATTTTATTCAAATGTCTCATGTTTTTGCCTTGTGTCGTAATTTTTTTTGCACCGTGGTGGAGTTAACTAATTTTGCATTGAGTAAATATTGATAAAAAACCAACCTTTCATAGTTATTTCTTTTTCCAGATCTTCTAATCTCTCTGCCAGTGTTTTATTTTTCGCTTCCATTTCTGCAACTATAATATCTCTTGGTAGTTGATTTTCCCTTTTTAATTTACTGTTTTCTTCAGCCAAATCATGTAAACGACTGTTGAAAAAATATTAAAAAATGGAATAATGAGATTTTTTAGATAGAATAAAATGAACAATATTGAAAGCAAAGTAAATTCATCAATCAGAAAGACAGAAAAATCTCTTTTATCCTGATTAAATTGATAATGATACTAATCACCGACTTTTATCAATGTTTCCACACATATGCTCTTAAGCAAAATCTAAAACATACTTTACATTTAGCTGCTATGTTTGAAAGATATATTTCCCATTTGATGTAGCTAACACAATTTCTATGTCCTGAGCAAATTGATTGGCACAGGCCATAAACTACAGTACTCAAGTTAGCTATCCTGTACTACCATCATAACCAGGAAAAATTCACATGACTTCGTATCACGGTCGAAAAGAATTTTGACTCCGACTCCAGGCTGATGGGAATTTTGATTGACGACTTCAATGCTAAATATCCACAGAAGTCAAAGCTTTGGCGAATGCAATACTTCTTTACTAGACTGCTGGAAAATTTTTTTTTTAGATTCTCTGAAAATTTTGGATTATGAATATCACCATAAATGTCTGGAATTCCGACTCTGGCTTTAATGAATACTTGCCAAACTTTCACTCCACAGCCGTCAACTCAACCTTGTCTAATACAGTTATTAGTCACCAAGCCACCTACTGCACAGACTTGAAAAAAAAAAACAGGAAAAAAGGTTCATGTTAAGTAAATTAAAGTTCGAAAATATTATCATACCGACTCAAATCTTCAATTTTATGTCTGTCTTGTCTTGCTAATCTATCGACTACAGCAGATTCATTATTTTGTCCAACAGCATGTATAGGAGCACCAGATCCACCGACTCTTCTTAATTTATCTCTTTCCAATCTTGAGACTGTGTCTCGTAAAGACGTGATCTAGAATAGAAATATTAATGACAATTAGGTATGTAGGAAAGAAGTGATTTGGTTCGATTGGCAGTTGGTGCTAAATTATGCCATAAATGAATATTGCTTCATAAAGTTTCATTAAATAAATAATAACAATCATTATAATTTGATAAAAAAAAGGAATTTCAAAGTTAGTATAATTATTTGAATACTAAATAAAGTTATGAAGTGAGATTATCAAAAATACTATTTTTTTGGCCAAAATTTGTAGTTTTATGAAACATCCTTATTGCATTTTCTCTTACTGCACAAGAGAATTTTGAAAATAAAAAACTTGCATAATTCATAATAATATCAAACCAACCTGTTTTTCAAGTTGTTGTATTGTTTTATCTTTGTCCTGTAACTTTGTCCTCAAAGCATCAACTCTATTTTGCCATAATTTTTTCGCCTCCCACTTAGCTAATTCAACCTCATTCTGAAAAACAGAATATTCGTTTTCTTTTTCGAAGAATACAATTCCTCATATACAGAAATAGCTAATAATATATTTTAAAAAACTTTATGAAAAATTTATTTTGGGATGCTATTAAAATTTAAATTAAATGAATGGAATATTACATTAGCAGATTCTTTAACCCCAACGCAAAAAGCTAATGGTAACATAAAATAACAAAATAAAGCTCAAATATATGCAGATAACCCATATATCTAATAGGTATAAGAGGCTGAGAGCTAGTTTAAAATTTGCATGGATTCCATATAAAGAAAATATTCATAAAGCTACACTTATCACTAGTATAGGATAGATTTTCTGACAAGATTAGATAAGCTGATAAGACGGCTAAACTATATAACGATAATATCCCTGAAGACACTGAAAAAACATTGAATGGCATAAAACAGATACCATAACAGTTCACCAACTCAGATATACTCACAGCAATAAATGACAGTCAAATTCAGTTTAAATTAACTTTTTATTCGACAATAATAAGGATCTATTTATATCTTATACCCACTATAAGCTTAAACTGCAGTTATAACATTAAATCCATTTTCAGAAACCCAGCATAACACAAGCCTTGATATTCTTTTTATGATACAATACAACATCACAGCTCTTAACTACGCCAGTGTAGACTGAACAATAAGATGATGTTTACTACTCTGTTGACAATCGGCAGCGGCAATAAAACAAAGCAAACAATGGCATACTACAAAAGAAATCCAAATAAAAGGTTCAATTGGGATTATCTGGATATTCATTGATCATTGTACTGACTACAAATGGTGGATAAGCTGATAATAAAAGGTATATACTTTATAGGGCCCGACCGATACTGCGTTTTCAAACCGATACCGATGTTTTTTTTAAAACTAGGCGGATAAGCCAATACCGATGTTTACACACATAAAAAGATGGCTAAAAGTAACAGGCAACACTTTAAGAATTCTGTGTTTTCTTTGCAAAAGAAATGAAATTGATAACAAAATGTTTAACTCCTGTGATGATGACAAAAAATTGCATGAAAAAATTTAGAGGTATCTAAAATTGGATTTTTGAAAACTGTCGAGTGTTGATAGTTGAAAATTGCACATACTCTCAATACTTTATTTACTCAATTCTGATGAATTCAGTTTTAATAAGGCATGCAAGGCCTGTGGGTGCTATTTTAATCCCATTGTCATTGGTAATAACTCTGGAGTTTTTTTGTGTAATTTTCAGCATTATGATTACCATCCATTAATATAGATAAAACTGTTGCTCAAGTAATTTTAAATTGCATTTAGGGAAGTCTCGAATTTGGAGCTAGTAAATTAGACACTTTGGCAGTCACGTGATTGGCTGATAACTATCGGTAAAATTAGCCGATACTGATAGTTCGAAATTTGTGAAGGCCGATATATCAGTCGGGCCCTAATACTTTACTAATATACCCGGCCTTAAAATATTGAACCTCTGCTTGGGCATTTATAATTTAGGTCCTATTCAAATTCCTATTCGAAAAATTGCCTTGAAAACATATAAATAACAAGATATCAATTTCGAATACATAAACACGAAAGTGGCACATTGGCCCCGAATGTCGGTATGATAAGGCTTGTGAGGCTCATATCACACATTTCGCCAAAAAGATGACCAGGGAAACACAGCATAGATGGTAGTCAAGCACAGTGGCATAAAATGTGTTGCCCTTCAATTAAAATAAAACACCAAAATTTTGGGTGAATTATCGGGTCCCACAAGGTCAGGTAAAATTTGAAATTGAAGCTATAGCTTTTAAGTGATGTCTTCCGTGTCATAAGTAGTGAAAATTTGAAATTGATTGATCCATTTGGTACTGGAGAACGAGAAGGAAGATTGAACAACAAGAATTTAGCATAAAGGTATACAGTACCACTTCATGTGCAATTATTAGTATAATCAAAGTTATTTTATGGTAAAATAATTATGATAAAATGTATTATGTATTTAATATAACGATTCCCATGAATGATTTGATATAATATATAATAATATACCTTGCTTGGTGCTTGCGCTTTTTCCAAATTTACTTTCAATTTTTTAACTTCATCTTCAAGTTGTCGAATTTTATTATTTTTCTCTTCCATACCGGAACCACTACCAAACTTGATGGTAACTGTAGATTTTGGTAGTTTGGATGATGGTGGCTTACCGGAAGATCTAAAATCAAAAGAGAAAATAATGAAAAGAGCTATTTCTGTTATCTCTTATTTTAACACTATGTCCCGTATGAAATCACAAATTGTAGATTTTTTATATAATTATAGACCATACTTCTATGATAAATTATGAAAGAAGGTTCATGCCTAACAATGTTGTTACTACAGCTCAAACAAGGATTAAGTGTCCATTTTAGTACTTTGATCTCTATCAGTAGCTGTTCTGGATTTTAGATATATCATGTCAGCCTTTGAAATGATTACATGCTTCTATGGTTAATCACAAGAAGGGGCTTCATCTGCCTATGTTGTCATAGTATTTTAAAACTTAGATAATTGGCAATTTCAGTTGAGCCTAGTGCTATAACGCTAGGACATCATTTTCTTACTTTGTTTTTCCAGCTTCTTGAGGTACAATGACATCTTCCTGTACTATTTCCTCCTGGACGTCATCCTTGTCATCAGAAGATTCTGTGTCAACATCTTCATCACTATCATGATTACTTTTATTAGGAACAGAAAAAGTTGCCCCTGCATTAGTGAATTTGATTTTGTTTCCGCTACCAGGTCTATCATCCGTTTTTGCGAGTCTTCGTACTTTGTCTCTCAATCTTTCATTTTCTTGATCTAATTTTTGTTTATCGTTTTTCAACCTTTCAAAGTAAAATTAAACAAAGATGAAAGCGTACATAAGGACTTTGAAATAATTATTCCATACAAGTGTTTCTCAATTTTTTTTGCCCCGAAATACCTACGCTTTTTTTCTAGCCTCACGGAACACCAACAAATTGGAAGGTAAAATTGATGAAAAAAAATTGAATTCACTTTGTGCATCAAGTTGCACAACCGGCTTATCACGATATCTTTCGAGGCTTCCAGTTTTAGGCCATTGAGAGTGGTGGTTTCCGAAAAAATTTTGCTACAAGCTTGACCATTAAAAAATTATGCAGACGGTATTGACTAAAACGCCATGCTTCCCAAATTGACACGAGGCCTGTCCACCTATTTGTCGGCAGTTGGGAGACCAATTTATGAATCTGAGGCGCCGAGGTACGACTGAGATTTCAATATCTGTCTCGCGAAACACTCTGAAGACACTCGCAGAACACTGAACACAGTTTGAGAAACGCTGGTCCATACCTTCTGTTCAAAAGCAGGAATAATGTTTGAAAAATAAATATGTTTAAAATAAACCTATTCATTTGTAAGTCTTTCTTTTCCATTTCATCAAGTATTTGTTTTAACTCTGTTTTTAATTTTTCTTGTTTTTGTCGTTCTTGTTTCAATCCACGTTGTACAAGAGCAAGTTTGTCTTTCAGTTCATCAACTTCATCCTAATGATAAAAATAATTAAATGAAGGCTTCTTCTCTTTCAATACAACTCTGATCAATTTCAAATTTTCAGTCTTATAAGATGGAAGAAGTCGCTAGGAGACAATTGCTTTTATCTCACGGAGACAGATACTTTTACTCTGAGTTTTACTGTTTTTATATTTTACTGTTATAACAGGCACACCATCATATAGGTACGGTAATTCTTTTGATATTTCATATGGTATTTGAATTAGTCCTCTTAACCATTTTGTTGGCACATCGCTGACATTGTTGTGACCATATTAGACAGTTGATCTTCGATGTCCATATATTTAGGCATAGCAACCTGTTTACTCATTTGATAATGTTATAAATGGAAAGGAAAAAAAGTAAAAATTGCAAATGTGCCATTGCGAATAAATTCTAAGAATATTTTATTAAGGTCAAATATGTCAAAAACGCAATCCTATTTTGATAACAAAAACTTTGATATTTGCTAATCTTCTTTTTTAGACTGTTTAGAATGCTTAGTAAACTCAATACTTTAAGTTTCGATAGTAAAATTAGGACCTTGGCAACTCCTTGAGTCAAACATATCATTTTAGACTGTTTAGAATGCTTAGTAAACTCAATACTTTAAGTTTCGATAGTAAAATTAGGACCTTGGCAGCTCCTTGAGTCAAACATATCATTTTCCAGACTCCACAGTCCTCTTTGAAATATTTTTTTCAAATTTTACAAAACTTGACCCAATCTTAGTCATTGTAAAATTGTGCTAATATATCAATTGCATCAGAACATTAATTCACTTACTCGATATGATTCAGTTCTTTTCTGCACAAGAGCTTGCATAGCAGCATTTGTATTGACACCTTCACTTGCAGCACGAACATTTTCTTGAGCTTGTTGAACAAGATCTGCTCGTAGTTCTGTGATGGCTTGACTGAGTTTCTACAAAGAGTTTGTATGTGTGAGATTCTACTACATCGAATGTGATAAAACCAAATGTTTATCAGAATATTTGATTTTTCTAAAATATGTGAACCAAGTATTATTAACCTTTTGTTGGGCGTCCTTTTCTTCAAGTTGTGATCTCAACCTTACGACAAGATTCTTCATCGTTACAGATGGAGCTCGAGTATTAGATTCTCTCTCTTGTTGCAATTCCAATTTCATTCTTGCAGCATCCTTTTTAATAATGAAAAAAGTTGTCAAAATCCAGAAAATGAAAAAGTAAACCATGCAATAATTTATTTATTTGTTTTAAATCCATTTGAATCATGGTGTAAATGAAGAAAAACTGTCAATCAACCCCAACTAAATTGCATAAAATAAAACTCACTCTTTCCAAATCATCCATACTTCTTTCTTTACTTGAAATTTCATCTTTTAATTTTCTGACAATATGCTCATGTTCATCAAATATTCTGAAATCATAAACAAGATAGAATTAAACTAAGATTAGTCTAATTGTTCCCGATCTTTATTTGTCAGAAATCAAATAGAATTTCGGTAAAAACTTGACTGAAAATAACACCAAGGTTTTAATAAACCACAATTAACTAAAGAGTGTGACAAATAGAGGATTCAAGTATGAATATTTAACTTGAAGTTTGAATTTGAAAATACTTTGATTTTTAAAGCATTGTAGAAAAAAAAATACACAACCAATCTATTGTAACGTCCATTTATAATAATATTAATAAAAAAGGCATCATAAACTATAAACATATCTCAATCCAAACACAAGAACAAACAACAAACTTGGGTTCTCACCGAATATAGCTGAACTTAATCGAAATACCATGTTATACTCAGAACATTTAGTAACAAGCGAATTGAGCCCATCGATAATAAGAGAACAATAAAGTAATGAAAATGTTAAGATATAAACAATGGAGTCCAAACTGTAGAACAGCAAGAAACGCTAAACTTAATTTTTATAATACAATCTTTGTTTGTTAATGAAAGAACTAGAATTAACATAGTTTATAACACGATTTAGAATAGTATTTTTTATAATTTTGAAAAAACTTAAAGCTGATAAATAAATCAAAATACTACTGAAACAGGATATTTTTTACCAAACAAATTAAAAAAAAATCAAAATAAAAACTTTTTTTAATTTTTCTGTAATCCACTGACTTGCTTCTCTCTCTTTCAGCATGTCTCCTCACACTCTCAATTGTTTCTTTATGTTTTCTGATATCAGCATTTGCAGCTTTTACTCTTTCCATGAGAGCAGTGAGAGCAACATCTTGCTCTTGAACGAGTTCTTCCAATTCTGATAATCGAGCAAGTTGTGACGAGGTTGGAGCTTTGCTTGATTTTTTAGCGACAGCATCCTAAAAAGGGAATATTGCTTTATCACTGGTAATTTATACCTAATTTCATACCATTATTGGGACCCTTAGTCCCTAAATCCAAAGTCGCAAGCTAAGTCACAGGCCATCCAAGTCTTAGGTTGAATCCAAAGTCAAGTGGATCACTGACTTATGTCAAATTAGTGGTTAGCTGATGACAAGTCTGAGTCAGTGTTGGGTAAAAGTCCCTAAATTCAAAGTCTCAAGCCAAGTCACGGCTCATTCAAGTCATAAGTTGAATCCAAAGTCAAGTCGATCACTGGCTTACATCTAATTAGTGGTTAGTTGATGACGAGTCTGAATCAGTGTTGAGTGAGGTTTAGTCCTTAAATTAAACTTAGAGTCGCGAGTCAAGGATGATCATCAGAGCCTCCAGTCAAGTTTAAAGTGGAGTAAATCACCGAGTTAAGTCTAACTAGCGGTCAGTTGATGATGGGTCTGAGTTGGGTAAAGTTTAGTTCATAAACCCAGAGTTGCAGGTCACAGATTATCAGAGTCTCGAGTTGAGTTTGAAGTCGAGTAAATCATCGAGTTGAGTCTAACCAGCTGTCTATTGATGATGCTTCTGAATCAGTGTTAGGTAAAGTTCAGTCCATAAACCCAGAATCATGAGTCATGGATCATCAGTGTCTCAAGTTGAGTTCGAAATGGAGTAAATCACTGAGTGTCTGAGTCAGTGTTGGTTGAGGCTTCACCCTTAAACTCAGAGTCGCGAGCCATGGATCATCAGAGCCTCGAGTTGAGAAGTTTGAACTGGAGTGAATCACTGAGTTAAGTGTAACTAATGGGTAGTTGATGACGATTCTGAATCAGTGTTGGGTAAAGTTTAGTCCTTAAACCCAGAGTCATGAGTCATGGAATATGGATCATCAGGAGAATCTAGACTAGAATAACAGTATAATCTCTATTTTTCTATATGGACGTCGATGATGCTATACGACCATTCAATCATCAAGGTCAGCCTAAATATTCTGCGTTGGTACTTACAGTTGTGTAAATTATATTTATAATATATTAATATTTTTAGAATACTAGGTTTTCAATTTACGCTGATTTTTAATAATTTCAAATGCTCAATTACACATTTATATGACATAATTTTGAACAAATGATCTCTTGTCAGGACATGAAGAATCACTCAATCTCTGAACTCTATTTTCTCAAATTTTACTTGTTCGGATTAGTGCTTACTAGCATCTATATCAAGAAAATAATGATAAAATAAACAAAAAATCAATTTGTTTTACCAATGCAACTTGACGGAATCTTCCGAAAGCCTCATCAGCTTTTGAATGAATTCTTTTTTGCATTGAAGACAATTGATTCTCATGTTGTTTTACAGCTGATTCATGATCTGTTCTCGACTCTTCGAGTAGTTTTTTATAACTGACAAAAAAATGCAAATGAATAAGTAAGAGCAAAATAGATGGAGTTTGATGCACGTAAAAAACAGGATAGAAAACAACAAAAAAATTCTATAAATTTTATTCCAGTACATTTCACACTTCTGCACCAAACAAGATTACAGGAGTCGGATATAGGTGAAGAGCTGCCAGGTTTAGATAGAGATGGATGTGACTGGTTTGCTTCGGCTTAGTATAAACTAGTGATCAAATTTCAGATCAAAAATTTTACGAAATTAGATAGTTACATGAATGAATCAAAACATTCATTTTATTGTAGAAATTATGTATATTATTCATGAGCCATACTCAAAAGACTGTTCAATTGCCACTTATTGGACACAAAGTGGGCCAATGTATCGTTTTGCCAAGTTATTGTTGTTGTGTGAAAACCCCTTTCCTCTACAACTAAGAGATCAATTTTCAGTACTTGATGATTAAAGGTGCTGGTAGGCCATTTCCTATTTATTTTTTAAATTATAGTCTGATTGCCCAACATTTCCCTTTCCTATGGCATTTGGTACAAATCTTTCAAAATTTGAGTGAAATTTTTCAGAAATCGCAGTGACTATAAAAGTGATTAGACCTTCTTGTACATATATTTGTGAATTCTCTCCTATTTTATATTTTATAAACAAATTCATCTTTTTTCAAAATGATGATACCTTTCAATGCTGTCTTCTTTCTGTTTCAATCTCTTCTTCAAAGTTTCAATTGTTTGTTTGGCTACATGTAATTGTTGAGACAAACCAGACTCCTGAATGATAGAGATGACGACGTCTTACTAGTCGGCCAGACAATATACATACTAATTTTATTATAACAAATAATTTTTTTATAAAGATATATTCAGGAATTCAGATGGTAAGGACAGGCAGGGTGGCATGACAGAATCATATACAAGATTGCTAAACAACATCTAGAAGTAAAGTGAATTCGAATCCAGTAAAACATGCTCCAAAAGGGACAATGAATGAAGGCACCTAGGGTTAACGAAAGAATCTTCATGGCCCAAGGCCCTATGATGATACTCCCCAGACCGTGTAGAATAATGTGCTATACATAACTCGTTAAATATAAGATTATATTGACGTAGTAGCAGATATAGATGTTCGCAATCCCTATAAATTAGAGCTGAGTTGAATTCTTTAATCGGGGTGATATAGCGAAAAAAGCAATATTGAATAAATTTAATAAAATATACATACTCGCCTCTCAATTTAGGATCATAATTATTCAAAGCATCTATTAAGATAGTCGAGTAACAAACTACCCACCATTTGTAGTCAAAAACTGAAATACCACATAAAATATTGGGATTCTTACCAGACCAATTTCAGATTTTATAATCCTGACATCATTGGCTGTAGTTCCTTCAGGAATTCTCATTCGAAGATCATTTATCATTCTATCTCTTGTAAATAAATCTCCTTCCAGAACTTGTACTCGGTTTTTCAGTCTGTCATTATCATTCTCATGAAACTGAAACAGAAGAAAGAAGATTTGAAACAATTTCCTTTTACTCAAAACACCACAAGATAGATTACAAAACGAAATATCAACAGCAGTAATGAGTATTATCTAGCCAAGAGATACCCAAACTTTTCAAACTAACTCTGCATTTACAAATCAACACGACGAAAAAAATTCACTTTATTAAAATTACATTAGGTCTAGTTCAAGTTAAGTTCTAGTTCTTTGCATTGTTATGCAAAGAGCTAATTTATATTGGAGGAACCAGACTCTTTCCGGTTCGGGGCTACATCTAACGCTTTGACCACTGGGCAGTCACGGCCACCTGTTTATCAACGTATGTAAGTTCTCAACTTGATCAGACATAAAAGAATTTTTTGGAAATTGATTGATAGCGCGCGTAGCGCACTCAAAACTATCACACACTGCACTTAAAAATCTACTTTCCAACATCTTCAAAATTTTCTTGTGACATAGTTTGAGATCAACTGCTCTAGCCAGTATTGGTTACACATTATAATACACAATACAAACCTTGAGTTGACTGATTAAATCTTTTTGCCTAGTCGTCTGTTCCGAGACTGTCTTTAATGCTCTTGTCAGCTGGATATCAAGTGGTAAGGTAGGGTCAGGTATCAAAGATGGAATATCTTCAAGTCTATGATGATACAAATATAGAGAAATGTTAGTTTTCGTGAGTTGGAGGTATCAGGTTAAAATCAGTTACCAGCGAGTTATCAGTCTACAAAACTATGTTCATGCTTCTGAAACAATGGCCATTTTGAGCTACTGGTTGTTATTATTAAAGAGGCAGTAACACCAGAATTTCCTAATGATAAATTTGAAAAGCTTGTTCCAATCTGAGAAGATGTACAAGAAATCAGACCGTGTAAAATATATGGGTTTATCTTAATTGAACAGGCTAATTTGTCTATGTTGCACAGAGCTGCCTTTTCAAGTTAAAATTCAAGATTATTATATCCAAATTGTATTTTAAAAATATGCAATCAGGGAGAAAAGGAAAGATATAGTTTCAATTAATAATGCATTTTGTAATAGTACCGTTTGGCCTTTTTTGACACTTCTCTACGTTTCATGTCAAAATCATCCAACATTCTTTCCAGTTGTGTTTCCCTCTGTTCCCATTCCAACTGCTGTTTTTCTTGATTCTAGGTCAGGTATAAATGCATAATGTACAAAGTATTCATCTTTTTAATGTCATGTAGTGCTTTTATGGCCACAGAATTAAATGACAAATACAACACAATCATGTTTATATGCCATTATTTCCCTGAGGAAGGCAACTATGCTTGTTTGCCATCAGCAGGCTTTTGAAATCATGGCGTGGGTTGACTTATGAAAAATAGATGCCGCCAAGTTTTCATTCTATAATATTGAGAAACACTTTAATACCAAATCTAAAATAAGCAACTAAACCAAATTAAAGCTAATTCATCGAATAAATTTAAAATGTGTAATTCTGATACAAATAGCTATATTCATTATACAAGCATTTATTAAGTTTTTTTGATACATATGATACACAGTGTACATATAAACAAAGCAGTAACATAAATTGGAGCATATGAATATAAAACCAAGCTCACCCTCAACATTTCAACAATATCTTCTTCTCTTGCCGCTATTGTCTTCTCATGTTGAGCTGCTGTTTTCTCAAGATATTTTATTTCTTCATTTTGTCTCACAACCTGAATGGTAATTTATTCAAATTTAACAGTTTTTTTTTTTGTGTTTCATATCTTAAGAGATTACTCAGTAAAAGCGTTACGTACTTTCTAATACATTTAATGTTACGGCAATATGAGAGTATTAAACAAACAATAACCTGTCTTTGTAATTTCAGATCTTGCAATCTCAATGCATCCATTCGTTTGCACCATTCTTCCAACTTTTGTGCACCTCTGCCATCCTGAGGAAAAGTGAAATAATTAATTATTTAACAGTGCTTTGTAAATCTAGATATTCGTACGAAATGGAACAAAAATCAACTTGAAATGTACATGTGAGATTTCTATCTCCATAATTGAGATTGGTATTAAACACATTCTTACCCAAATAATTATTAATACAAAATTCTTTCGAAAGGCTTTATTTTAATTATTCAAATCAAGTAATTAGGCCATAAAAAGTGAAGATTTTGCAGAGAAAAAAAAGGTATCTATCCAATTGCGGTTCAATTTTTGTTATGCTTTTATTTTAAATAATTCAAAAATACTTCCTGGAGTAACATAGAAAATAAAATTTAAAAATAGTAGGCCAGCAAATTTGATAAAAAGTGAATTTTGTCAAAACTAATCTTTGGCATCACAAATTCCATACAAATGATGCAATAATTTGGCAGAACAAAATCATCAGAAACATATAACAGAAAAATATTGAATTTTGATTTTACCTTGATTGTTTTCTTCAATTCCAATAATCCTTCTTCCTTTATTTCCGCTTCAGCGAGTTTGTCTTCTAGGCCTTCTCTCTCTTTTCTAACTCTCTTCAATTCATCTTGTATTCTGGCTTTGTCTTCTTGCAGTCTAGTACAAAAATTTGATCATTTCAAAAGAACACATAATATTATCGAAACTTAGATTCATGCTGTTAAATGATTTCAAAATGATGGTAAAATACAAAAAATAATAACTAGATAAGTTATTACGGCGGTTCAAACATGGTTGCTCCAAGCAAGACCATAGATAAGAAACTGCTGCCTCATAATACCTATATAAGAGTATGTAATGTATGTATTAATGTATATATAAAAACACGAGTTGTAGGCAATAACTTGATATATTCTATCAGTATAGGTTGTGGCAGTTGTTGTAGAGTTGTTCACCTTATCATAGATTGTGAGAATTTCTCCTGCTGATGTAGAGGTAAAGCCCCACTAAATTGTTGACGTAAGCTTTGTATTGTTTTCTTCAACTGACGATTCCTAGTTGTCGTTTCAGTACGGACATGATAAACCATCAATTCTTTTTCATCTGTAAAAACATTTAAATATAAATGTATTTAAATTATCTTAAATTTTTTAAAATTCAAGAATTATTCAAGTATTTTGCTCTGAACAATGCCATGTACAAGCGGCCACTGATGTCTAACGATATGTATAAACAACTATTTTTGGACTGACCAGAAGCTTTGATTATCCGTTCCTAGAAGGCTATGGTAACACAATTATATTAATTCACGGTAATTGGACATTGTGTGTGCAACATTTTGTTATAACCAGAATGAGATACTGAACATAGGTTGATCGGGATTTAATCAGAAATCTAAAGTTTGCAATATCAATTCGATTGGAACCTCACAACTTAAAAAAAATAGTAAAGGTTTCATCGAGTGAAAGATTAATATAGTGTTCTGTGAATAATATACTATGAAGATGAAGAGAATTTACACAAGTCTCCAAACTCTTTGAGAAATGACTTAGGCCACAGAATCTTGGTTGAAGAGAGTTTGACTCCAGTCCCAAACAATTTGAGAGACAGAACAGGAACTTTGGCATATTCAAGTCTTCTTTAATTGTCTTCTAAGAATGCTTAGTTAACTGGATTCTTTCAGTTTCTGTTAGAACTATGACTTCGATTATCATCATGGAAGTCTGCAAATTATTACTCCTTACACCAAAAAATATTAATTTTCGATTTGACAAATTTGAAATTACACCTATGGCTTTAATATCAATAATGAGTCTTCGAGCACCTACTGATAACCATTATTCGATCGAAAAGCATTACACTGTGCCTGTGACTGCATTATTGGTTGATCTATACAAAATAATTACATTTCATGAGTAAATAACCAAAAAATTTACCAATCAACTTTTCTTGTCTCAGTACATGTGCTTCAAGTTTTCTAACTTGTATTGTGATTTTTTCAATTTTGAGTTTTTGATCTGCTTCAACAGATTGGAGGTTGACTATTTGTCTGTGAAGCTTTCCTGAAACAGAGACATAGGATTAATATTACATTCTGACGGACGTTTCCCCGACCATCAACCCCAGAAAAATTCTCCTTATACTTCACTATAAGAAGATTTGTAATACTTATTTTGAGAGTGTTTTGAAGAGTAGACACAGACACCGCTTACAGATACTGATAGTTCATTTTAGCCTAGTCTATTGCATCTTTTTGGGAGTTAATTTTTGAATATTGCAACTAAACTTAAACTCCTCGGAGGACATAATGACAATCAAATTATTTGATTTAAAACTAATTTTTGTAAACACATGCTTGAATATCTGTCTGAGCGAAAGAGGTGTTTGAGCAACTGCACAAATTGCCGTTGTTATGTCATCTTTGACTTATTGCAGATTGGTCATTGTTACGGAAAATGAACAAGGAAATAGATGATCTGGGAAACATCCATTGTCCCATCAACAACTTTATATAAAAGTCTTACCAATCAATGATTTATCATCACTTTGAATCTGAAATTCTCTAACTTGTTCTCTCAATGATCTCATTTCTCTTTCTCTGCCATGTTGTTGAGATTGAAGAGTTTTTAATTGATTTTGTGCGATGTCAGCCATGTCTTGTAATTGTGACATTCGTACCTATAGGTAGTATAAAATATAATCACAATTCATATACTCTGTCTGTGATAATAGTTTCTGAATAAAAATGCTCGCTAGCACACTGTTAGTTACAGAGACTCTTTTAACAAACGCATAATCGCGGCGAACTTTGCATAAGCTGTTGCATGGGAATTTCCGATTACGATTTTAATGTTGCTTATCCGCTTGCCAATTTGTCGGTTTCATTTTGTTGTTTCTGATTGGTATAGCTATTTGTCCGTCCGATTACGTGCAAGCCTATTTCAGATCATAAAAATTTGGGTAGAACAACAGATAAACTTTGAAAACAAAAATTGGGAATAAATTTTTAAATGATATTTCCATCATTGACTACTAAAGTCTCATCCTTAAAATTAAGCAATTTTTTGTTTCAATAACTATCATTTAAATAAATCTCATAATTCCACTTTTTATCAAATGAGACCTTGGCACTATCTAATATCTATATATTCCTCATATTGCTAAAATTTAGGCACAACTTACCCTTGTTTTAGCAGATTCTTCCTCTAATTTAGAAATTTTCTTTCGATCTGCTTCACTGACAGACAATGGTACAGCAGCAGCAAGTTCATCCCGTAATTCTCTCTCTGTTTTCTGACTTGTCAAATTCATTTTTGTAAGCTGCATTAAATACAGAATTTGATATCAGGATTTTGAACTTGTTTTTTATAAAATCGAGATTGAAAATAGCAGGAAATTTAATAGTATCAACCGAAATCTTATTTAGTTGATAATTATCCACCAGTATAACTGTGCTCTGATCCTATTTCCCAATCTTTAACTGACCAATGAAAATACAGCATGATTGCATAGGCCTTATGGGTAAAACTACTGAAGAATTGCTTCATGGGTATAAATACTAGCATGCTGATCTCCAGGTGCAGAGGTCATTCAGTATGTTGATATAGCAGAGGCAACATGGCTTTATTTTTGCTATTTGCAGTTACATTTAAACTGTTCATGTTAAGCTTGCGTTCAATAAAACAATAATTTATACCAATGAACACAAATATTTATAGGAAATATATTTCACCTCAGAAGCACATAGGAAACCACAATTGAGGATAACCAATTATTATGAAAGTCAGAGCAACTCTACTATAAAAATGAAGATAATAAACCAGATTTCAAAATCATTCTTTTTCAATCAAGTTAAAAGAAAATTATGTCTGTAGAATGTGGTAAGTAAACTCTAAAAGATCAGACCTCAGAAAATTTATGTTCCAATTCCATATTTCTATTTTCCAAAGCATCAACTGTAGATTTGATTTGACTAAACATTCGTGTTGAGTGTTCTGCTCTTTGTCTTTCATTTAATTCCTTCATTTCAAGTACAGTAACCTAAAGAAATAAGAATTTACTTTTATGTGAAATTATAAAGATCAAACCAATTTAATGTATCTCAATAGTTTATCAGGATAACCACATAAACGAAACCTTTAAATTTCCCCTAAAATTAAATTACCGCTAAAGTACTTAAAATAAAAAAAATTCATTTAATAGTTGAACTTCAGTTTGTATATAATTGTACCAGAAAGTTTCAGTTATCTAAGGTGCTTGTCCAATATGTCAATATATTATTTTTACGTCAAATTCTGTGAAGTATGTGATACTGAAAAACTGAAATGAGCTGAAAAAATATCATGCTATATAAAAGGAGAGCCTCCAGGAAATAAAAGAAATTCATATTATAATCACCATATTGAAATGATAAAAAAGCATTCACCCAAACAATTTTGACTCCATACCTTTTTCATCACTGCAGATATTTCATAATTAATCGCGTCTTTACTCATTGATTTTGAGCCTCGCGTCGATCCTGTTTGAGATGATAAACCTTCAGCTCTTTGTAATGCTTCACCAAGAGTATGTCGCTTCTCTTTTTCTATTGAAAGTTCCTTCCTCAAAGATTCAATCTCTTCATTTAGTATTTTGATTTCGGCCTGAACAAAAACGACAGTATTATTCAAACCTTATCTATCTAATCTAATCAGAACTGAGGGAATCAGACTCCAATTTGGGCAAAGCGTTCAACTTAACTGTATTGGGTTCAAACTCATACTCCCACCTTACTCAGGATGGATGAGTCAGGTAGTTACGCACAATGTGCCAGCTGTCAAGCAAGACTAAAATTTTCCGATATGATAATTTTTCAAATGAAATTATCCTATTTCATTACGAAAACTGAGAATCTGGGATATCAAGTACCAATTACAATTAATTTTCAATTTTATGATACTTTTTCAGTCGACTCATGCCTATAGCTAATATGCCTAATGAATCACTGTCATTGCAATTCAATATCACCTGCAAAGTCTCTACTTTTGTATTCTTAGCCACAAACTGATTCTCTTTCTGCAACAGATCTCTATATTTTGCAGTGAGTTCATCATACTTGCGATTTATATTTTCAAGTTCAATCTCAGGTACACAGCTATCCATGTTCTTTTGCAATGCAGCTGAAACAGAAACAATTGGACAGTCGATTAAAAATCTGCTGGTGCTATGATGTTGATGATTGGACATGAAGTGGCCCTAAGGAACGTTTTGATAAATTCTTGATGTTGTTGAGTTGATTGGTGTTGTTTGAAAGAAAATGTTTGCAACTAGTGGACAGACTGATTTCAAATGTTAAGTGTTTAGGGATGGATGGGGAGTCACTAGAAGGTTACTACTTTTATTTTATTTCAAATTTCCCTCCAGTCTTTTGGGGCCTGAGATTTCACCAAAAATTCAACTATATCATTTTATTTACTCCATCAAGCACAATTTTTATTTCTAAAGCGAGTGTTGGCTTCCACACGATTTCACCAGTTGGTCCATCAAATTTTGCTGAAATATACTGTCAAATTACTGCTCGACTATAATGACTATTTTTTAGAATTATGAAGTCAAATTGTTATATTTGTTTGCTCAGGTTGAACATGGCACTGAGAATAGCATTTTGAGTCTAATAACATCAAATAGTTAGGAACAACATACCGATTTTATATGCAGCCATATCTTTATATCTTTCCAAATAACCAAGTCTTTCTGAAACAGCCTTTTCCATCAATAAAATTTCATTTCGAAGCCTGTTATTTTCAATATGAAGTTGTTCTTCACTTGATTCGAGAGCTTAAAAAACAACAGACAAAAAAATGTATTCACAAAAAACCCGGCTTACATCTTCATCCATATAAGCGTATATTTAAAGTTTAGAAATATGAAGAAAAATTGATATGTTATTGTTGTACCGGCATAGCATACCCAAATTATCATCAACTGGGAAAACAAGTGGAAATAAATGATCAATAAGCAGATCGAAACAAATAAAATGAAATTTAAAACCCACAATTCGCAAATCAAATTGGCCATATTTGTACAGGTATGAATGCAAGTTTTGCGGCAGTGATGGCCTAGCCCTAGTGATTAAAGCATTGAACTTATGTTAAAATTTCACGTTGGCAGTCTCGGGATCAAATCCCACCATCTAACCCAGGGATTAATAACTTGAGTAGCCAATACTCAACCAGAAAGATTCGAGTTTTTCTAAAAATGAATTAGCAGTGAACGATGGTGCAGAGCCATATTCAGAGTGAAAGTCAAACAAAATTAATCATATAAAAATGTCCATAACCAAAGAATATGAGTTTGAAAATATTTTTGTAACTCAATTTCTAGCAGATTGGCTCTTACCCTTATGATGCCTGATAAGAGTTTTTTCATTAACACGAAGAAGAGAAATTTTTCTTGTTGTTTCCGCAAGTCTTTGCTTTACAGTATCGGGATCTCTTTGTAAAGAATCCAGCAATCTCTGAGAAGAAAAATGGGTGACATGAATTTAATAGGATTACAAATGTTAAAAAATCTTGGATTAAAGTTTCGTAAAATGCTGTTCGATCTAAATACTGTATTTGTCTTTGTATAATACAAACTTTTAAGGTCAAATCTTGTCTTCCGGTACCGCTTTGGTACCGCTCTCCCCCCTTTGTAATGCACGAAAAGCATTTTTCTATTGGTATACATAGCAAAGTTTCGTAATCGTAAGTTGGAATACTTTTTAAGCCCCCAAGCCGCTTGACAACCTGACGTTTTTCGGCCTCTGACCAAACCCGTTAGCTGCTTTGGTCCATCTTGGCAATTTGAAATTTCAGAATCCCACACCCCCTTCGAAAATTCGCTACGACCCAGTAAACAGCCACTGATACTCAATAAGCTACTATTTTAGAAGAACTGGAATAATTAATAGTGCCAGCGTACATCAAGTTCTTGCACCCGGACGGAATCTTTATCTGATTGTTCTTGAAGTATCCTAATTTGACCATCTTTGTTTTTATTTTCAATTTCCCATTTCTTCTTGGCGTCCAAATGCTCTATAGAGAATATTTCAAACGTATAAGCTTAAATTATAGTCAAATTCAGAGAGGAAACAAACACATGAAGTATAACAATGGACGCTATCTTGTACTAAATGACACCAGATAATACCATAAAAAAGAAAGCACTTGTTTGAATGATGTTTCCCAGGACATTAACTTCCTGGTTTATTTCTTTAACATTGGCTAGATGTTAAAGTTGACTCAACAATTGAAGTTTTAGCAAACGATCAGAGCGGCAAGAGCTATATATAGATCAAGAAGTTTGAAAAAATTAAGCATAGAAAGAACTTGTGGTCAAAATCAAGTAAACACCCACTAGATGTGAAATTTTAATTCTCTAACCAACCTTTATAAACCAAATGATTCTGATGTCTAAGTAAATGAAATTGTCTTCTTGATTGTTCGAGCGACTCGTTGACATTTTTCAACTTTTCGTCTCTTTTCGCAACATCATTCATGACCTAAATTATAAATAATAATTGTCACATAACCTGTTCAAATGAAATATATATTACTGGTAAGATACCAGAATATATCAAAAAACAAATTTGAATGAAGCTGAATAATTTAGGATAGGATTTTTATATGTATGTTGGTGCAGGAAGCCGTAGCAGTTATGTAAATCGAGAAATGATGGCGAGCTTGTTTCTAACTCTAACACAATGCTCCAACTGTCAATCTCTCAAGCGAAAATGACACACAGTCCAAATTCTATGCTTACCTGCATCAGTTGTTCATTCAGTGCAGTAATAATATCTGCATATGTAGGTTCTATATTATCAGGTAGTGGTATTGTATGGATAACTGTTTTTCCGCCCTTTCCTTCTGCTAATTTTGACAATGTCGCAACTTCAGCTTTGAGAACTTCATTCTAAATAATAAAAATTAGAAAAAATAGCCATTTATCCAGAGCAGTGGTTTCCAATCGAGGTTCCGCGGATTCCTAGAGTTCGGAGGTTCTGCAGGAATATTGTTTACACATACTAAATTCCTTATTAGGTTTGCCTCGTATTAATAGACTTGCTACCCTATGTGTACTTTATGATTCGACTACTTACAAACCAATTACTGAAATGAAAAGAGTACATTCTCTTTGAAAAAATAACCACTTCCTATGTAGCGGATGCCATATGCTGTGAAGGATGTGTAGAGTAATGTGAAAGCATCCCATAAGGTGAGATGAGATTCTTGAAAAACACTTTTTTGAGCAAAAAGAACCCTCAGATTGATTTCTTATAAATATAACGATACAAAAAGTGAAAACCTAGAACTGAAGTTGATTGCATAACCCCATATTGCATTATTGCAAAATATTGAAAGAAAACATTTAGAAAATATTACTTGTGATTTGTAATTTGCTTTCTCCCCACTAGCAGCAGCAAAGTCTCCTCTTGTAGATCTTAATTCTTGTCGTAATTCTTCATTTCTTCCAGTCAATTGATCGACCTGTGCTTTCATATGAAGTGCTGGTTCATATTCTCCGTGGATGTTTTGAACTTCGATTGCCTGTATTCAAATATATAAACAATGAAAAAATAAAAATATTGTGTGTAGGAGGAAAGACTCACGAAAAGCAAAATTAAATGAGTAAATATAAACTTGTCTGTAACCATATCGATAACATTATTTCTCTTCAATTAAACAATTAACAAGACGTGATAGTTTCATAAAATTTGAGACGAGTGCTTTTGTGTATTTAGATACTTTTAGTTCAGATTATATGTAAAACCACCCCCTCTGATAATGAACTGATATTTGGAATTTTAAATTTGGTTAAAAAAATGAAATTTTTTGGAATTTCTGACATCCTGCATTGAACGATAGACTATAATATAACGAAAAGAATCCCGGAATTCACCATGATATCTCATAGAAGCATTGAAAATTGAAATATAATTATCAGGTACAATAAAGAATATCTATAACAATTGTGTAATATTAATTAACCAGAGCTGGGTTGTCTTTTCATTGTATACAAAATGAAACTATACATTGTTTTTGGTGTGGTTCTCATTGCTGTTTTGTTAAGGTTGTGAAAAATCACTTTTCTCTGCAATTAATTCACAAATAGATAGAAAATCAGTACGCAAAGATGAGAGAGTTAGAAGGATATATAAATTGCTCTGCTAAATCACAGTTGTTCTCATTCTTGTTGGTGTTCTTATTGTTGCTGTTGAGGTTAGGAAAAATCAATTTTCTGTACAACTCCTGCACGAATGATCAGTATTTATAGATGAAAGATTATTCTTTCCTTATAGGGCTCAATATTTACTCCAAATTTTACTATTTTTCATAACTCACATCCACACCTTCACGTGACATTCGATACGTTTTGTTTAATTTAGCATTTAACCGACATTGTGGTGGTTTTTCGACCTCTGAGTACATATATTTGAACATTGCTCTCTTATATTAATTAGAAAATACAATTGGTCGTACGTTAATTAATCTTTCCAGTGATGGGATCTCAATGCTACCACTTGTACCATCTTCTTTTGAATTTTTGATCGCTTCTAGTATTTCTTTCATTGCATTCTTCATTTCAACATTTTCTTTTTGCAATGATTTCCTCTCCTATGCACGAAAAAATGTAAACAAATTGGATTTGACTTGATAATTGTAAATTTTCCTATTTTTTCTCATTTGCATTGTAGCACAGTGCAATTACTTTATCAGATTTAGCTTACTGTTCAACACATTTGAATGTTTCCAAATTCAAGAACGCTGTCCTGCAAATAATTTTGGTTTTTAGCTACCTGTATCAGGAATGTCAAAGACAGATCAAATATTTGAATATTTGAAAGGTGTTGCAATAGGTTTAATTTTTATCAATTATGATTTTGATCAATTGAAATCAAATAGTATACCAAAAAGCATTTCTTTCATTTTGGGTAGCAATAAAAATGTTATTATTTATCCGAGTTTTCAGATAAACAGCTTTTTCAATTTGCATTCATTTTAGGTTATGTTTAAAGACATACTGCAGACGGCCTATGATATTACCCAATCACATAAACCAAAGTTTTTTTGAGTTTCATCAAGGCAATTCGAGACTATTTTTTCCAGACAGTAAAAAAAATAATTGTACACAAACAACGAGATAAGGGGGCTCAAACTATGAATAACAAAATATTCTATTATTGTTAATATACAAACTTCAAATGAAACATCAATCAAATAACGAGAATATCGGTCGGAGACCGGAGACTTATCGATCCTAGATCGGTAATTAGTTAATAACTCGCTAATTATACGACATAATTAACCCAAAATCTATAGGCTTCTGGTCCGAGGTAAGATGCATGCACATGCAAAATTTGGAGCAGATTCAACCTTGCATTCGCGAGATATCGCGTTCATCTAACAGACACACACACAGACAGACAGACATACATACAGACAAATACCTATCAATATACTTACCGATCTTAAGATCGATAAGTAATAATGACAAAAACCTGCTTCAATCTTGTATTCTCAGCCTGAGACATTTGTAAATGTGTTTCAGCTTGATCAGCTTGTTTATTTAGTTCATCCATTTTCCAATTAGCTTGCTGCATTGAGCTTCCAGAAAATCTAACATTCTTGGGTCTTCTGAATAAATTGTCACCATCACCAAGGATTAATCAAATGAACAGACAATTTAAAACAAATATTTAACCAATTGGGTTTGTTATATATTTGAAATGAATGAAGAAATTCAAAAATGTTAAGCCTGACTATATTGCAGACACGATATAGCTAGAAAGGTTTAAACTTCAAGCTAGCCACTTAACATATGCTAAATAATTTTGGTAACCGAACTAAACACAATCAAGCAAATGCCTTTATTAATCGGTGCTTGTCTGCAGTATTGTTCAGAGCAAATGTGTTGAACATCTTATACAAATATCAGAGCAGTTATTTCAAAGTGTACTGCAATAATATATCTTGAACAGCGTAAGGATGCTTAAACAAAATGGTATCAGGATATATAGTATTTCAATCACCCCATAAAACTCTTTCTAGTAAAACTAACTAAATTTCTTGAATGTTTCTCATTCATCACTTAAATATCACCTTGTTTCAAGTATGCATGTGACAACGGTCTTGTTCGGATCCAAAATAGGAAATAAACAAAACAAAAAAAGTTCAATATACAATATCGTTGTACCCTCAGTTTCTTATCAACCTTAACAGAAATTGGCTCAGCAATTGAAAAGATGCATTTCATCAAAAATATTTATTCGACAGAAAATCCCACTTTCACATTTAAATTAATGTAACACTTACTGAACCGGTTTTCCAATTTTTCTTTTTCGTTTTAGCTCTTCAATAAATTCTTCAATTGTGTCGATATCATCTTGATGCAATCCTTCAGAAACTGCTCTCTGACTGTACGTTTGAGCTTGTGATCGTATCTATTGGTGCAGAATGAAATAGTACAAAGAACCTTATTATAATGCTCCTTCTGAGTATTATGATGTCTAAATTTTAATAAATGTGAATATTTGTTACCCTTTCCACAGATTTTTATTTTTTTATTAAATAATCGTATTTGCTACGCCGATTTTATGCTTTTGTACCCCCCACAACTAATCGATCGACTAACGAAAAACTTATGATCCTCTGCTGCCCACTGACGGCTCGTTGGAAAGCTTATTTAAAGAGCTTGCAATTGGCGATTAAAAAGATTTTTTTTTTAAAAGTGGTGGTCTGAATCACAAACCGGATAGAAATAAGCATTTTTTTTCTTGGGAGTTGAAACTTCAAACCATGATAAAGAATAGAATTATTCGCTAAATCCTTTACTGTTACCGCTTCGTGGTTGCCAAACAATAGGATAATGTTGCTGTAGCAATTTCGTGATCTAACCCAAAATACTTTGGTAGATGGAAGGGATAATATTTCTTCTATTACCACCCAAAAAACACCAAATTTTGCATAAATTTCAAAAACACTCCCTCGTTCCGCGGCAAATAAAATTCCCGGCGTAAACGAAAGCGAGATTTACCGTCGCTTATGTTAATCTCGAAGAAGACTTCTTATCAATAAACTAAAACCCGGAGAAACAAGACCAACAGTTTGCGACCGATTACTAAATGAAACAATGGGTAACTTAAAGTACCCGCCGCGATCTAGCGAGTTTTGTCGTTGGTACGTATACGTGCCCACCGCACGATAAGGATTAATTGCGAGTTCAGCAATACAATGTATGCCTATTTAAACAAAGAAGACGATTACAAAAGTATTATTCAATTCCATAACTGAATCCAGTATTATATCCTATGAGCTATGACTATTTATTTCCATGCTACTGTACAGTATAACCAATAGCAAAGTTTACAGTATTATCCCATCATAGCAAACCTGATGTTTCATTTCAATTCTTTCATCTTCAAGTCTTTCAATTTCTTTCAAAAGAATTTGATTCTCAGCTCTGTATTGTTGCTGCCTCAAAGCTCTTGATTTTCTCATTTTTGCAATGTCTGTAAGATCTCGAGGATTGATACCGAGTCGTTCACGAAATTCATCATTTTCTTCTAAAATCTATGGATTAACAACAAATTAATTAGAGCTCCTTTTTTATTTATTGTCACTATTTTTATACAGTGTTTACGGAAATTTCATTTCAAACAAGGCCTTGTATAAGCATTCACCCATATTCAATGATCTACTATATTTGGGAGAGACCGTAATCTTAATGATTCGGCATTTGTGATTGGTTTATTGGGATGGGATTAAAGTCTGATATTTTAACCTACGATGCCGCTCTGCCAACTATGCCATCTTGACTACAGTACAGTCACAAGCGATTTTGACAATAGTATGTATAGACACAAAATATCATACAAGAAACAGTATTGTTATGCCTCAAGAATAAGTAATGGAGGCAGTAAACGAAACTTACATCGTTCAATTTTTCTTCCAGCTGATTGACTTGTCTTATTAATTCTTCAATATTTTGATCTCGTACTTTGATTTGGTTTTTACATTCTGGATGTAAAAAGTATAATAAACTTACATATTAAACAAACCTAATCCATCTCTATCATTCCGAGCAATAAAACAAATACACAAACCAAATCAAGAAGGCTCTAGTTAAATTGCAAGAAAAGCATTTTTGCCATTATTCCACTTTGTATTAGAAATGTACCGATACCACCTTTCTCGTCGATATTGGGCAAATCACTCACTATATTAACTGTTAAGAATTTAATGAGGCGGCAAATGTATAGTATGTGATCCCTTCACAAAAAAAAATTCCATTTGCCAACACCCGAGCTGAATATATTGGAAATATCGGCCTATTTTAGCCGATACCGATGTAATTACTGATATTACCAAAATTTCCAATTTTGCAGACATCGATACATCTCTACTTTGTATTCAGAAAACCAGTTTAATTTTGTTAAGTTAACGAAGAAGAAAATACTAAATTTCATTCAAATTCACCCATTTTTATTGAAAACATTGAAATCTAAATAGTACCTTTAATTTCATGAACAGCTTCGGAAAGTCCATATTCTCCTGATTCAATATCATCAATTCTTTTCAAAGCTGCGTTTAATTTTTGATCTTTATCTCTAGCTTCTCCTTCAGCAGCTAATCGATGAGTTTCAGCATCCGCTACTGAATCTTCCAATTGCTTAATTTTACTCTAAAAGATGAAAAACCTTTTTATTATTTGTACTTAATTTTGCAGGTTATTCGAGCGACTGTCTATCCTTCATCCTGCTTTATTGTATTGCTGGATCCTTTGTGCCTTGAAGTCACAAAGACATATGAATAAGATCAAAAGTTAATATAACAAAAGATTAGAATCCCATTCTAGTATTTACAAGTTTGCTCTTGAAACATTATTTTAGGTGTCATTTTTTGAGTGCAAGATACAATATATTCCAATTAAAGGTACAAGACTACATACTTTGCATAATGTCAGTTTTTTCCAAAATCGATCGTGCGCCTTATAAGCTAATGCGCTCAATGTATGGATGTAGTGTTTATGCTTTATTGCCTACATTCAAAACCAGCACCAGTATTCAAATCTTTGAAGTTCAACCCAGCACAGAAACTAAATCAGCAAACATAAATATTTCACTGAGCATGAAAATAATAACACTCATTTCATATTGTACCTGTAACGTTTTAATTTGATTTTTATATCCAATAATTTCTCTGTTAGTTCCAGAGTCCTTTCTTAAATCTTGCACAATAGCAGTCTGTGCATCCAAATCGTTTATAACTTGTTCTAAACTTGTCTGTAATTGTTTGATCTGTTCTTCTTTTTCTTTTAATTTCTGAATTGAAGAAAATGAAAGTACTATGAACCGATAGCAAATCCAAAGATATAATAGTCAAGCAAATACAAACTAAGGGACCATTAATAAATATGGTTTCAATTTCAGTAGATTATTCATTTCATTTTGGAAATGATATTCATTCATCAACTGAATAATATAATAATGCATCAAATTTCACATCATATTTATATTGCACATAGCATTGCCTCATCCAATTTCAATTGGAAAATTCAATTTCAATGATAGAAGTCTAAAGAAGTCAATTTTTTTACTTAAAGAAATAAACAATTTTCAATATCAACTAACCTTGAAGACGATGACAACAATTTTATATACATTTAATGACTAGACAATGAGCCTTGCATGAAATTCAATAGGTAATGCTAACAAAAATGGAGATTGTATCTTCCCATTAAAAGAAGCTCTCATGTATTGGTGGCTAGGCTACTTGTCTAATGCTTTGCTCAGTTTGAAGGCATGAACACCTTTAAAAAAACTAACTTTCAAGATAAGATGATCACTGAAATTCCAAATTTTGAAGTAAGGAAACATAAGTCCTCATTTTTCAATGTCATATTCAACTTAACAACATTACCTTTGTCAATTGTTCAGCTCTTATTCTATCTTGATCCAGAGCTGCCGAATTGATTTGGTCTTGTAAAGCAGCAATGGTTCTTGCGTTCTCCGTCAGTAATCTATCTTTTTCAGTCATTCTGTTTTTCCATTCTTCCACTTTCGTATTGACCGTTTCAACAATTGCATCAACTTCTTCATTTTTACCTTTCAATTGTTCACGAAGATCAGCAACCTATAGATCAGGATAGCATAACTTGATTATAACATTGCATGTCATGCAGCCACATTTATTCTTCGTGAAGTTGGTGTTAACTGTATCTATGGTTTACCATTGCAAAGGCAATCTGAAAATTAATTTTAAATCTGGAATATCAAACACAATTCTAATTAGGGGGTGTCCAAATCAAATCGATTACATTCAACATTCGAATAGGCTATTCGAAATAGTAAATTTCTGAGTTTGAGAATAATTTAGATCATTTTTATTTAAAAATTAGGAATTTTGATACGTCCGATGAGCAGTTTAAAACAAATGATATCTCAACTGGAAACAAACAATACAGAAAACTCTATGACCTATATAATCATGTTTTAATTTTCCCTATAAACTGGAACTGGGCAATTGCTTGCCCCATGTTTAGATTTTAGAATGTATTCGATATTCCAGAATATTCGGTTTTGCCATCCCTACTAACAGTCCTGGAACTTTCAGAAAAATAGAAAAATTTTATATTTAAAGTATTATCAATATCAACTGATTTAATGACAAGACTTTGTCATATGGAACACCATTTGAAAAACTTATACATGTGGGTGGATTAATAAAGGCAGAGTTAATATGAAGAATAATGGATATACTTAAGGCATAAAGAGTGTTACTGGCTACTGGTGTATAGTATTGACAAGCTTTTAGCACATAACTTATAGAGTAGAAAAATCATCACTTAAAAAGTTTACTCATGAAAATTTTCCTCTATGGAATATTCCATCCAGACAAAATTTAACTCCAATCTCCATTTCGAAGCTTCATAAAATGACTTTTGTGTAATATTTTCCAGAATTTGTGGGCGATTCATAACGGTAGGCCTATTTAACATATAGATATATATTATGTTAGACTATGATCGAAAGGAAGCTAATAAATACACTTGTCATATCGAGAGAATATCTTAATCGATAATATTAGTTTATCAAGACACCTGGAGTTTGTATGCAGCATTTTCCTTCTGAATATTTTCTGAGTACTGATCTGTTCCATCTATGACACGTTTCATTTTCTCATATTCGTCGGCCATCTTTTCCATGTCTTGTTGAGCTCTTTCCATTTCATCTCTGACTCCATGATTTTTGGATTCCAAGTCTTTGTTTACTTTTTCTAATTCCTGAAGGAGTAATGCAAACATAAAACCACATCTTACTGAAAATTCAATCAAAGACTAATAATAAATATGTATTTTACAAAATAATTCCAGATATCCAATGATTTCTTTTTTAAAGTCCTAGAAGGTCACTCTAAAAACGTGTCTCAGGCGCTATTCCTGGCAGAGACTCTTAGAGTTTTACAATGACATAAATAATTCGGATAAGTGAGTTTGAGGTAATACATGGCTCATTTTGCACATTATATTCGGGTACGATTAATACGTGAGAAGTTTATTTTGGCCAACGATTCGCTATTCTCATTGATTTTTTCAACAAAAATTTATATTCGTAAAATTTCAGCAAGCACAACTGGGCCAGATGAAACACTTCGGTGGGCCAAATCAGGCCCACGGGTCGTAATTTACACACTTTTGTGTTAAAGAAATGATTTAAATAACATTTAGAAAAAATGAGATAAAAATATAGACAGAAATGAACTTATTCACATAGCCTTAAAATTTATCTCACATAACTTTAGTTGGCTTGGAATTTAATTAGATAGCATATTCCTACCACAATTCCTGAATAAAGAAAAATACAAACCGTTATTTGATCGAGTAAATCTGTTATTTGATTGTTTTTCTCAGTGAGTTTGTCTTTCATTTCTGAATCAATATGACCTTTGACACCCAAACGTTCACGATGTTGCTTCTCCATAATATCACGGAAGTCACGAAGATCACTTTTCAATTCTTGATTCTAGAAAGCATGAAATATTTTAGCCGAAAAATATGGCATTATGATGTAAAATCAACGTTTTCATTTTAAAAACGTACCTCCAGTTTTAGATCTTTAACTTGTTGCTTCATTTCGTTGTTCTCTCGCTCAAAAGTATATCTATCTCTCGACATTTCTTCAAGTTCAATTCTAAGTTCCCTTTCTTGTTCTTTGTATCCTTCTACCAATTCAGCAAGATTCCTATTTTCCGCACGAATGTATTCCGTGTCGCCGCGGAGGCCACCAGCACCTCCCGATCCAAATCTCTGCAAAAACCAACAAACGTCAATGTCTGTCATAAATGTAATTTTCAAATTTAAGAATTACCATATGTCTATACTAGTCATAAAATTATAAGTATGGAAAAAAATGTTATCAAACTTCTGGAAGAAGCACAAACGCAGGTTGAAGTTCTCAAATGAATATACATTTATTGATCATTTCAAATTCCAGTTGAAAAATCAATAATATTACCTATCTCTGCATTGCTACAAAAAAATCTAGTTTTACTCATACACCAAGTCATGATACTGTGAAGATCTCCTAGTTCCAAAACTTACATATAGCATTATATATGTTACCCTCTGATGAGATATAAAGCTGTTTTGAAATCATCAGCTATTCAACCATTCAACAATAACTGAGCAATTTATTTTTTGAACATAAAATACCATTCTAAACTGAATGTTCTCGATAGAAAAATTTAGCAAAGATCTGGTCAGTGGTTCATGAATATTTGATTCTTTACTAATACTTCACATAAAAGTTCTATGATAAATATTCTTTTATACTGGAATTAAATGAGAGAAAAAAGTAATCTCATAATTAATGTGAAAGTTTTACTGGATTTATAAATAAAAACTTAATGTTACGTATCATCAGTTTAAATACATTCTCTAGTTTTGAATAGAAACCTTAATCTGGTTAACAAATAAATGAATGCTATTTCCCTATTTGTTAGTAGAGCATGAGACGGATGCCAAAGTATTTTGAAAACTAGAGGAGACTTCGTGGAAAGTGAACAATGTTAACTACAGAATTGAAGTAGTATAAAGCACAATTAGACTGAATATATAACAGATATATTCAAAATCGGAAATGGAGCAGATAGCGTATCAACTTAGAAAAAGGTTATCACAGTAATAATAATAGATTGGTATTTTGAAAGTGAGATGTTTTGGAAATGAACACTATATTATTTATTGTAAACATTACCAGTTGACAATTGAAAATATCTTACAGTAAAAAGACTCTTTTTTATGATATTTTGCATTTGTTGTTCTTGTTGTATCAATCTCAAAATTGTGCCAATTCAAATTTATGTGATTAAGCATTAAAATATTAACAAATAAAATGATAGTGCTACATTCATAATGAGCAAATTGCTAAACCATATAAATTTTTAAGTCTAATTCCCAATTATTCGACAAAATCTTACTCGTTCATCCTCTAGCCTTCTTTTTAATTCTTCAATCTGTGAATCTTTATCATTAACAGATTTTACTTGTTCATCGAGTAAAGCTTCATATTCTTGCTCTCGATGCTGTAAATGGTATGACATTTTAAAGTTTTAAGTTAGCTGGATTTGTCGCAGTAAGTTACAGAAGAGAAAAATCATGATATGATAGAAATAACACTTTGGTGAATAACTTTTTCATTAAATACCAGAAAAAGACTTTTATCATAGGCAGTTCAAGTTTATATATGATAGAATCACTGGCATACAACTGGGAACTCATCAATCTTTATCAGGAAAAAAAAATTCGGGTTTGATTTTACAGATTTTTTTTTTCAATGATAGAAGTTTTCCATTCGAATAAAAACACTTTTTAACTTTAAATTGATGTATGAAATAGGTTTTATACCTTGAAAAACTGTATTTGAAACTTTATAGGTCACCCTTATACATACCCACAAAACTACATGAGGCTTTCATTATAAGTTAGTACTTACATCAAGAATATTCAAAGCAGATTTGAAAAGCATGATCAACTTGTCTGGTTCATTTTTAAAATCTGCATCTTTAACTGTACGAAGATCTTCAACCACCCTGTCAATTGTCTCGTCATCCACTGTAGAACTACCTTGAGCCACTGTGCCAACAGTGGCCCAATCAATATTGGGAGCCATAATAAAAATGGCAAAATGTCTTTGTAGTCAATTTCTATAAGATCATTTTGAAACCTGAAAATAATGGGGAAAAACAACTGATATGTAACTTCAAAAGTATGTAATTGAGTAAAATAGAAGAAAAAGCTGCTAGTATGTGTGTTCTTAAGAGGTTGGAAGAACCTGTTGCAACTAACGGAATTGGTTCCATTACATTTGAACCCACGTACATTTGAACCCATGGCAATTGCACCTGTATGCTATTGCACCTATGGATTTTTTTTTGTTTCACGGATAGTTTAACCCATACTAACCCTAACCCATGGGTTTTAGCACCCGCATATAGATTGAACCCGTGGATATACGCATGGGTTCAAATGTACATGGGTTCAAATGTACGATCACCAACGGAATTATGTGTTGACTTATGCCAGTACCCAGTTCAGCATTTACTGAGTTTCTACAAAATCTAAGTACCGGTACATCGGGTCTATTATAGTACCATAAGTACTTCTAGTGCACGTAGCAGAGGCAATCGATAGCTATTTCTTTGCGTATACAAAAAATTTGACACAAGTGGCAATAATAGGATAATCGTAGTTCCTATTATCGCCACATCAACATTTCTGCTATATTTTTGAGATATCGATATAGCAAATTCTTTTCGGGGATCACTGCTGTTGGCTTTTTTTCTCGATCGGTAGCCAATGTTCCGAGAAAATATAAAAGAAATGTTACGGAAAGTATTATAGATTTTAGATGGATCGGAATAAAAAGCGGAAATAATAGGGTAACTTATGTTACCGGTAAGGTACTACTAAAGTTACCTAAGCCAATTACATTTTGTTTATGCACATTCAGACATTGGTTCAGTAAATGGGTACCGGTACCGGTACAGCAACTGCAATCTTTCAAGCCCTTTAAACTTTATTCTAAAATATGATGCGGTGTATTGGTCTGCTTTTGTTTCTGCAGTTGTGTGCCTTTGTGTCACCGCCGGGATAAATATGTAAATCCTATCCTTTACTAATTAATCATTTGTGGGCTAAGCCTATCTCTACCAGTCTACTGTAAAACCTAAAAACAGTATGGTTAGTCTGTTAGTAAACGGTACCGTATTTGAATAACATGGGATCACCAAGCATAAATATTCGCGAAAACCTAAACTGCATCCATGGTAAAGTCGTACACAAAGTCACACTGCCTTCGTACCACAACGAGATTTTTATACTAGAGATGCTGCAGAGAGCATTTAATTTACCATTGACGACCAAAACAAACGGAAGCCAAGAATTTCACGCATGGTTGAACACAGTTTCCAAATCACCACAGTTTTGCAAATGCAAGGTGTTTTGTATAGTTTAACATCCAAATATTTCCCATGAACGATCTACTCAAGTATATGTTTTTAATACAGAAAGAGAACATCCATGTAACTCGACTTTTAAGTTATAGGGAACAAGTGAACATCATTTAAAAATTTAACACGCATGACTGCACGCTGTATTTGGCTCCCAAATCTCAAAGTTTGAACATCAGCGATTGAGACGCCTTTTAACATTTTGGATGGCTACTAATTTTGAATAATTTGGCCTTTTTCAGTATACGTAAAAATATATTGATCAGAAAGTGGTCATAACTTTAATTTGAACTACGACAAATACAAAAAACTTTCTTCAAGAAGTTAGGCAAATGGTGCAGTACGCACCATAACGATTGTTTGCGTTGGGTGTTCGCGGGAGGATCAGAAGCTGGAGCTATACCTTATGCTTTATAATATTGTAAATGGTTGCCTACTTTGTTCCTACTTTATCCTCGTAAGTCTACTTGTACATAAATTTAAAAATAATTTACTGTGGTCAAGGGGTTTAATGTCGCAGTAACAGAAGACTGAACATCATTGTACCTATTTAGTCACGTGGTTGTGGATGACCACCCGGATACACTAATTGCAGAAGCCCGCCCGCAAGATATACAATAATCTTGCAATAGGACAATTTTATCTAAAACTAAAGGCCTCCTAATTTCAGACACCTTTCCAATTAACTAACAACATCCTAATCACTCCACTCGGTATTTTCTGTTTAAAGTCATCTCTTGTACCATATTCACGCTTGTACCTATTCGACATTAATTATTCTCTTATCAGTGTACTTATCTTCATTTTTATCATGGTGGGTTTGCAGCTGTAGTTAACTGCTTGAATCCGTAGCATATATATATTTTAAGTTCACGTTTCAACAATTTTATGCAAATCAATCTATTGTCTTTGATAGTTTTCATAATCAACAATAAACTCAGAATAAACACGAGGAACAAAAATAAAGAAATGAAATTTGATGAATCATTATTGCAGGTATCGATATATTTTAACGCATTGATTTCCTGAATCCGCCACAGCCACTTGGTCTTCATTAATAAGAGTAACGCCTTGTGGTCCATAAAGTGGATCTTCGTCTGTGTTTATATATGAAAGAAATGATCCATGTTTGTCAAAAACCTGTAACATGTAAATTGGTGTAAATAACAAAAAGGAACAAATTCATTGGCACTAATCGTGGATTGTATGAAATTGTTTTAGATTTGAATCACATTGCAGATTGTTCAATCTAATTCGAAGTTAAATTTAACCGGTTTTATAGTCACCAACCGTGTCAACCAAATATTATATACTCAGCAGTTTAATTTACAAACACTGATAACTTGGATCGTTTTAAATGACGAATATTGGAATGGTTTTGTTACTCATTTCGTTTGCGATGAGGATAATTTAATATACAAATCAATCAAATGAATATCTCACTTGAAGTCGGCTGTTGCCCCAGTCCGCAACTATCATGTTACCTCGAGAATCGATTGCCAGACCTGTGGGAGCGTTGAATTGCCCGCAACCTTCACCGGTTGAGCCGATTACATTACTGCATTTGCCACTCGCAGAAAATATCTGGAAAATATTACATATTTAACATTCGATGGCAATAGTTCGGTTATCAGATTCTTAAACAAAAATAATTTATCCAGTATTTATTGTATGTTTTTCAAGGCTGTGAACAATACATCTAGTTGGCCGACTTAGAGGACCAGAAATTCTTCTCTTAAAATTCTTTTGTGGGAAGATATCTTTGTGCTTATTGTTATAGCTAACAAAACTTACTTACAAAATACTTACTTTTATGCAGTGATTGTAAAAATCGGATACATAAAAGTTGTCGTTGTAAACAGCTACAAAATGAGGTCCGGCCAATTGATGGATTTCTGTGCCTCGAGTCCCAAACTTAGTTACGAGTTTTCCATTGAGTTGAAACACAAATATTTGACATAATTTATTGTCCACAACTACAAGATGTCCATTGTGATCGATACATAAACCTGTAAGGCTTAGGTATTTACATATTGTATAATGAATATCAGTATACACACTCTTATAAATTCTGGTAGTTGTAGCTACAGTTGTCAGGGGATATTTCTCCATCTGAGTCAGTTATCGCTCTGCTTGGATGGACTATTGCGTGACATATATATATATCTCAATTACAATCAGTTTTTTAAATTCAATATGACTTGTATAAATTCCTTTTCATTCGAAGCACGTTTCTATAAACTAACTAGACATTTCACACATTTTCTATTTTGGACATGGATAAATGAAATACAGAATTTGGCCGACTATCGATTGATCAAATAAACTATCTTAGTCGACATAATTTCATTTTAGTTTGTGTGAAAACAACGGATAAGGTACAGACATCAACGCTTAAATAATTCATATTAGTATACGTGATTTCAACTTGACATTTAGATGAAAAATAGCAAAAAACCTTTAGGCCCCATGAGCTTTCCCGTTCCAATATTCAATTTGCTTGTTCCATCTTCAGAAAATATTTTTACCACTTTATTGTCATAATCTGAAACAGCTATATCACCATTTGGTAAACCGAAAACTCCAGTAGGTCGCTGAACTTGTCCACTTCCTCGACCTGCAACTTTGTGCAGATTAAAATAAATCCTAAACTAATGCTGGTGTGTGAATATTGTCTTGCAAACTTTAGGAAGATACGCATAACAATCTCAATTCAAAAACTTTATGAGAACAAGATTTCTTCGGCCATCTGTTGGAGTTAGACCGTGTGAAAATGGCACTTAAATAATAAGGCAACTCAGGTTCAAAGTTCATCATTCTAAATTTATGAAAATTGTATATCATACGAAAAATTCGAGATTTTTACAAGTATCAAGATATTAGAGTCGTTGGTGTTTTGTCGTCGAGGCGGTGTTGTGTATGGAACGTTTATTCAAACACTATCCAACAACTTATAATCAGCCTCACTTAATATTTGTGTGCAATAAACTCGGGAATATCCCGACATAATATCAAGCTAATAGATTCTTATCAATTTTCGTAACTTCATTCAGGTTATTCTTGAATAAACATGTACATACCACGTTCACCAAATCTGAAGAGGTATTTAGGTTCTCTTGTTTTCTTTGAGCTTACGGAAAACACTTGAATGCATTGATTAGTGCTGTCGGAAACCACGAGACGACCCAGGTGGTCAGTTGAGACACCTTGTGGATTAGAAAATTCGCCTTTGCCTCGACCTCGGCTACCAACTTTCTGTACGAGGTCATCTTCTATTGGGTTTTTACGTGGGCCCATACTGCAAAAACAACGAGTTTTAGAATAATTAGATAATGCAAATATTTGGTTGACCAATTAGTAGGACTTTATAAATTACCATATATATATACGAGCAATTTTGTATAATGTGGAAAAAAAATTCTTTAACTTACTTATATATACCGAAATTGTGAGGCAACCATGATTCTAGGATAATTGTGAATTATAGATAAACAGACAATTTAATGTTCACCAAACACACAAAGTTTTTGTTGAACGGATTTACCTTTGTGGACGTTTCATCCCCCTTTGTCTAACACTCTGTGGGCGCATGCTAATTTTGTCCGTTTTTGCTGGTGATCTTATGCGTGCATTGGGACCTTGTTGTTTAATTAGATCAAAAGCAGAAATCACAAAATTTCCATTACGGATTTCTTTACCATAAACCTGAACAGAGAATTTGTATTTTCCCGGAACTCTGGGATTAAATGTTATTTCGTATGCTCCATGCTTTATGTAATCAATTCGATAAGTAGCTCCAGGATTTTCCAATATTTCACTGCCTTGCGATGAAGGCGTTGTCGGAGTTTGTGAACTGTTGTCCTCATTCGGGTGTAGGAAAATATCTTTCAATGGACTACGTTTTGTTGTTGCGCTTGGGGAACTTTGTTTCATTTTGCGGATGTGAGATTTTGTCGGAGTAGAAAAGGAAAAGCTTGATCCAGAAAGAGGCCGAGGCGACATCCTTCTATTACTTGAGTTCAATTTGTTTGAATGTGGGTTTGCTCGAAAATGGCCTGTTTCGTGTTCATTTGGTCCGACATATTCAATATCTACAGTAACTTCTACTTTTCCACTTGTTTCTAGTTCACCCGACCACGTTTTAGCTGATAATATTATGGTATTGTCACAACCAGCTTTACATATTCCTGTTGTGAGGCATTCTCCACTCAGAACACTTTTTTGAGAAATTGCTTGACTTGTTTCTAGTGAGCCAAATGTAGAAATCATGTGCCTGAGTTTGTTAACATTTTGTAAGTTTTGTATGGATATATGTGAATTTTCGCAAGGCACTGTAAGCTTAACAGGTGCTTGGTATGTTTGCGTCCCGTGTACTCCGGTTAAGCGCACGCTATGTTCCGAGACAGTACTAGTGCTGTCATCTTTTTTCATGCAAAAGGTTTCAGAGCTCAGTTTATATTTACAAAGATCATCCAATGTCTTTGATATTTGTTTATGTAGAAAAAATGCATTTGTTTCTTTTTCTTGCAGAGAATGATTACATTGAACGTTTTCTCTGGTTCGTGATGATTCAGGTTTATTTGACAACGATTGTACGATTACATCGAGGCCTTCTTCCATACTGTCTATATATTTGCGTATATTATCCGATTGTTCCATCAATTTCGAACTCTTTCCCACATATGTTACCTCAATCTTACGCAGAAGCTCTCCTCTTCTTTCGCACAAGGCCTTTTCTAATGTGTCAAAGTAATCATTAATGAGTTGCATGGCACAATTTTTGTTGACTTCGAGTTCGTCGAATAGTTGTGCTATTTCGTGCTGAGATTTCTGGAGTGGGGTCAATTTTTGTTCAAGAGCATCCGCCTGTTTGAGGTCACATAAATATCATTTTCATTTATTTAAATTTGATAATTATAATTGAAAATTTATTATGTATTAATAAAACATTGCAATATTCAAGCAATGACCAACCTAGGCTACTTAAAGTAAAATCACACGTATCTTTGTGGGGTAATCGTTTGCTTAGGTACGCCTTTAGATTTTAAAGTTTTACGATAGTTATCGGTTCCTCAGTGAGGCATCAAAATTTACGATGGTCTCGCTCAGTTTTTATCCGACTTGTCGCAGCTGACGATTAAATCAGTAACACCATAAATCAACTTAATAATGCACTTCTTACCTGTTTCAGAAGAGTCTCTTCGCATTCCGATGATACGCTTTCTAAACTGGCAATGGCGTCGTTGTGTTCAACGTGTTCCGTTTTAGCGCACTTCTTGCAGACTACCATGTCACACGACTTGCAATACATTGCAACGGGTCGTTCGCAGTGTGAGTTACACAAGATTGTACTTGACAAAGATAAATCATTTTTCGAGACGTTCGAACTGCTTGTTACACGCGGTTCCATTGCTATGTTGGCGTGCAGCTCAGACACATCTGTAACGTTACTAAGATCTATCTCGCTGTTGACACTCTCTTCGTCTGTAGCGCTTCGCATTATTCTGGAAAACACAGAAAGTGAGTTTACAAACCTCTTCATAGAAAACTCGAGTGTTGCAAACCAATGGTTCTAAAAGCCTGCGGACCAGTAAAGATTACTCGTCCCCGTTGAATATCTAAAACTAACATATATATAAGAGCAATTATTACATGAATATAATTTGCAGGTATATCTGCGCGATGTAGTAATTATGAGTTATGAATATGTCTTAACAATGAAATCGTAGCTTTCCACACAGTTTCAAGGGGTTTCGGGCAGTGCCGAATATTTTGTCATAATATGGTGCTACTGCATTAATTTTGACTTCATTTCTAAGTCGATTTCTATGCAAATCATCACTTGTTCCGGTACATATCGATTCCAAAATGTATATATCACAATTGGACACCCAAAATTTGTTGTAATTTGTGGAAAAAAGTATATTAAAACGCTTAAAACTATGCTTGCGAGAAATTGGTATTTACAATAAATTCCACAGTTTGCTTTTAAAAATATTATTTGAGATTGTTTTTCAACTGGTGGTGTTAACAAGACGAGCTAAGCATTCATAAATTATTTATAAAGTACTGGAAACATTCATCTATAAATTCTGCCTCAAGAAAATAAGCAATAGGCCCGAAGTTGACTATGCGCTCGAACAGAAACTATAAATAACAGTTTCAATTTTCGCTTCGATTTTACATATCAATTATGAGAGTCAAACAGTCATCAATGAGGCTGTGTCAACATTGCCATTTATGACTCAAGACACAGTATTTCACAATTACTAGGTACTTCGCGGCGTGACAACAATGGAGGGTTTAAAGATATTCGAAACCTCAAAGTCAATATTGTGTCGCTGGGTTTTTAAAGTTATATTTTAGTCATTCTACTATGTTACATTATTGCGAAACAACGATGTCATCCGTAGCCGTGTATGCAGCACGGGGGGTCAGTATCAGCCATGCCGTACAACACGAAATTCCCGAATACAGTCACGTATAAATCGCTCATATAAAATGGGTCGTAGATCATGATGATGAATCCATACCAGAGTGTGTTTTCCCCAATCGCGAACACTACAAACATGAAACTTTGAATCGCGATGAAAGTTTATAAAACGAGCAATTAACAATATAATTTGCTTCAGAGGAAGCGGAAATCTATAATATATCTTCTCCATTCATGTACACGACTGACCACTTTTAATTATATTCTACCACTCCTCCAATTTGAATATCGGATAAAAACGATTCTTTATAAATCGAAACTTTTGAAATTTGCGAAATGACATCTCCATCTCCCACCTATCTATGAAGATACATATCTGAGACCTCAAATACCCAACTCGTGTTTGTTTTTTTCTAAAAATATTGATATTTTAGACTTTCAACAGACAAGCGGTGGAGCCGATTTGGTCGGCTACATTCTACGATCATGCTAAAATATATAACAGCCTGACTTTATATATCTTGTCTATACAGTATACCCACGACTAGGATTCTTCGTAATTTATAAGGTTAAATTTACTCACCTATCCACGTACGGATTTGTCCTTAATTCGCACACGCCTTCCTTTGGAAGTATCGATTGGTGTCCGCAAACAACACAATGCAAGGACAACCCCTGACCGGGAACAGTCTCTTGAAGGCACGCTTCACAAAAGGTGTGATAACACGATAGTACCTGTTATTAAAAACACGCGAATGTGATTGTAATGCAATACGTAGTGCCTTTGTAGCAATGTAAACATACTGTATTCAAAAGTATATTCATAACTTTTAATCTCTCAACTGTATGCGCCGCGCCTTTAGTGCCCGTAAAATAGAAACATTCATTGTAACACATGTTAACATGTATACTAACTGTGAATAAGAATTTAAAGGCAAAGATGGAACTGGAAACGTTAATGTTTAACGTTGTTACAATGGTATCGTCGTCATTCCAGAACAAGGGGTTAGGTCTGACGCTTCGACATTACCACATAATTTATGACGGCATTTTCTTGTGACCTTGATACATTAAGGTACAAATGATCGCGCTTTGGTAAGAGCAAATGTGGGTTTGTTCGTCAAAGGTGTGGCATATGTACTTGAAATTATGATGAGGTAGGTTGTGAAACGAAAGTTTCGATAAAATAGAGTTTTGAAACTTTATTATCTTCAAAACATAAATATGAACATCCATTAACGAACATCTTTTACTATCTTTTTAATCGTTTCCGGTGGGTTGACACTATTTGCTGCTATTACATAATTCACGTGTCGTCAAGTTGTGATATAAATCTCATTCTTCGAATTTAAATTTGAATTAATCGATATTTAAATGATCATCCATCCAATTTATCGCCATTCATTTTAATCGAGCGTATATAGGTAAAATATCATAAATATCAGGAGATTGTTTCATTGTCGTTATAATATAAAGGTATAGTCAACAATGTTTTCGAAATAAGGATCATCAGCTTACTTCAAAATTAAGAATTTAATCAAGTATGTTTTATCGTGGTAGTATATATTTATGGTTTTATTGCTAACGATGATTTTTTTGATTATTTAAAATCAATTCTTCTGAGTGTTTTGGTGATTTCCACTCAGTCGGAAGAAGTAGTTTGTGTTGTTTGATTCGCGGTCAGACCATTGTTTTATGGAAAGTCACTAAACTCAGCTTGGTGGTATATAGCGATTATTGCTAACTAGTGATGATCAAAACAATGATAATAAACTACAAAAAAAAACGTGGTAGCGAGAAATTTTAATGTGAAAGCTGATAGCTTCAGCATGTCAACAGTATGTCGTTACTGCTGCATGTCATTCATTGCCTACAAGAATATTCTTCTTCCAGATTGGGAGTATCTCGTTACAAAATGCAACCGACACATTTGTCATTTATAATAGTTCAAAAGCAGCTGGTCGATGGATGAATGAGTATTATTTACCTTGGGATTCTGGTAAGTCTGTTTACAAATGTAACAAGTTGTCAACAAAGATGTTTTCTTCTGAGACGGATTCGTGTTTCGTAATGCCATAGGTCACATTGATGCATATATGTTTCAACTGCAAAATTCAGTATTGAGCACTAGGCATGTGAGGTCGGATATCAACGCAGCTGAATTATTTATATGTAGTATTTTCAATACCTATAATTCAACATTACATGCAAGACATCAAGTTTAGACTACATATTATAATACATAATATACTTCGAAAATGTTAGTGTTTTCTATCGTAACTTTTAACTACCTTATAGGCTTGAGTTTCTATACTAAAACATTTTCATTCAAAGCTTCAGCTAATATTCTAACACTTATTATTTTACGAGACTTCAGTAGTACTTTAACTGTCTCTATCTGTTGCTTTAGCGGTTATCATATACCCGATGGTGGTCTTGTCGAAGCGATTCCAGATACTTTGAATACGTACGTATGTAACAACCAACTGCGTATTGCTTATGGATATCGCTAAATTGTTTTACATGATTTCGTTGATAGACGAGCTCAACGTGCCTGCGGTCGCTGATCGATTATTCTTTCTACCCTTATCGTAGAAAGTGACTTGACGCAAACCAGGCATGGCTAATACGTTCTACAATCTTACCTTGCTAATAATTTATGAAGTATTGATCTCGCTTTGGGATTCAGGGTCTTTAAGCGTTCTGGGGAATTGAATACGCAGCAGTTTTATGGCAATGTCATGTATTTTATGGCATCAGTTTCATAGCGTTGTTGTGACGCAACTGTATCAAGTCATGGTTACGAAAATATTTCCCAAGAGCGATTTTTGATGAATACAAATATAACTTATTTCCATTGATACTTGGTGAAAATTAACCCTACGAGAAATTTTCAACTTTACAATGAAAGTATTGCATAAAATACAAATATAATTTTACGCGTTTTAGCTTCAAATCATAAGTTTTCATCTCAGATCATAATTGGTGTTGTTTAAAAACACACTCACAAGTGTTGACACATATTCGTTTGACCCGCATGGGCTTCCAGTTCAGGATCCCTAGGTTAGGCCATTGTGGCTCTGCTGTGTAAGTGATGAAGTAAATCAGCATCAATAAATAAGAATATACTTTTCCACAAACGTTTTATAAGCAAGGTCCTATTCTGAGCGACAAATAACCTAACAGCTATATAGGGTTTTTTCATTAGATGAAGACGTCTGTAAATGACGCGACACTTGAATCAAGTCCACGCCGTCCGAGTAACAGCTATAGGTGGAAGGGAATTCCACAGAACGGAATTAAGTTTTTCTTGGCAAATTTGATACAGCGACTTTACTTTTGGCTAAACAGGACTTCAGTGAGAATATTGAACAAAAGTATGTGGTGCTTCAATACTTGAGTGTGGGTTATTGAATCCATGATATTTTTCACTTAGGACTGAGAAGTCCAGAACGTTTATCTCCTGACTAGAAATCATTCCAAAAACCTACTCACGCTTTTATACCACCTATTTTTTGTTAGCAAACATATTTGCCACATTTTCAACAAAAATTCGACTTAACCTATATTGAATAAATCTGGCACATTCATGTCCTTTTCAGTCTGTTTCAATTAAAATTTTCGTATTGAATCCGAACTTTTGGAAATTTGAAATTTGTTTACGACTCCCGTGGAGCTCAACGTTTGAATTTCACTATTAACCCCGTTGAATTCAAATTTACGACTACCCCGGCCTCAATACTACAAAATACGGCAAAACTTCTATTACGAAACTTTTAATATGATTTTCATTCTTTATTTTCAATCGCAGTATTAAAGACTGAAGGAGGACTTCACATTTGCTGGGCAATTCGGAAAAATGAGCAAACATCCAATTATGCAATATTATGCCTCTAAAAGTTCCCATGTAAATCATGGTACTCTAATATGATTTTGGAATTTTAAATGCACGAAATATTCTAGATACACACTTTTCATGTAGTATTTCTTGCGCGGCAACCCACATCTGATGATTATTTTTTGCCCCGGCATCCGCCTATATCATACCTTGACGAGCTACAATGAAATGTATCATACTCTATATTAAATATTATTATAAGCATCATCATAACAACAGGACTTGATCGTAATTTCCCTAAACAGGGTTTCTAAAGCTTCATACTCTTTTTACCTCTTGTCAAATTTCAAAAATAAAAATGACCTTTCATCTTTGTATACTATCTACTTAATGCACGCTATAAGTAAAACATGAAATAAGTGGCGCTAGGCGATAACAGTCTGTCCACAGCGATAGAATAATATCAACTATTGCGAAACAGACAACAGTGCAATGAAAACAACCTTGCAATACTCTAAGTGGCCATATTTGGTCATGTAGGTTACTTAAGTGCAATTGCGAGAAAATTTTATCCTGTGCTTAAAACCACTGATCAAAAAGTATATTCAACAGAATAATTAGGAGATTACATCTCTATATGTACTTACAATACTCACTCCAGTACTTAACTCGTACATTCGGTTGCCCTAAAAGAGCAGCAGCCCTGAATGGTACTTTGGAAATTATTTGTGAATCTTTTGTAGAAAGCCCCCGCTACTAACGTAGAAATGTGAGATTTGAGAAAACACCACTGCCAAGTTTCAAAATAAAAAATTAGCAATTATTCAGTTTGGGTTAGGAATGATTTGAATTTCCAGCGCAATCTACATTCCTAACCCTATACCTATGTAAAATGATCAATTTCTACCATAGGTTCGTTTTTGTATATACTTTCGTTACAATTTCTAGCATATACATTGAAATTTTAAATGCTATGGCATTGTTTTGTATTCTCATATATATCCCTATAAGTAATATTCCACGCGGACTCTGAGTGTGAATAGTATGTCGGATATGTTTTTGTTTCATACTGTAAATTAAAATAATGTGAATCACTACAAGCTGTTGATCAGCAGATTATCAGATGGCTTGATTATTATTTATCAGTAGTTCCAACAACCTGTTAAGTGCTGACACTTGGGACAATATCACTTATATAATAATGGAGTTTGGAAATCGGAGGAAGTGCAAGTAATAAGGAATGTCGTGTTCGTACAGCTGGTACCAAGCAGCTTCGTACTTTGTTGGTTGATGGTGTGGTTGCCTAACCCCTTCGAAATCTGCTACTGACCGACATATATGTCATGTGTAAAATTTGTGAATATCTATGTCGGAACTTTTGGCGAGGACTATCTATTGTACAACACTAAATCCATATAACATGATATCAAACCTGGACGAGCAAGAAGCAAATTCAAAAACAACATCGCCAATTAAAACGTTTTCTCGTTCCAGGATTGCTGGCATATCTTCAGAAGATATTGATGATGACGTATCGAGTAGGCCAAAACAAGGGCGTAAAAACATATTATTTACACTCGGTATTATAGAAGTTGTGTTGGGTATTATGTCATCTTCTTTATGCATTATGACGTTTTTCATTACCGGTACTGTAAAGACATATACCTATCATGATTCATCGAATGTTAGCACTCATGAAAACCTAATAAACTATGCCTTCAATGAATTTGGATCAGGATTATGGTGTGGAATTATAAGTATTTCTTCTGGAATTTTGGCGATAAAATCCAACAACAATTCTTCTACGTGGATGTATAAAACAAATATGGCAGCTGGTATTTTAGCAGCTTCCGTAATGAGCGGCCTTTGCGCACTTTCAGTGTTGTGCGTGGTAACGGTCGAACCAAAAGAACATGCTGCTGGGTATATTGCGTTGCATATTATCATGGCGACAATAGGACTCGGTGGATTAATTTCTTGTATTGTTCACTTTGCATATTGTTGTGTAGGTATATGCTGCCAAAATGCTCCATATCAAGTTGAGGCGATGTAGTATCGTAATGCAGTGAGCGTGGATGACACTTCGTAATTTCACAAAAAGGCTAGAACGTCTCTTTTGTGCATTTTGATAGCAAATGATATTACCATCTCAATGGATATCCGGTTTTCGTTAAATTTTTAAGAAAGTATGATTATTCAATTTACGACGAAGTGCTTACAACCTCAGTGTATTTTATCGATCTTCAATTTGTAACTATTCAATGTTATCTGCTTTTGATTGACTGACTTGCTGTTTTGTACAGATTTGAATCAGTATTAATAAAAACAGGAAACAATGCTCAAATATATTTATATAAGTACCAAGTTCAAATGATTAACCACAGTACATCATTAGCCTATGCGTACACAGACGTACACGGAAATCTGTTGTCTGTTCATTTAAATGCTTCAAATCAAAATTAAAAATCAAATTCCACTACCGTAGAAAATCATATTGGTACTGGCAAGATATTAGTTGAGCACCGGGTTTATAGAAGATATGGAGGGCTATCCTTTTTACCCAATGAGAATATATTGGTTACCAAATTTAGTGTCACACTGCCATTAGCCTTTGCATTGTAATGAACACAACAAAAATATTCTGCTTGAAATAACTATAAAAATGCGGAATTCTAAATATTGAGGCTATCACCGAACTTCGAGAGAAATTTGTTATAAAAAAAAATATTTTTCGGGCAGAGCTATTGTGGGTGTTATCAGGTTGCAACAGAAGAATATGGATTGATGTGTACATAAGTGCTGGAAACAAGACAGCAATGTAGAGAAAGGGCGACAAGATTTATAACAAAACTAACACTGCAAACATCGGCTGTTCTCTTAGGTCGAATGATAACTTATGCAATAACTCAAATCTTCAAGTCAGAGCCAATAATTGCTGTAAAACATCGGGTGACGACAAATTTAAAAAAAATTGATAGCCCCCCGAATCCACTTCAATTTTTATATATTTTATCAATGTGATGTGAGTAGTTGGAAAACCCCAATTTTTGACCCGATTTTATAATTTGAATTTCCCAAAACAATTCGTACATCCACCCCATGTTCAACAAGCTCTGAAATTTTATGTCCGAAAGGTGTATGCGCCACTTGAGGTCGTTATTGAGTAAGGTTTTCACTGCGTTTTTTCGAAAATCAATGGCGGCAAAAGCATATATTATTTTGCACCGATTACGGTTAGAGATTATGGTGATTTTGTGGTAATTTCAGTGTTTTTGATCGCAATTTACTGTTGATTTATGAATGATTTCATTTGATTCCTGATGTGACTCACGAACAATTCATCATTGTGGTAACAAAAACATTTATAAACACACAGGAGATCAGCTTGTAAATCTCATAAACCATAATGGCATTTTCTTGTGCTAAGAAAAGTTGGA